GGCTTTTGAAAAACCGCATACGGCTTTTGAAAAACCGCATACGGCTATTGAAAAACCGCATACGGCTATTGAAAAACCGCATACGGCTATTGAAAAACAGCATACGGCTTTTGAAAAACCGCATACGGCTTTTGAAAAACCGCATACGGCTATTGAAAAACCGCATACGGCTTTTGAAAAACCGCATACGGCTTTTGAAAAACCGCATACGGTTTTTGAAAAACTGCATACGGCTTTTGAATGACACCAATGGTTTGCTCTCCGAATGAGGGATCCATTGGTTCACACGTTCGGTTCGAGTCCCATTTAGCGACTCTGGAGCTCCAAACGCGTCCCGGATTTTGGCCGCCTCCACCGCCCCATGGGAACACCCACGTGATATCCACGTTGCATCCACGTGCAATAGGTGGATTAGGTGGATGGATTTTTTCCACCCAAAATCGACGTAGAGCGTTCGTCGATTTCGCAGCGAAATAATTACTGCAAGAATTCAACGTCGATTCCACGTCGATATTGCAGCGAACGAGAGACGCTGTAGATCGACACCGATTCCACGTCGATTTTACAGCGATATAAACGTTGCTAAAATTCGACATCGCTTCCACGTCGATTTTGAGTCGAAGAAAGAGTTGCTGCGGATCGACGTTTAATCCACGTCGATCGTTTGTGGATTGTATAATCGTTGCGTATGTTCAGCCGCAAACACTAATTGGATAGGAAACAACTGTTAAAATGCCGTGCACCGCTTCCAAGTCAAGACTGTTCCCCAGCTTGAGGAGAAAATCCGCTAGAACGTTGTAGAAAGCCCGGGTCTACCAAGGTGCGCGAGAAGCGCGAGGCACATCGCCCGCCTTCGCATCGTCCCTCAGCTGGCTTCGTGGCGCAGTTGGTAGCGTTGCGGTGCCGTAAGGCACTGGTCCTGGGTTCGAATCCCGGGGAACAAAGAACGTCCTGTCAACGATTCGTCGAGTGCGAAGGTAGCAAATAAGTAACACAGTCTAAACAACAAATGCAAAAAAAAAAAAGTTTTGTTTTGAAGAAGGTGAACATTTTACAAAAATATTGATCGGTGAACTAATCCACGTCCCATCCACGCCGCCTCGCGCGTCACTTAAGGCTCGATGTCGACTCGACGATACACGTCGATTCGACGTGGGCAGTCAACATCCCCTCAACGTCGCATCCACGCTCATGTTCCCATGGGGCGGTCGTCTGGCCCACTGTGCGGCGTGCACCTCCAGCAGCACCGGGACCTGCGCGACCTTAATCAGTGTCCCCGGAGACCTTGCGAAGCCTGGCGGAGTCGCGGGTTCGGCGGGCCGGCCTCTGTCTCTGTCGCACCCACGGCCACGCCCCGGCGCCGCCCCGGCCCAGCAATTGACGCGCCAAAAGTAACAACAACAACAACAACAACAACAATGACGGTAATGCTCGCGCGGACAGCAGCACGGCAGCGCGGCTCCTTGACACTCTTGCGGCTTTCTTGTTTAAATAACGCCGCGCCCGTCGCGTCACCCATTCCCACCGCATTCACCGAATCGCAGATTCGCAGATTGCGGGACACTGATGACGTTACGTCACGCCGCCCCGCCTCCTCTTGCACTGATCGCGCAGGACGGCCCCGTAGAAAGATCGAGTGCCGGTTTCCCCCCCAGAGCCGGCCCGCTGTGCACCCAGGCAGTGCCACGCAGCGCCACGCAGTGCGGCATTCGCGGACGAGGTACCGAACGCTCTGTCCTCCGAAACTGACGGTCAGCCGTAGGGAAAAGAGAGACAGAAGCAGTGCACTAAACAATTTGCTTTCAAATTAATAACCGGTTCGCAGTATTCCCATTCCAATGTTACCGAATCTGATTCGCACTGAACAAATGATGACGCGTTAGGGTAAACTGTTCCCGTTACAGAATTCTCATGCAAATCGCGCAAGTGTCGTTTAAAAAAAGAATCTAGTGTCTTTTTGTCCAGTTTTAGAATTTTGAGCACTGATTCGTGATCGCAAGCTCTTGACGTGACAGAATTTGGGAACGGGCCAATTTGTCTCCCTCTGGTTACGGAATGTTGTATCAAGGCGTTACGAAGCATATTATTTTTTAGCAGTGCTCGGCGAATCAGCTCGCAGGGCTCGGCTCGGCTCGGCCGCCAGGATGCGTTCCAGACTCACGCGCCGCGGCGCAACGACGCAGCGAGCGTCTCCTGCGACCGTCTCGGACCATCCTCTGACCGTCCCCGACCGGCCGGCCGGTAAAAACAATAATTACGCGCGAAAACATCGACAGCCTACCAGAAATAAGCGTTTTCCTGTCGGCGAGAATAATGAGGAGCAGAAGATATTGTGCCTGTTTTTGTCGCTGATGTGTCTGGAGGGCCGTGCAACCGAACGGCACCATCCTCGGTTCCAGGATGCAGCTTCTGCAAAGCCACAACGTGACCAACACACTGACTTTCAGACGGTGACAGGTTGCGCAGCCGTAGGACCAAGATTAGTTTGTAATCAGGATCGACTTAATAGGCTTCTTCTGCGCTTCCACTGGGCTTTCCAGGGCTTACAACGGTCTTCATCTGGGTTTGATTTTCTCTGGACTCCATGGACTTTCTCTGAGCTTCCTCTGAGCTTTTTCCGGGCTTCCTCCGGACCGGCGGGGCGGCGCAGGGCGGGCCGCCGGCCGGCCTCAGGACGGCCTTGCGCGCGAAACCGCACGGCGACGCGTCGGCATGGCCCATGGCGCACAGTGGGCCAGAAGACCGGCGTGGCATGGGCGGCAGCCTTTAGCCTTTTTAACGAAAAACCTGCTCGAAATGAAACCCCGCCCACCGGCCCGGCCAAGGCACTGAGTCGTTTTCGTCGCTCTGTCTCTCGCACCTGCACGGGACGCCCCATGAGTGCGAGAGAGACAGAGCCACCGTGGCGAAAGGCGACGCGCTTTACGGCCCAACTTCCAGTGCCAATCCGCTCGACAAGTGCGAGACAAAGACAGTCGGGGGCGGATCCAGATTTTGGTTAGGGAGGGGGGAGAAGTAGCAAAAGTTGCCAGCTAACCTAACCAAACCTACACTCAAAGGGCCAAAGTGAGGCAATATTTGCATACCTTTCAATGGGAAGACACCTTCTCTCTCTCTCTCTCTCTCTCTCTCTCTCTCTCTCTCTCTCTCTCTCTCTCTCTCTCTCTCTCTTTCGACGCCAGCAGCGGTCGCGCCACCACGTCGCCGCCGCCGTCGTGCAGAGCAGTGCAGAGCAGAGCGGGGAAGAAAGTTGATTACGCTCAATGGAAGCAATCGGTCTGGCCACGCACTGCAAGGGGAGAGAGAGAGAGAGAGAGAGAGAGAGAGAGAGAGAGAGAGAGAGATTGGGAATAAAGGAAGCCGGAGACGTTGATGTGAAATGACTGGCAAGGAATGGGAACTGATACTTCTTGGCGTCTTAATAATTCATTCTCGCCGCGCGTTTCGTGTGTGTGTGTGTGTGTGTGTGTGTGTGTGTGTGTGTGTGTGTGTGTGACTGATCCGTGATCCCCTCGATTCGACATAAAATAATTGCAATACTTATTATTGCAGGCATATAGTCATTGCCGCAACGACTCCGTAACCATGTTACGACTACGCAGTATCGCATAAGAAATTCCACATAAAATTGTCCTGTGGCAAATCTTAAAAAAAGGTAGAAAATTTTAAAAATTATAGCGAAAGTGTTCCGGGTATTTTTATAAAAATTGTTGGTGGGGCATTATAGACCTTTCCTTTTTTCCGTGCGTCCCGGGGGACACGCGCGCGGTGCCTCTGGGATCAATCAAAAGGCATTCAGCAGAAATGATGGAGTCATTAATGATTCGAAATGAATGAATGAATGAATAGTCGGCTGATGAGGGACGGAAGTGAAGGCGCTGCGTTGCCGATGCGTTGCCGCTCACAGACTCCGCTCTGCTTCGGCCACGCCACGCGTTTTCCTTTTCCTCACCGGATAAAAAGTGAAATGATAATCACTCCGCGCTGACAAGCGAGTTTTTCGAAAAAGAACAAAAGAGGAAGCACCAACAGCAGTAAGGCTCTCGCTAAGTTTCTATGCACATGATTTTTTTGTTAACATTTGAACAGAATGCAGCACGGATTTTCTGCGATTCCGCGTGCAAATTGGTTCGAGGCATTTCACATGCTCGAAATTTTGTGAGCAGACCGTGAACAAACCTGTACAAATCCATTAATAGAGTGTAGAAGCGGCAGTGGCGGGGCGGGTAGTGCCGACAGACGCCGGTGAACACACACGGAACCGTTCAGAAGTATAGCAGCTCGTGTTAAACCGCAAAGTAAATTTCTCTGCCGCGGTTCGCAGAGGTGCTAAGTCGACACGGCGCCGTGTACACACAGGTGAGCCCCCACCTGCCGGGCAGCGGCCTGCCCCCGCCGCCCCCGCCGCCCCCGCCGCCCCCCGCTCGGAACGTACACCGACCAGTGGCCAGCGCCAGGCCGCGCCAGGCTGCCCGGCCGCGGCGATGCAAGCACCCTTGGCCAAGGACGTTCTCCAGTGGCGCCCTCTACACTGCCGGCAACGGTGCGGTCGAAAAACAATTACGTGACAGACGTAACATGCATGCCGCCTGGCTTCGTGCCGCAAGCAGCGAGACAGGTTGCCAACTCACAGGGGGTTTCGGAACACTCAGAACTTTTCAAATTGCCGGTCTGAACTGAAATTTCCGACAGCAAGTCACGCTTTTCAGACACCAGGTCCACACTTGTTGTGTTCAATTTTGAACGAAACGTGGCCTTCTTTGTGAATGCGTGAACTTTTCGTACGAAAAACTGCAGGTACTTTTTCCTTTTTGGCGCTGAATCGCGCACAGATTTGTACGAAAAGTTGTGCATAATTCGTTTCATTTTATGAAGTTTTGCTTCAGGCCACCAAGTCAGACGAAACTGGTCTGAATTTTCAATTTTTTTAACCGTGTCAATCTTTTTTTTTTTCCACCAAACTACTTTTTGAAAACAACTTTTTTAAAAAAATTACTTACCTGAGAGGACTGCAGCCCAGCGCATGGTGTCATTGGGTCGGGTCCTGTGTCGGCCGGGTCACTTCCAATCTGCGGGCAAAACAAGGTTAGGTAAGGTTATTGCACGATCGGCTGGGCTTCGTCTTCAAACCACGTAACGACGCAGTCCTGCATTATTCACCACTTCGTGCATCTATCTAGTCTAGTCCGCGCAACCGGCGTGCCCAGCCTGCCCAGCCCAGCCTGCCCGCGTCCGGATTAGAATTTCCTCGCGGTCGATCGGCCGACGGGCCAATGGCGGCCCAGGAAAAAGGCGCCAAATTCAAAAATCGAAATTTCGCGGCGTTGTCTGCGGACACTGCGGAGACGGAGCGACAAAAAAGCCTCTCGAAAGCGTGAGGCATCGCGTGCAGAACGGTGCGTTGTGTGTGCGCGCGCAGTGGGCGAAGAAGCGCGACTTCGACCGCCACATTTCTCATACCCTGTTGGCCCAGTGTCGCCCCCCAGCGGCCGCCGCGTGAGATATCACGTCCAGAACCGTATGCAGAATCGGCTTATTGATGCGAGTCGAGTAGGCGAAGAGGCGTGCCTTTCGAACGGCACATCTTATATTTGCTCCGCGTCACTCGCTGTCCCCCTCCAGCGCGCTCTAGCGGTCGCTGTCGGGAACGCCGTCGCAAAGCATCGAGAGGAAGCAGTGCTTGGGGCCGAGTAGGATCAAGGGGAAAATCAATTTCGGTGTACAAATCCCATGAACTTCAGTCGAATTTCGATGAGTTGCAACCGAATTTTAATAAAGTTCAGTTGAATTTCGATGGATTTCAGTCAAATTTCGGATGGTATCGAAGCTTGTGTTCTACCTGCGCACACGCACAGGCTCTACCTAGCCCAACACTCTAGGGCACACAAGCAAGGACAACAACACTTTCACACATACACAACATACACCAACATTCAGTCCCCAGTCACACACACACACACACACACATCAGCGCACTCACACGGGCGCGTGCAAACAGACACACGCACGCGGCACTACTGGCTAATGGGTTCCGAATAGCACACGGGGGTACACACACACACACACAGAGGCCTACAGTGCACCTTGCCGGAAACGGCTTGTTCGTTGCTGGCCGCCCCCAGCGGATGTCGGATTCCAAGCTATGCGTCTGACTTGGCCATAGGCTTGGCCATAGCCCTAGCCAGTGGGCTAGAAGAATGGCGCAAGTGGCTAAAACTCCGGACGCGCTTTGGCTCCAGAGTCGATAAATGGGACTCGAGCCGAACGTGTGACCCCACCAATGGATTTCTTCGTTCGGAGAGCAATCCATTGATAGGGTCAGACGTTCGGTTCGAGTCCCATTTAGCGACTCTGGAGCTCAAAACTCGTCCGGGATCTCGACCGCCTCCATCGGTCTTCTGGCCCACTGTGCATAGGCCTGGCCACAGGCCTGGCCATAGGCTTGGCGGCATGTCGCTGGCCGCCGTGGGCTGCCCGTGTTGGGCTGCCAACCGAGCTGGCAGACACCGCACGGTGAAAATGGGAATTTGCACGGCGAGCGTGTTTTTCACGCTAGAAAGTCGAGCCTGCCTGGCGCTGCACAGTGGGCCAGAAGGCCGGTGGAGGCAGCCCAAACACTAGACGCGTTTTGAGCTCCAGAGTCGCTAAACAGGAGTCGAACCGAACGTGTGACCCCACCAATGGATTCGTCGTTCGAAGAGTAATCCATTGGTGGGGTCACACGTTCGGTTCGAGTCCTGTTTAGCGACTCTGGAGCTCAAAACGCGTCTAGAGTTTTGGCCGCCTCCGCCGGTCTTCTGGCCCACTGTGCGCCTGGCTGGTGGACTGCCTGACGGCCGGCTAAGCGCTATCCCCCCCCACAACGGCCACACAATAATGACACAATTCAACCAATTTTTACCCAACGTCTTTTCACGCACTAAATTTTGTACGAGACGCCACAGTTTCTTGTGCAAATGAAACCTTACGTACGATTTTCTTACGAATAACTGCGCAAAGTAGCTGCACGTTTTCGCTAAAAACCACGTGCGAATTCGTGTCGGAAAGTTGATCCCCACAGAACACCGCTACGTCTCGTGCAAAATTTGTACAAAAACATTGAGTGAGTGAGTTGGCAGGAATGCCGGGGAGGCCGGGTCGCGACGTGTCCATTATTGGTATGTCAATCTGTGGGTCAAGTGGGTAACGCAATGCTTATTGAGTGTCGAGCTCGGTGAAGTGGTGCCAACGTGACCTAGCCAATAGGCTTCGGTCCAGGTTCTTGCGCCAAGGTCAAACGCATCAATGGAAAGGAAAGTCGTTTTTACGACGACTGTTCTTTATGATTATTATTTCCACCAAAGTTAAACGGTTCGGCCTCTTTCAGCCCTGGTTTCCAAAGACCTCACTCTCGGTGCCCTCAACGGCTTGAGCTCACTGCAAAGCCGGTGGCAAGGTTGCTTGCCGCAAATTTGGCAAGCCGTTTTGAATGCCAAAAATTGGCAAGCTTTGGTCGGAAATCTTCATAAGCTTGCCAAAGTTTGGCAAGCTAGCTGGATGGTATTTCTTGGTATTTCTTGGTATTTCTTGGTATTTCTTGGTTACGTACAAAAAGTCCATTTAGCGTGCAGTGCCTAGTTAATATGCACCCCAATCCCGTAGGCAGCTTATGCAGTGGTGCATCGGTGATAAAACCGCTTCTTTTCTGCTCGGCTGAGGAGCCCTGCCCGGCCCTGCACTGTTAGATAAGAGTGGCGCTCACGCGAGCACGGCGGCTTATCAAACAGTGATGGCCAGCGGACCAATAATTACAGAGAAACCGGTTCTGTGCTGGACTTGGGTTGCATTGCCGCGCTTTTTCTGCCTTTTTTCTGGCGCTCTGGGGTCACTGCTTCGCGGCTTCGCGGTGCCTGGTGCTACTGTGGACGGCTAAACGGTTGTCGCAACGGCAGGGTACCCTTTGGGTGTAGCCGCGGGGCTCGGCCAGTCGGCCCGCAGACTCATTCCGAGAGTCGCTCTGTCTCTCTCGCACCTGTGCGGGACGCACCATGAGTGCGACGGAGCACAGGGGGCCAGAAGACCGGTGGAGGCGGCCAAAACTCTAGACGCGTTTTGAGCTCCAAGCCAAGCCAAGCCAAACTCGCGACCGCCCTTTTTCTGCGAGTCACCACACTGCTCAAGAACCGTCGAATTTGATTTCGCCACGACGCACTTCTAATTTCCCTTCGCAGTCCCTGCACTGGAAACTTTCCCAGATGACATTGCGTCATGCGCGCGGTGGCTGTGCCACTGTAATGAAAGGCGAGAGTTAATAAATAAGACAGCTGCTTGCCGGAACCATTGCACACACCGCCATTTACGCGCACAAAGCGGACGACGTGCATCAAGCAGACTGATTCCGAGAGTCGTCGCTCTGTCTCTCTCGCACTCGTGGGGCGCCCCTGTGAGGGTGCGAGAGAGACAGAGCGACGAAAACGTCTCTCAGTCTGTTGCAGCAAGCAGGCGGCATATCACACCGCACACCGGTCGGTGCATTGCGAGAACCGAAAGGCGCAGAAAGGAACTGAAAGAGGCGCCGTCGGTCTGGATTTCCGAACTGCCGAGCGAGGTGCCGAGTTTCGCCGCATTGTCTCCGTCGCGGTCATGGGGCTCTCCAAAAGGGTGCGAGAGGGACAGAGCTCGGGTGCATTGTCGTAATGTCCTCGGTGTGCACAGATACCTCAGCAGCGCCGGCATACAAAAATTACCCCTACAGTGTGTGGCGCGACCTACATCTCGAGCGAGCTCGCCCCGCGGTGGGGGTTCCCCAGAATTTGGCGTCCGGGGCAGGCTAGGTAGGCCAAGCCGCCAGACCACCGCCGCGCTGCTGATTTAGGACATGTGGGTCGTCCTGGGGGCTCGAGTCCTGGGCCCGGGTCCTGGGGACTCGAGTCCTGGCTCGCGGTGTCGTGGGACAACCGCAGGACCGAAAAGGCAATAACGGAGATGGCTGCCGCCTTACAGTGGCGCTGCCTTACAGTGCTCCGCCAGCCCCGCCTCGCCATCAAGCAGAGCACGTTAATTATCTGGATTTGGACCGCCTGGCAATTACAGTGTCGTCACTGGCCGCCGGCGCGGTCCTCTGACGGCGTCCTCTGGCGGCGTCCCCCTGCGACCCGCGACCCTCCCGCCGGCCGCACAGCGGATTTACCGCAGAAGATCGGCGGAGGCGGTCAGAACCCCGGACGCGTTTGGAGCTCCCGAATCGCTAAACAGGGCTCGAACCGAACGTGTGACCCCACCAATGGATTCCTCTCCGAACGAGGAATCCATTGGTGGGGTCACACGTTTCGGTACGAGTCCCAGTTGGCGACTCTGGAGTTTTAGCCGCTTACGCCGGTCTTCTGGCCCACTGTATTTCGTTGGCTGCCTCAAATGTTTTTGTATTTTTTCGCTTGTCACGAGACCGCCTTATAGGGCGCGAAACCGATCCTTCTCTTTCTGCGCGCCTTCTTTTTCAAGGACGCTTCCCACCCCGGCTGTCATGGGGCTGCTCGCAGACGCCGCGAGTACGTACGCCGCGGCACTGCCAGGGCACTGCTAGGCAGAGGCTCCGCTCGTTATGAAACGCATTGCGACAGCGCGGGGGGGGGGGATGAGGCGGAGTGGCCCAGCACCATCATCAGAGTATCGCCTGCACATCCACGCACGTCCATCCATACCCTGCCGATCGTCCAGCGCGCACGTGTCCGCGTGCTGACCCCGCGGGTGCATGCTGTCTCTCTCGCACCTTTGGATTCCCTACGGGACGCTCCGTGAGTGCGAGCGAGACAGAGCGACGAAAGCGCTGTCCGGAATGAGCCTCGGCTTTGGTCCTTGGCTGCATCGTCCAGTCGAGACTGGACAAGACTCCCTGTCTGAGGGTTTACGTTGTCGTGTCTGGTGCTTGCCATGGGTCAAAGGCACAGTGGGTTTACCAGAAGGCTGGGAGGCGGTCAAAGTCCCGGACGCGTTTTGAGCTCTAAATGGGACTCGAACCAAACGAGTGACCCCATAAATGGCTTGCTCTCCGAACGAGGAATCCATTGGTGGGGTCACACGCTCGAGTCCCGTTTGGCGACTCTGGAGCTCGCAAAACGCGGCTAGAGTTTTGGCCGCCAGTGCCGGTCTTCTGGCCCACTGTGGGCCGTGGGCTGCCATAATCGAACTGAGCGGCGTGGCCTCAGTGACGTGTGTGACAGGCAAGACGCCGGGGCACGCGCCGGCTAAACGGACGGATGGATGGACAGACAGACAGACAGACAGACAGACAGACAGACAGACAGACAGACAGTAGGACGGACATCACAAATCACAATGAGCAGGGCTGCCGGCCCACGACGTCATGCCGACCAGCAGGCAAAGCACTGGCAAAGCGACGCCTGGCGGAATTGTTTCGTCCAATTTCGTCCGCCCTGCCCTGCCGGCCCTGCCGGCCCTGCCCGCTGGACGTGGCTGGACATCTCGCCCGCGCGCTTGGACGCCGCGGACGGCTGTTTTTTGGGGTCAGGAAGACGGCCGGGGGAAATAATGTGAGCCAAGGCTGTGCGAGTATTCGAACCCGGGTCATGCAGCGGCGAGGAAGACGCAGCGATGAAGGCAACGGCACTATCACGGCCATTGGGGTAGAAAGGAAGGCCCATCTTTATTTCTGCCATACACGTTCGTGGAAATCGACAGAAAATGGTTGCCACGTCCGGGAGTTGAACCACAAAACTTCCGCCTGAATCCCACAACCAACGAATGGGAATGAATTTAAGACGAGATCCGAACCCGAGACGGGCAACAGGGTGGCGGCCCAGAAGTGTGCGGTTCGAACCGCTATCGTCCACGCGCTGGTGCTTTGCAAACCGCCGCCCGATTTCGGAGGATCGATTCATCGCTGTCTCTGTCGCTCTCACTGAGCTGCGAGAGAGACAGAGCGACGAGACCATCTTTCGGAATCAGGACCTGTTTATTTGACAGCGCGGCCGGCGCGGCGCTGCTGGAGCCCGCGGGGTGCGCAGGTCAGGACGGCTGGCGGCCAGGCAGGCAGGCAGGCAGGCAGGCAGGCAGGCAGGCAGGCAGCCAGGCAGGCAGGCAGCCAGGCAGGCAGGCAGGAGCAGGCAGGCCAGGCAGCAGCAGGCAGGCAGGCACCAGGCAGCCAGCGGGCAGGCAGGCAGGCAGGCAGGCAGGCAGGCAGGCAGCCAGGCAGGCAGGCAGGCAGGCAGGCAGCAGGCAGCCAGGCAGGCAGGCAGGCAGGCAGGCAGGCGGCAGGCAGGCAGGCAGCAGGCAGGCAGGTAGCCAGGCAGGCAGTCGGGGCGGCCCAGCCAGAGCTGGCAGCTTGGCCAGGACTTACGACCTTTGCCTGCCTCTGGCTCTGTCACTCTGTCCTCTTCCTGTCACAACCTCATTGCGATGCAGAGTGTCCAGCCGGTCGCCACACTCTTCTTTTCTAGTTCGGCCGACGCCAGGACAGCGGCAGGACACCCACAGGACACCGTCAGATGACCATCAGGGCACCACACCGTCGATTACCATCAGGACACCACCACGGGCAGAACACCGGCAGAACACGGGCAGAACACAGACAGGACACAGACAGGACACAGACAGGACACAGACAGGACACCAGGACACCGGCACTGGCAGGACAGGTCCCCAGAAAGAAAGTGTGCGCGGACGGGCGACGCGCCACACGGCGACACTCCACAATGGAGGGCGACTTCGTTACACTGTCGCGCGTCGGTCGAGGTCGCGCCAAGGTCAACGCCCGGCCGAGGTTCAACATTGGACCGCGTTCAAAGGCCGGCGTCTCGAGAGCGCCGGTGACGCGCGGATCCGGGAGAAGGGGGGGGCGTGGATAGCCGCCTTAAAGGTGGACAAAACGCCACATTGCCCCCGTAAGTAGGCAAAAAGTGCCACTTTGTCCCTCCCCCTGACCGCGGCTCTGGTTCCGCCGCTGGCTCAAGTCGCGGAAGAAAGGGAATCTGAAAAATTCCATTTTCAGGGTTAAGTTACGCTGCCGGATGTTTTTACCGCGCCGTTTGGGCGCGAAACCCCCGCCGCTTCATCAAGCGCATCCTTTCCCTTTCCTGTGGGGCCGCCCCGCCCCGCCCCGCCCCGCGCCCACGCCCCGCGCCGCGGCACCCAGCGACCTTGGTCCCCCTCCCTCCACCTTCACCGGTCCAGTGTCTCCGAGTTTAACGGGGCGGGGCGGGGCGGGGCGGGCTGAAGCATCAGCTGTTGGCGGGCCCGCGGGGTCTCTAGCCGCGGCCGGCCGCGCCCGGATCGCGACGGGGCGACCGCACCCGGTCGGTTCCCCGTACCGAGACGGGCATCGAACGGCGGCAAGCTGGCGGCAGCAGAGGGACTGTCTCTCTCACACTCATGGGGCGTCCCGTGCAGGTGCGAGAGAGACAGCGCGACGGCCCGTCCAATTTGCCTTGGGTTCTTCGGCAGCAGCACGTGCATGTGCCATTCTTATCCGGGTTCGCATCGCTCCGCATCGGGGCGTTCTATTCCTTGAACGCGCAGCCCGGCGGTGTGCGACTGTGCGGTCGACCGGCCCGTCATTTTTAGACGATTCGTGCCGGCGATAGTGTAGGAGAGGGACAGAGCGACGCAAGCTACTCTCGGAGTCAGTCTGCAGTGTGTCTACTTTTTGCCTGCTTTCCCAGCAGCGCTGATCGCGGGGCAGCAACGCTGGAAACACGAGGAAACGGCCGCCGGCGCTCAGCCCCGCCGTTCGGTTCGGTCGTTCGGCCGTTCGGCCGTGTGGCCCACTCCACCGTTACCTCACCGGATGGTTTGAAGCGCACTCGCCGCCGCGTCTTCGCGACACTCAATGCCAAACAATACGCGCGACGCGATCGGCAGGCGATAGCGCGGCGTGGCAAGGCGTGGCGTGGCAAAGGAGCCCCGCGAAAAGCGCGACGCGACGGACGCGACGTGGGTGACCGGCTGTGAGTCACAGCCGCCCATCCCAACAGTGCCGCGCCGTCAGTGCCATCAGCCGCGCGTCGCCAAGTCCGCCGCACAGTGGGCCAGAAGACCGGCGCAAAACTCTGAACGCGTTTTGAGCTCTAGAGTCGCTGAACAGGACTCGAAGCGAACGTATGACCCCACCAATGGATTGCTCTCCGAACGAGGAGTCCATTGGTGGGGTCACGTTCGGTCCGAGTCCTGCTTAGCGACTCTGGAGCTCGAAACGCGTGTAGAGTTTAGGCCGCCTGCGCCGGTCTTCTGGCCCACTGTGCGTCGTCCTGCGATGCCGCGATGCTGCGATGCCCCGGTGCACACCAGGATTAGCGCACCAGAGAAAACCAGTTGGGTTAGGTCTCCGCTATGCAACGGAATGAAATGAAACAGAAAGTTGCGTGTCGCTTTGTCCGTGCGTCTGTCTGTCCGTCTGTCCGTCCGGCCGGCCGGCCGTCGGCGTGTCTGCGCGGCCGGCCCGGCGGCGGCGCGGCGGCAGTCCCGGCCCGGACTCACCTGTTGTTGTTGAGGGCGCCGAGCTCGCCGGCATCGTCCCGCCGCGACGCAGCATCCCCGGGCCGCCCTGGGCCGGCCTGGGCCGGGCGCGCGCCCCTCACACGGACACACGCACACACGCACACACTCGCACAGGAGGCACAGCAGAGCGATGAGGGTAATCCAGAGGGCCGATGACACTGGTGGACACTGGCGGGCACTTTTGAGGTTAGGCGGCGCGGGACATCCGCCGGCCGGACACACCGGAAGCGCCGGGAAGCGCAGCACGGCCTGTCGGCGAGGCCTCCAGCCGAGATTCGGATCGCGGTTCGAATCCGCGGCGGGGCGGCGCGGGGCCGCACCTACGCGACGACGCGGCGAGGCGGCGAGGTGCTGCGGAGGCTCGGAGCGCGCGGCACGGCGGGATACCTCGGCCCCACGGCAGCAAACACAGACTGGACTGGCCGACTGGCCGCGGCGGGGCGGGCAGAGGCGGCCGCGAGCTGCCGGCAGGGGCGGGGAGGGGCGCGGGGGCAGCGGGGGCGGGCGCGGCGGCGCGCGGACCGGTGAGGTTAGGGAAGAGGTGCCTCGCGGAGGGGGGCGGCACGGCAGCGGGACGACGGGCAAGTGCTAGGGCCCCTCCAACATCACCGGCTGCTGGCAGTGCTGGCTGGCCGCGCACTCGCGCAGACGGCACCCTCTTCCCTTCCCCGTGCCCCTCGCCCCGCCGCCCTGGGCTGCGCCCTGCCCCCGGCCGGCCGCCGCCCCCGGGCCACCCGCCCCCGCGCCCCCGCCCCCAACGCCCCGACACACGGACCCCACGCGGAAGACGGCCGGGCTCCGCGCGCTCTGCGGGCACGGCATACCAACCGCCGGAGAAAGGATTGGCGGCGCAGCGCACAGTCTCTCTATCCTTGTCTGCTTTTTCTCTTCATCCTTCGTCCCTATTCCCTCGCCGCCAACCCGATCGAGAGTGTGCGAGTGAGATGGCGGTGACCGATTGGAGGAAACTGGCCAACCCCCTCCACGCGCTTGGCCTCACACCAGCTGGTCGCGACTTGGGTACCGGGCCGCGGCTCAGCGCGCGGCGCGCAACGGCGTCACCTGTCCGCCCCGCCCCGCCCCGCCCCGCCCCTCATAGTTGCGGTGTCCGGCGGCGACCACTCGTCTCGATCGTTGTCATTGAAGCACAATTCCAGCGCAACCTCAGACACCCCCTCGGCGAGTGACCCTGGTCGGCACTGCTTCGACCTGTCGCACGCCCCCGAACCCCACACATACACACGCGGACGCACACACAGATACACACACACACAACACACACACACACACACACACACACACGGCCTTAACTTTTGGCGCCCCGCTTTCCTCGCGAACAGCAACGCCCCTCGTGTTGCACTCGGCCGATGCGCACGCCGATATAAAACGCTGTTCTCGCTGTCGGGCCGATTAATTGCTGGAACACCAGACGGAGCCGTCGTTGTCTTCGTCACCCTGTCTCTGTCGCACTCGCGGGGCGTCGCCTGTGGGCCTGTGGGTTGGAGAGAGACCGCGGTCTGCAAGGCGTGGACGCAATGCCAGGGGCGGCGCAGGGGCGCTACGCCGGGCCTGCGTCTGGCGTGGACATGCAGGGCGGGGCCCTGTACTACACTCATTCCGCGAGTCGTTTTCGTCGCTCTGCCTCTCTCGCGCTCATGGAGCGTCCCCTACAGGCGCGAGGGGGACAGAGCGACGAAAACGACTCTCGGAATCGGTCTGCTGACCGCCGGGCCGTACGTGCAGTGCAGTGCCTTGCAGTGCGGTGCCTTGCAGTGCGGCGGCGTGTCGGTCCTGATCAACTTTACGCCGGCTGATTTATCGGTGCAGGCGGGTGGCAGTGTGGTGGCAAAGCAGCAGCCTTAATCCCCGCCCGGCTAATCTCATCGAATGATTAGCCACGGTCGTAAAAGTCGCGCGCTGGCCTGCGGCCTGGACCAATACGTCTAGTACGCTGTAGCGGGTGGGTGCATGTAACCGGCCAACCACACTGTAGGCAGGCACAGCGGGCCAGAAGACCGGTGGAGGCGGACAAAATCCCGGACGCGTTTTGAGCCCCACAGTCGCCGAATGGGACTCGAACTGAACGTGTGACCCCACCAATGGATTGCTCTCCGAACGAAAAATCCATTGGTGGGGTCACACGTTCGGTTAGAGTCCTGTCGAGCTACGCTGGAGCTCAAAACCCGTCCGGGGTTTTGGCCGCCTCCACCGGGCTTCTGGCCCACTGTGCGGAGCGACGCCACGTGTGCGTGCGTGTGCTGGCCTCACGGCGTCACGCTGCGTGCAAGGGAGCTAATTGCGCTGCACACTCATTCCGAGATCCGTCCCCGTCGCTCTGTCTCTCTCGCACTCGTGGGTCGTCCCACGAGTGCGAGAGAGACAGAGCGACGAAAACGACGCTCGGAATCAGTGTGCTGCACGGGGCTTGGCCGCTTCGCCGCTTCACCGCTCCGCCGGCTTCGGAATGACTTTCGTTATTTGGGCTATGTAATAACTTAGTGCGCGTAACCATGGTAACTATCGTGTACGTAGTGTACGTACAGTCTGTCCAGTAAGTGCAGCAGTGTGCGTTAATGGAGCCGCCTCCCGGGATGGGCCGTCGTCTCTCCATGCCACTCCATGCCACTCCATGGTCTCTCTGGGGCGACCAGGCAACTCCAGACGACGCCGCAGCGCGCCGCAGCACTGCCGAGCCAAGAAACAAACTATTTGAAAAACTGAAAAAAAAAACGATCTTAATTTTATGGTTTTTAATTGTTGAATTTTCGGCGCTTTTTTTCTCGTTGGGCATTTTGATATTTACCAAAGAGAGAGAAAGTTCATTATTGTAAATAAGCCGGAAAAAATGTCCTGAATCTTAATTTTTACAGTGGTTTCCCCCCCCCCCTCTCTGTCTCTCTCTCTCTGCCTCTTTCTTCGAGTATATCTTTCAACTTCGGCGAGCGCATGAATGCAGGTGCAAAGCAGGCGAGCGGTCAGATGTGGTCGCGAGATGAGGAAAAGTTAGAGACTGACACCCAGTCACTCTGCCGCTCGGCTCGACCAGAGGCTCGACCACACCCAAAGCAGGACGTGTTATCCGGGCAGCCATCCAGGGACACGGCGGGCAGGGGCAGCAGACGGATTCCGTGAGTCGCTTTCGTCGCCCTGTCTCTCTCGCACTCATGGGGCGTTCCGTATGGGTGCGAGAGAGACAGAGCGACGAGAAAGGACTCTCGGAATGAGTCTACGGACCGGGCAGGCCGGGCCGCGAGGGCGCCGCGGACATTCCGTTTGTTGCACACTTGCTGTGTCATTTCGCCGCGTCCAGCCGAGTGCGTCGCCCCACTGCACTTTTAATTTTATGGGAAAGGCGTGGTCGGGATTCGAACCCGGAATCCGGAGTCCGACTCTCGGGCTTCGCCGTCCAGCGACAATGTGTAAGAAAGGCGGGGCGGATCCAGAGTATCCAGAGCCAGGTGCAGGGGGGGGGGCAAAAGTTGCCTTCCTACAGGGGCAAAGTGCTACCTTTGCCTGCCCCCAGCACAATAATCAGAGCACAGGTTTCATCAGAGAGGGGCGACGCCCCCTCGTGCCCCCCCCCCCTTTACACTCCTGGATCCGCAACCGAGTTTAGGAGGGTCCTGCATGAAAGCGGCCCGAAGTGTAACCGGAGCTTTTTGGAAAGCCCTGCGCTCCTTCGGCGTTAGGGAGTCACGAAGGTGCGCGGAGGTGGCGTGGCGGCTTCGATGCGCAAAGCGGCAAAGCGGCGCGCCGCCGAGGCAGCAGACTCATTCCGAGAGGCGCTCTGTCTCTCTCGCACTCACGGGGCGTGCCGAATGGGTGCGAGGGAGACAGAGCGAGACTCTCGGAATCAGTCTGCGGAGAGGCGCGGCGCCGCGGCATGTGTGTGAACAATGGGCGGCACGCGCCCCGCACGCGTCGCGCACGCACGCGTGCACGTCACCAGCGCACGCCGCGCTCGCCAGGCGCCAAGTACAGCATCACGCTTACGCGCGCATACGCCGGGCTGTGCTCTGCTCGCGCCGTGCGGCCGACCGCGGCGCCGGCGCATCTGCAAGTGCAGTGAGGGCAGTGGCACGGCACGTGGTCCCAGCACCGGCGTTCGGAGCACCGTAGCTGCAGGATGGGTTGCCCACCCACCGGGCGAGCCGGGCGCACGTGCTGCAGCTGCACGACGCGTAGGTTGGGTGGCCTAGCGCGCACGGCTCGCCGCACAGTGGCGGCCAAAACTCTAGACGCGTTTTGACCTCCAGAGTGGCTAAACAGGGCTGGAACCGAACGTGTGACCCCACCAATGGATTCCTCGTTCGGAGAGCAATCCTTTGGTGGGGTCACACGTTTGGTTCGAGTCCCACTTAGCGACTCTACAGCTCAAAACGCGTCCAGAGTTTTGGCCGCCTGCGCCGGACTGCACGCGAAGCAGTGGTGCTGGTTGGGCGGCCTAGCGTCGCGGCGCGCGGACTGCTCGAAGGGTTGCCTAGGGTGGGGGGCGCGCCGCCCAGTGCAGGTGGTCGGTGGGTTGCCTGCCAGCGCGGCGTCCAAGGTCTCGCTCGGCCTTGTTGGCCAGCTCGTGACGCGTGGCCGCGTGGCCGTCACGTCACCAAGTGCACGACGAAGGCCAGCCCGATGACGTCATCCCCAGGCGGGTTTCCCCACCGAAATCATTGGCCAACGTTTTATAATAAACGTGCTCGACGTGTCCAGTACGGCACCCGGGCCTTAGGCCGGGGTGGGTCTTTGCCAGGCTCAGGCTCTGCGCCGCTCTGCGCCGCTCTGCGCCGCTCTGTGCGAACCGGGGGAAGTCCCTGCCGCCGCGGCCGCCGCGTGTCTCTGGAAGGAGGTCAGTTCCTGCATGTTTTGCGTTATTTGCGACACTCGCTCGCGGTGCCGCAATCAAGTTTTGCGTTCAGAGCCCCCTGCGGCCTGCGGTCCCTGCGGTCCCCTGCGGTTCCCTGCGGCTCCCTGGCCACGACACTGTGTGCCGGACTTGGCCGCGGACTTTGCGGGGTGGGCGTCGGCGAGGATCCAGGGGACGAGGGGCAAAAACACAATGGCCTCCCGCGCCGGCCAGACAGCCGCCTGAAAGGTAGGCAAATGGCTACACTTCGCCACTGTACGTAGGCAAAAAGTGCTACTCAGCCTCCGCCTTTCGGAATGACTCTGGATCCGCCACTGTTGGCCGTGCCTCGCGGAAGTCCCTGCGACTCCTTTTCGCCAGCCACCGTCACGCCACTGTATGGTTTGCGCGTCTTTCTTTGAAAGTGGGCAAACATCCCCGGCCGGCCCTCCTTGGGGGAGGGGGCATTGGCTACCCCGCCGTGTCGGGGAGGGGAGGGGCTGCCCTCTGCAGACTGACTGCGAGAGTCGTGTTGGTCCGCGGCGCCGCGCGTTCCACAGTGGGCCAGAAGACCGGCACAGGCGGACAAAACTCTACGCGCGTTTTGAGCTCCAGAGTCACTTAATGGGACTCGAACCGAACGTGTGACCCCACCAATGGATTGCTCTCCGAATGAGGCCCGAATGGAGTCGCTTAGCGGCTCTGGAGCTCAAAACGCGTCTGGAGTTTTTGCCGCCTCCGTCGGTCTTCTGGCCCACTGTGCCGCGGCCTGGCCTCGCGGTGTGTTGCCTTGCAGTGCGGTGCCTCGGGCGGTGCCAGCGAGGTGCGAGTCGGTGCGAGTGGGGCAAGGCGACAACGCAACGCCACCTCGCCGCGGCGGCGCGATGCACGGCAATGCACGGTAATGCACGGCAGGATCGACGCATCGATAGTAAATGAAGATAAGACCAAATTATGTTTAACTTACTTTAATCTGATAGATGACTTACAGTACAAAAATGACGTGAACGAATTAAATACTTTCAATAATAATAATAGTAATAAAAATCTATGAAATATGGGTGAAAGGACAGGTCCATGACAAAAGCGAGATTCGTGATTCACAATCGTACATACAAAAAGCCCCTCGGCAGAATCACAGGCAGAGCCTCGAGAATTTCGCGCACCACGCAAAAGTGCGAATTCGGCTTTGAAAAAAAAATGATGTCATAATAACAGTCACGTTCAGAGGGGGCTTCCTCCCAAAAACACAACATGACGCGGGCGAATTCTCTTTTAAAACAGCATCTCTGGCCAACAAACAAATTTGTCTACGACGCAGGCCGGCGGGCGAAACATTCCAAAACGTGAAACTTATCACAGTGTAAAGTACTCGGCGGAGAGAACATCAATATGATGCAGCAGAGCACCCCTCCAGGCAGGGGCAACCTCACAAAAAAACACAAACAGGGCACGCGAACCGGGCCGGCACGCTTAATCAATAAATAAAATGACTGGTTTTAAGTAAAAGAGGTGGGGGAGGCCTAGGCTGGCCTAGCCGGCGTACTCCCGGATCAGCTTGCTCCACTCCCTGGGGTAGTTCCTCTGGATGTGGGACAGCACCTTCTGGATCTGGCGGGTCTCCTGCGGACTGCACTGCGGGCACGCTCCTCGCAGCACCAGGGGCGCCAGGGCTGCAACGGAACGGCCAGTCAGACAAACAGGTAGTAATACTTACAAGAGCATGATCAAGGGGAAATCACTGTGGATTTCAGTCGAATTTCAATGAATTTCGGGCAAAAACTGCTGAATTTTAAGAAGAATTTCGATGAATTTTCATAAAGTTTGATGAATTTCAATGAATTTTAGTAAATTTTACATGCTTGATGAATTTTGGAATACAAATTTAGCTGGAGTTATTTCCCCTTGATAGTAACTTAATTTTTTTTTTAGTTGAGAGAAATGCAATGTTGCACTTACTCTTGAGCCTGCGGCCGACGGGGTCGCAGGGGGCCTCGCCGAGCGCGCACTTGAGCTGCCGCTGGAGGTAGCGCCTGTCGCCGAGCGCGCCCTCGAGCTGGGCGTCGGACACGGGCGGCCTGTTCTGCGGGCCGGGCTGGGCGCGCGCGAAGGGCGCTGGGTAGGGGCCGGGGTAGGGCCCCGGGTAGGGCGCCGCCACCGGGTAGGGCGCGGGGTAGGGCCCGGGCTGCGGCACGGGGGACGCCAGCACCACGCAGAGGCCACACAGCAACAGCGGCGCCGCCTGCAACAAAGGGTGCCGGTTAGAACACTGCGACACGTGCGGCGGCGATGACGACAACCACAATGACGCCGTCCGTCTTTTGTCTAGCAGTGCGGTCACGGCCGGAAAAGCGCGCCAAGGCTTTTCCATTCAAATCGGCGCCGGCACACAGTGGGCCAGAAGACTAGTGGAGGCGGCCGAAACTCTAGACGCGTTTTGAGCTCCAGAGTCGCTAAACAGGCCTCATACCGAGCGTGTGACCCCACCAATGGATTCCCCGTTCGGAGGGCAATCCATTGGTGGGGTCACACGTTCGAATCGAGTCCCATTTAGCGACTCTGGAGCTCAAAACGCGCCCGGGATTTCGACCGCCTCCACCGGTCTTCTGGCAAATCCACTGTGCGGAAGGAGCGCGGTTTTCCATTTCAATTTTCCTCGCGGCGAGGCGGTGGGGTGGCGCGGCGGGGCGGGGCCCGCTCGGCTCGTGTAGTGTGTGTAGGGCGGAAGGATGCTGCCATCGACGAGAGAAAGCCCCGGGGAAAGGTGGAGGGGCGTGGCAGGCGCGACGCGGGGCGGGGCGGGGCGGCGTCGCGATGTTGTTATTACGCGAGTCGACTCGTCGTTACGTCGCCGTCGGTACCGGCCGCGGCATAACCAGGACGCAGGCAACGCAGGACGCGTTCAGCACAACCCCGGACACGCCGAGCTGCGCGGACCCAGGCCTGGCCTGGCCGGGCCGCCGGGCCGATGCCGATTCCGATACCGAAACCGGACCGCGGGATATCATCGCCCGTGATGGCCGGATCCAAAACCAACTGAAACGCTTTGCGCGCGTCGCTGCGGTCGCCCTGGTCGGCGCGTTACCGCGGCGGTGCCGGCCGTGCCCGACACACGGTGGGCCAGAAGGCCGGTGGAGGCGGACAAAACTCTAGACGCGTTTTGAGCACCAGAGTCGCTAAATGGGACTCGAACCGAACGTGTGACCCCACCAATGGATAGCTCTCCGAACGAGGAATCCATTGGTGGGGTCACACGATCGGTTCGAGTCCTCTTTAGTGACTCTGGTGCTCAAAACGCGTCCAGAGTTTTGGCCGCCTCCTCCGGCCTTCTGGCCCACTGTGCGACACCAAGGCGTTACGTGTCGCGTGCGTGGCGTTGGTGGCGTTGCGGCCCGGCAAATGGGCCAACCTGCGAACTGGTCCATGGCCATGTCGCCGTCCGCCGGTCCGGCAGGCCGCCGCCGGCAGGCCAGGCACGCCGCCAGAGAGGACGCTCCGCGGCCGAGGCCAAAGGACGCGGACGCCGGGACGTCAGGACCCCGGCAGACCGGACGTCCCATACGTCGGCGCGGTCAAGGGTCGCGGCGACAACGGCCAAGGCAAACGTCAGCACTGTAAAAACCGCGAGGTTCTCCAGTTTTCTGGTTCCCGAGTTTTCATGGTTCCTGCTGGCTGGCCAGGGCGGCGCCGAGCGCGGCGCGCATCACGTTACAGCGGAGAGTACATGACGGCGACGGCGCAGCCTTCGGCGCCTTCGACGACAGCATCACAGCTTTCTCCGCCTCGCGTCGCCGCACCGCGCCGCGCCACGCCCCGCACCTGTCGCCGCGCCGCCGTGCCGCGGTAGCGCCGCGCTCTGCCGCTTGGCTATGCCCTTTAGGGACTTCCCCCGGCCTTGCCGTGCCGTGCCGTGCCACGCCGTGCGCGGCGTGAACGTGCCGGGGCATCACGCGCGTGTCCCAGACGCGGCGCCATGTCGACACGGCGCGGCGCGTGCCCGTGCCGTGCCGCGCCGTGCCGTGCTGTTTCGTCCGCGGGAGGAGGAAGGTCGTCGCAGGAAAAGGACAGCCGAGCCGACGGGTCGGCGCAAAAACAACAGCAGCAGCGACACGACCGGGAAACGGCCGTCGCGGACATCGGCGCCGTCGACGAGAACGTCATTCCGGAGGCCGGAGGCAGGCCGGAGGCGTCCCGGGCGGAGCGGCGGACACAAGCAGCAAGACAAGCGCTTTCCCTGGCCGCACACATACACACGCGCGCTCTCTCACACACTCACACACTGGCACGCACCTGCACTATCGTCCTGAGGGTTCCCGTCGGTGACATGGCGGCTGTGATGGCGGACGGGGTCTGTGGAGGTGATGTTGCCCGCTGCAGGTCGAATGCACTACTGACTGGGAGCAGCTGAACCTGCCTGCCTACCTCGGCTTGCCTGGCTTGCCTCTGCCGTCCGGAGCGAGCGTGAGCGAGTGCGTTGAGGCGTCGGGCTGCGTCGGGCCGGGGGACACCCCCCCCCTCCCCCTCGCCCGGCGACCAGCCCCACCCCTACGCGCCCGCCGTGCCCGCCGTCCCCGCCGGCCACCCAGACGAGCCTGCTGCTGGACAAGGAGGGAGGCATGTCGCCGACGTCGCCGACCGGGTGTGTGAGTGTGTGTGTGTGAGAGCGTGTTTGTGAACCGCGGTCAAGTTTGTGCATGATAAGTGCTATCGGTGAGGGGCACTTCTGCGGCGAGGCCTTCCGGACGGGGACGAAAGGGAATGAATTGCAAGGCATTTTATGTTGTTGTTCTTGTTTTGACGCAGACACCCTTTTCTAAAAAACGAAAAATAAAGAAAAATAATTACTTTACGTTTACCGGCTTGTAACTCGGTCCGGATTTCCCGGCGTTCCCCCAGCGTTCCATAGCTCTAATCAAGGATCAAGAAGGATGCCTCTCCGATAGAAGCACTCTGTGTCCGCTGTCAGTGTGTCAGTCCGGCCGCCTGGGCCGCCTGGTGCTCCTAGAGTCTTATAGCTTCCCTGTGTCGGCTTCCCGGCCCGTCAAAGGCTGGGAAGCCAAAGGCACTGGGAAGCACCCGGACGCGGCGACGCGGCCCAGCCCTAGAGGCCCTCGTAGAGGACCCAGGGGTCAGGAAATGAAATGGGGACCGGGACTCCCTGCGATAGCGCTGCGTCGCTCTGTCTCTCTCGCACCCAGACGGGCCGCCCCGTGAGTGCGACAGAGACAGAGCGACGGAACGACGATCCTTCCAAATCGCTGGACACCCAGGCGGCACCGCAGAGCGCCGCAGAGCGTACCGCACATACCGACAGAGATAACCGCACCACTACACCGTAGCGCCATTGATGGATGGACGAGGGCCGCCCCGCCCCGCCCCGCCCATTATCGGCAGGGCGACAGACGGACGCGGCTGTGGCGGCTGTGGCGGCGGCAGGGACGGACCACTACACTAAGAGCCGCGCCTCTCAAAGGGCCGAACAAGCCGAGGCAGGTGAATCATTAAAAGGTCGCCGCCTAGGTCGGGCACCACCCTCGCAGGGGAGGGGGGGAGGAAGAGGCAGGGGAGGGGGAAGGAGGCAAGGGAGGGAGGGGAGGGGAGTGGGAGGAGGCGGCGGGAGGGGCAGTGAAAGCCGAGCCGTGTGTGCAGTTTCAAAATGGTCAGCTGACCGGCACACTGCCCTAGGGAGAGACGTTGCGTTGCGCTGACTGGCCGAAACGGCGCTGCAAAATTTTAATTTTGATGATACGCGTCTGAGTTCGGCGCCCGCCCAGGCTTGTCTCGGTTTTTTGGAGCCTCGCTGTAAAAATAGGTGGTCAGTGGATGACATTTTCGTCACTTTCCTTGAATTTGTCACGTGACGACCACAATTTTCATCACAGTGCTCCTTGCCCGCAGAAAACGCGGTACAGGTGGAGCACTCTAGGGCGTTGTGAGTCATTGTGAGACATTGTGAGTCTACCTTGGTCCGCGCCTCGGGCCAAACCTATTGAGAGTCCACTAAACAGCCTCGTTACGCCTCTTTAGCGACACGTTCTGCGGGGCACGTGTGTGCCTACTATGTCTATGTGTGTGGGCGTGAGAGCTGAGTTACGTATGGTAAAGCGTGGTAAAGGCAGGTGCCGATCCAGGATTTTCGTAAGGAGGGGTAAAGTATTGCTTTTTGCCGACTTGCTGGAGCATCGCAGTGAGTTTTGCCTACTCTCCAGGCGGCCCAAGGAGGCAGTACTGAACCCCATTATGTACCTCGTTGCAGCTAGTGCAGCCTAGCAGTGCCCCTGCAAACTGATTCCGAGAGCCGCTTGCGCCGCTCGGCCTCGCGCTCGCACCTCTACGGGACTTCGCGTGAGTGCAAGAGAGGCCGAGCGACGAAAACGACTCTCGGAATCAGTGTTTGCTGCAACCACCGATCACCGCGCGAGCGAGCGAGCGACCTGAACGCGCGGCCATCGAAATTGGATTAATTCGCCCTGGCGTCGTCGCCGGCCTTCCTGGGCTGTTGCACTGGCAGGCACTGGCAGACACTGCACTGCACTGCCCCACGCCTACCTCAGCGGCCGCGCGCCGCGCGTCCCCCGTCTGGTTTTACCCAGTTACCCCGTGCCCGCCGCCCCGCCCCGCCCCGCCGCCCGCTGCGTCGCGCCGCGTCGCGTCTGGTGTCGGCAAGTCGCTGAGGTCAACGCGGTGTATAGGCCATCAGGCCAGCCAGCTGACTGATTCCGAGAGTCCTTTACGTCGCTCCGTCTCTCTCGCATTCATCGGGCGCGCCGTATGGATGCGAGAGAGACGGAGCGACGAAAGCGACTCTCGGAATCAGTCTACAGGCCAGCCAGGCCAGCCTTCCCACTCGGCCAATGCGGCGGCGCGGATCCAGTGGAAAAAGGGGGGGGGGCAACAGGACAATAATTTTGCCCTGAAAGGTTGACCCCCCATGCAAAAACAGCTTGTACCCCTTCCCACAGTGGGCCAGAAGACCGGTGGAGGCGGACAAAACTCTATACGCGTTTTGAGCTCGAGTCGATGAATGGGACTCGAACCGAGCGTGTGACCCCACCAATGGATTCCTCGTTCGGAGAGCAATCCATTGGTTGGTTCGCACGTTCGATTCGAGGCCTGTATAGCGACTCTGGAGCTCAAAACGCGTTCTAGAATTTTGTCCGCCTCCACCGGCCTTCTGGCCCACTGTGCTCCCCCAGGCAGGGCCCTGGATCCGCCACTGGCTCGCACGTGCGTCGCGGCGGCGGCGGCGCGATGGGCCGCCAACCCGAAGCGCAACACAACGCAACGAAACGCGTCAAACGCGCTGACCGTAGAGGCCGCGCCACAGCCAAGCACTGCAGCACCGCCCTCGGCCGCCCTCGTGACAATGACGCACTTCTTGCAGGAAACGTCACTCTGCGGGCCGCCGCCTGATTCCGCGCTCCGCGTTCTCGTCGCCCTGTCTCTCTCGCACCCATACGGCCATACGGGGCGCCGCGTGAGTGCGAGAGAGACAGGGCGACGGCGACCTTCGACCTCCCCGCCGCGGTCGAGCAAGCGCAGCAAGCACAGCAAGCCGAGCTGGCGAAGGGCGGCCGTTTTGCCGTTTTGGCGGGCGAACCCGCCGCCGGCCACGCCACCGGGAAGCTCCAGGGTCTGTCGTCACGGTGACAAGGTGGCTCGGGAATGACGCGTGCCGCAGACTGTTTCCGAGGGTCGTTTTCGTCGCTCTGCCTCTGTCGCACTCGTGAGGCGACCCGTACAGGTGCGAGAGAGACAGAGCGACGAAAACGACCCTCGGAATCAGTCTGCAGGTGGCTGCGTCGCCGCCGAGGTGGTGACGTAGGCCTTCTCCAGGAAGAGCGTCGCCCTTCGGGAAGTTGGGTGAAGGGCTACACACGTTGCGCTATCGACACTTGCAGTCAAAGGCCACACTAGGTAGAGTAGAGTCATGTGTGTGATGTCACTTTTTCTGTAATGACTTGCGCGGTTTTATCAGATGATTGTCGACATGCGCCGTTAGGTACACTCTCTGGCATCCAAACAGTTGCCGTTAGAGACGCCGTGGGAACAAGTTCAAAAGAGGCGGCAGCTTTCGAGGATTCCAAAAAGGTAAAAATGTCATGTTGTCAAAATTTTGACATGCGTCGTCCCGATGTCAGGTACAAAGTGCTACTACGAACCGGCCGGCTCCGGATCCTCCCTAGGTCGTGGCGCGAGCGAGCAGCGCTCTCAAGGTGGCTCTTGAGTGGCCAATGCCACTTAGCGACAATTTGAGACAAGCCTGGCGAAGCCTGGTCCCTGGCCCTGCACCCCCTCCGCCTGCCGGAACTCGTGCACCATGCCGAAAGTCGTCTTCGTCGCTCTGTCTCTCTCGCACCGACACGCAACGACGCATGAGTGCGAGAGAGACAGAGCGACCAAGACTCTCGGAATCAGTCTGCGGGCCAGCTGCAAACAGACCCGCTGATGGCAAGGATGAGCGCCATTGAGTTCTTTATACGCGGACCACGGCGCTCGCGAGACACCCCCGGGACGCCGCCGACGCCGCCAGTTAGGACGCCGTCAAGCAGAGCGCGGAGCACGCCGCCGACGGCCAGGACGCCGTCAAGCAGAGCGCGGAGAACGCCGCCGACGTCAAGATGCAGATCCTCGACCCAAAGGTACCCGGTCGCGCAGCCAATCACAGCGCGTTCCCAAACTCTTTCATTCAGTTCAATGAAAATGGACCTCTTCCTCGACATGCAGGCCCTGTTCCACTGGGCCGACTACCTGGTGCTGGCGCTCACCCTGGGCATCTCGCTGCTCGTCGGCCTCTACTATGGCTGCTTCGGCACCAAGCAGAAGACGGACCTGGAGTACCTCCTGGCCAACCGCCAGATGAAGACCATCCCGGTGGCCATCTCCTTGATCGCAGGGTTGGTGTTTCGAGTGTTTTCCCAGCCAGGATGTCGAAATTGATCGATATCTTTCGAATCGCCTGTGACTTTCTCTTCAACTAGGACGTCGAAACTGATCGATATCTAACGAATCACCCGAGGCTTTCCTTACAATCAGTATCACTTTCGATTTCGACGTGGAATTGAAATAATCAAAGCCGATATAAAAATCGATGCTCATTCGATAACGGCTCTGAAACCACTACCGATATCGATCCGTTTCGGTATCCTATGGCTGGGTCGTCCTCTTCTGGAGTTGTTGTTCTGAACGGCACTCTGACTGCGTCCTCAGCTTCATCTCGGGCATCACGCTCCTGGGAACGCCGGCTGACATCTACAGCTACGGCACCCAGTACTTCGCCATCGTCATCGGCATCTTCTTCATGGCCTTCGCCATCAGCTACTTGTACATCCCCGTTTTCGTGAACCTGGGGGTGCGGTCTTCTTTCGAGGTAAGACGGGTGGACATTATTTTGTGAGGGGCTACAACTTGAACCTGAGTAATAGAGCTAGGTAGGAAACTCGTTGACGTGTCGTAATCTTCTGCAGTACCTGAACGTCCGTTTCAACGACAATGCCGTGAGGACGCTATCTGCTGTTATTTTCCTCCTAGACGCGGTGAGAAATCGAATGAGGCCAATGGTGAATTAAAATTACGCAGCCTGCGTAACTCTTTTCATATTTTTATTTTTTTCAGATTCTCACCATCCCACTTTACGTGTATGTGCCATGCCTTGCGCTCGAGCAAGGTAGGTGGAGACGTTATTTCAAAGGTCCCGTACCTGTTCTCATGAGACCACGTGCATAATTGATGTTTTTCCGCACTTTTTTCTCCAGTGACCGGATATCCTCGAAACTGGATCGCCCTCATCGTCATGATCGTCACCGTCACTTACACCACCCTGGTACAGTGGAAAACGCGCGTATCGATGCGACATTTTCAACACAAAACAAATCACGGGACGGTTTTTTTAAATTAATCTTTTTTTTTGCAGGGTGGGTTGAAGGCCGTGATTTGGACTGACGCCATCCAGATGGTCATCTTTTGCCTCCCCCTGATCATCATTGCCGTCCTGGGCACCATCGCCGTCGGCGGCTGGCACGTCGTCTGGGAGGAAGCCGCCAAGGGAGGCAGGCTCGAGTTTTTCAAGTAACGTGTCCGAGGTTCAAATCTCCCGAATTTACTCCTTATTTTTTTCTTCCATAAAGCAACGCTTCCTGTTGCAGCATGAATCCCAGCCCGTTCGAGAGAACGTCCTTCTTCGCCGCCATCATCGGGGGCTTCTTCCACTGGACGGGGTACAACGCCGTGAACCAGACTTGCGTGCAGCGGTACCTGTCCGTGCCCACCCTTAGGGCGGCCCGCACGTAAGTTCTAACACACACACACACATACACACACACAGTGGGGACGAGGACAAGTGACCACCCCCTTGACACCTAGCTACGTAACCGACTGACTGTTCCTTGTGCAGCACGGCGTACATCTTCATGGTGGGCGTGATCGGCATCATCACCTTCTGCACCTACATCGGGCTCGTCATGTTCGCCTACTTCCGCGACTGCGATCCGCTCGCCGCCCACGTGAGTCAAGGACTGAGGGAGGACTGTTAAAGTGTCGGAAATTGAATATTCGTGACTTTGGGCAGCCACTGCGTCAAATTTAGTTGCGGTCATAGGCCTTCCTCGACGCCTTTTTATTCTGAAGACCCTACTCTTTCATGCCCTGCCTCGGGAAGGCTTTGACCGCTGATAATTTGGGAGCAGTGGTCTCGCAAAAATGGTCAAAAAGTTAATGAATGTCAGAAAATCACCGTTTTTGCTGACTTTGAGCGGTCACTGCATCCAATTTAGGTGCGGTCAAAGGCCTCCCTCGACGCCTCACTATTCTGAAGACCCTACTCTTTTATGCCCCGCCTCGGGAAGGCTTTGACCGCTGATAGTTTGGGAGCAGTGGTCTCGCAAAAATGGTCAAGAGTGATTGAATCCCCGAAAGTATGATTGTCATTTCATTGGATGATGTTGATTACTTCACTGATTACCAACTAAACGTGCAATGATTATCTTGAGTTGGGTACCCCTTGTCCACGACTCCCTCACCAAGCCTTTCTTTCCCTCCCCAGCTGGTGGCCACCAGCGACCAGATCGTGCCGCTGTTCGTCATGAAGGTCGAGGAGGGCCTGCACGGGCTGCCTGGCCTCTTCATGGCCGGCGTCCTCAGCGCCGCGCTCTCCTCCATCTCCGTGGCCCTCAACTCGTCGGCCGGCGTCGTCCTGGACGACCTGTACCGGCCCTTCATCAAGAACGACATCTCGGAGCTCAAGGGCGCCATCTTCGCCAAGGTGGCCTGCGTCATCCTGGGCGTGCTGTGCACCGGGCTCACCATGGCCATGTCCGGGCTGCAGTACATGATCCAGGTCAGACACTGAACAGTGGTAGAGCTGAAGCGTACTTTTACGCCTCTCTTCGCTCGGCTTCGATTGCAGTTATGCCAGAATCCTTTGCAATGTCGCCGATTTTGCGTTTCCCAGGTGGCGATGACTCTGATGGGCATCGCTGCGGGCACTCAGTTCGGCATCACGTCGCTCGGCATGTTCAACCCGTACGCCAACTGGAAGGTGAGAGTGTGCGGGCGCAGCACGGCACAGTGGGCCAGAAGACCGGCGCAGGCGAACAAAACTCTAGACGCGTTTTGAGCTCCAGAGTCGCTAAACAGGACGATGTTGCTTGTTGCAGGGCGCGCTGACCGGCGGCATCGCCTCACTCGTCGTCATGGGCTGGATCTCGGTGGGCAACGAGATCATGTCCATCGAGGGCCGCCTCAACTACCCGGCCCTGCCCGTCAACGTGAGCGGCTGCGTGCCTCCACTGGCGCCCGTGGTCATGCCTACCATGGAGTGAGTACAGACCGTCGCTCTTAAACTGCTTATCCAAGTCAATGCTGCACACTTGCAAATCGACCACTCCCTGACCTAAGCTGTAACGTGTCGACCAACAAACACTTGACAGCCTCAATCAATGGTTGAACAGAGCGCAGGCAGGACACGGAGTGGTCGACACTTGCAGGCGTAGGACAGTACAGCAGTGTTGTCTCATTGTTGTCTGGCCTGGCGGTGAAATGTCGAAGTGCTTCGCGGTGCTGACGGTGTGCTGACGGTGTCCTCCCTGCCGCAGCCCCACGGTGCTGCCCATCTACAAGCTGTCCTTCCTGTACGTGGCGCTGTGCGGCTGGATCATCGTCATGGTGGTCGGCTCGGTCGTGTCCTTGATGACGGGCTCCACCGACGTGGACGCGCTGGACTCCAACACCCTCACGCCGCCGGTGGCCAAGTGGCACCGGAAGAGGCAGGCCTCCAGGAAGGCGGCCAGCTTGAGCTCGGAGCGGCTCGACCGCATCAGTATCAGCACGCTCAGCGTCACGGGCAACTACAAGCAGGCCTAGACCCTCGCCCAGACCGGGGCCCAGACCCGCACTCGACAAGCCGCTATGAAGAGTTCCTGACCCTTTGGTTACTTTTGTTCTTCACTCGTCGCCGACTGAAATTGAACCCATTGGAGACGCCATTTCGATTTCAGGGTGGAAATAAAACCATAGTACAAACGACTGACACACAAACAAGGCCTCCTCGATGTCGACGACCGATCCAAGCAGTCTGGGCGGGCTCCCGAATCCGAGACGGACAGACGTAAGGTCACGGCGACGACCTGCAAAGTCACACGGGAAAGGACCGTGGCGGATCGCGGCGACCAGACTGATTCAGCGAATTGGTTATCTCTCTCGCACCTACACGGGACGCCCCGTGCCGTGAGTGCGAGGGAGAGGGTGACGACGCGACTCTCAGAACGAGCCACCTGGTGGACACGCACCCAGCGAGTGGTTAGCTTCCCGGACGACTCGTCCGTTCGATAGGTCGATAGGTACTTTCGTAATGAAACGGCGCGTATCGGCACTCGAGGCGCGTAATCTCGATGGACTCTCCGCTGAGAATCCGAACAGGACGAGATTTGAGGCCGTGATAGCGTGATAAGGCGGAGAGCGGCCGAGCGCCGGCAGCGCGGGCAACCCATTGCGCAGCGCCGCCGGACAAGTGGCGCGCTGCAGCAGGAGGCTGTGGGTCTGTGGGGCATGACGGGCATGACTAAGAGGTGACTCGGATCGCCAGAGTGACGTTCGAGACTGTCTGGTCGAAACCTCGTTATCGGGCACACGCAGCGGCAAGGCTTGCATTACGAGGTAAAATCAAACAAATCCCACAGAGGATTCTCTGATACGGCCAAAAACAGTGAGTGCGTCAACCGTGAATCACAAAAAACAACACTTTCTCTCTTCACAGTCGCGCCTCTCAATTTGTACAATGACTCATGGTTATCACAGCAGAGCAGACCCGATGGGACCACGTAATTCGAAAACTAAAGTCCTTTCGGCCGCCATCGGGTATGAAGGCAAGAAATAAATTAAAGATTTCCCTCATTGGATCGCAGTCCTTGCATCGGCCGTTGCCGAGGCCACCACTGGCCAATCACACGCGTCTTCGCGGCAGCACGGCATGCCAGTCTACTTGTTCTTCTTCCTGATGTCCTCCTGCGACCGGGCGGGCGCGGACGTCCGCAGCAGCACGCCGAGCAGCTTCTTGAAGACGAAGACGACCAGGATGACGGCGGCCAGCGCGCAGGCCAGCACGTCCAGCAGCAGGTACTCGTGGAGCGCCATGTCGGCGCCGAGGGGTCGCAGGTGCGGCGCGCCGTGGTTGCGGACCACGTACTCGGTCCACCAGATGGCCTCGTCCATGGCCTGCCGCGGCCGGTCGCGGAACAGCGCCGCCACCTCGCGCGCCCGCTGCCGGTACCTGTCATCAGCGGAACGGCCAATCAAAACCCGCCAATTTCGAACATTCCGCGGTGTCCGCGCTGAGCGAGCCGCGAAAGACGCAGCGAGTCCCTGGTTCGACGGACTGACTCACTTGGGCTTCTCGGTGAGCTCCCTCAGCACGGCCAGCGTGCTGTCCAGGGTGGCGCTGCGGATGTCCAGGCGGCCCGCCACGCCCAGCGACTTGTACAGCTCCGTGTTGGCGAACTGGTCGGCGAACAGCGGGATGCCCAGCATGGGCACGCCCGCCTGCAGCGCCTCCAGCGTGCCCATCAGGCCGCCGTGGGTCATGAAGAGCACGGTGTTGGGGTGGCCTGGAGGACGGTGGTGGCGTTAGCGGGGGCACAGTGGGCCAGACGACCGGTGGAGGCGGTCAATGTCGGGCGCGTTTTGAGCTACGCAGGCTACTCACTGAGGATGGCCATCTGCGGCAGCCACGCGCTGACGCGCACGTTGGGCGGCAGGGCCACGTTGTCCGTCTCGAACTTCCAGAGCACGCGCTGCGGCAGCTTGGCGAAGGCGCCCAGCAGCGCGTCCCGCTTCTCCACGGGCAGCGAGTCAGACCTCATCATGGAGCCCAGCGAGAAGAAGATGACGCCGTGCTTGGCCTCGTCCATCCACTTCTTGAGCTCGGGCTCCAGCGAGTTCGGCGGGGCGGGCTGCACAGAGGATTGCAGACATTGGTCGTGACGGGAGTACGATGGGTTGCCGACGGGCACGGCGTTGGGCGAGCTGGGTCGCCACTCGGGGCTTGGGACACACACTCCAACGAGCAGTGTGACCTGGACCCACCTTGATGTGCAGGCCGCCGACGTGCACGATGTTGGGCGTGACGGGCCTGGCGGCGTGGATGCTCACGTGCCGGTTCAGCAGCATCAGGCTCGTGTTCTTGATGAGCTCGGCGACGGGCGGCACGCCCTCGCCCAGGAACTCCCGGACCACGGCGTCACTCGGGTCGTTCATGATGGTCTGCGGGAGGAGGCTGGTGAGGTAGCGCACAGTGGGCCAGAAGACCGGTGGAGGCGGCCAAAACTCTAGACACGTTTTGAGCTCCAGAGTAGCTAAACAGGACTCGAACCGCACGTGTGACCCCACCAATGGATTCCCCAGTCGGAGAGCAGTCCATTGGTGGGGTCACACGTTCGGTTCGAGTCCAATTTAGCGATTCCGGAGTCCCACCCCCCCGTCTTCTGACCTGGCCCATTGTGTGGCAAAAGCACCTTAGGCCAAAGCTCTGCGAGTCCTACCTTGTGCAGCCACTTGATGTACGCGGTGGTGCAGGTGTTGATGAACCTCTGCCACAGGTTCATGGAAGAGGTGTACCCCGTGAACACGTTGACGAGGTACGACGGGTTGTCGACCGAGCCGAACCGCTCGTGCATGAACGCCACGTCGGGCGCGGAGGACATGCTGATGAGGGGCAGCTTCATCTTGTAGGCCACCGCGGCCCAGCAGTCGGACCCGAAGATCTCCGTGAACACGACGTCGAACTTGCCGTAGCCCCCGTTCATGAGCCGATCGAACTCCGGCAGGCTAAACACCTGCAATGGGTTATCTGTTGAATCGCTAGGCCCGGGCAAGGTGCGTGACTGGTAAAACTGAAGACTGGCCTCGAGCGTGGATTAGAAATTCGTCTTCACGTGTGAATAGACGGGAGAGGAGCTAAAAGGGGTAGTACGCTTGAAGCCAAGCGTAGCAACCACTACCTTTAAAGAAAAGCGTAAAAGTAGGCTTCAGTACGCACAGTGGGCCAGAAGACCGCCGGTGGCGAGATCTCTAGACGCGGTTTGAGCTCCCAAGTCGCCAAACAGGACTCGAACCGAAAGCGACTCTGGAGATCAAAATGCGTCTAGAGTTTTGGCCGCCTGCACCGGTCTTCTGGGCCACTGTGCAGTGTTGCTTTAGGAGGCGAGTGCACTACCTGCCTGCACAGGTTGGGCCCGGAGAAGCTCGCCATGCGGTGCATGGACTGCCACATGGCCTGGCCCGGGATGACGGTGGATGAGCTCGAGACTTTGTCGAAGGAGAAGGTGTTGATCAGCGACGGGGCGCCCTCGGCCGTGTTGATGTCCGTCAGGTTGGCGAGCGGCGTCTTGCGCGGGAAGGGGCTGAACACGACCACCTCGTGGCCCCGCTCGGCCATCGTCTCCATCATGGCCTGGAAGAGGAGCGTGTGAGAAACGCGAGCGCCACAGTGAGCCGAGACCGGCGCAGGTGGCCAAAACTCTAGACCCGTTTTCAACAGCCGAGTCACTTAATGGGGCTCGAACCAAACAAGTGACCCCACCAATGGATTGCTCTCCGAACGAGGAATCCATTGGTGGGGCCACACGTTCCTTTCGAGTCCAGTTTAGCGACTCTGGAGCTCAAAACGCGTCTTGGGTTTTGTCCGCCAGCGCTGGTCTGCCGGCCCACTGTGCGCGCGGTCCGCGGCCATTCAAACTCTTCGCCGGGAAGAGCAACGAGAGCGGCGACGTGCCCCACCCCGCGCCACGACGTGGAGGCCCGCAAGGCAACCGAAGGCCGAAGGCCAAGCAAGCCGACCGGCCGACCGACCTACCTTGAAGAAAATGTTGTGGCTGTGGGCGGGCAACGGGAACAAGCCCAGGACGCGGAGGGCCTCGGCGGGGCCGGGGCCGCCCAAGGGGCCGGCGGCCGCCAGCCAGCAGCACGCCGCCAGCAACGTGAACCAGGGCCTCATCGCGGACGCGGTGCGGGCGCAGTGCAGACGCCGTGTGTCGACAAACCGACAAACGGTGCTGTTCGGTGGAGAGCGCCCGAGTGCCAGGCAGTCCTTATCTCGATTCAATCACGCTGGTCACCGTGTGCCGCGGCCTGCCGTGATTGCGTTGACAGACTCTGACGAGACGCACTCAGTTAGGCGGGCCCATCTCATTAATCAGCCTCCTGGGCGGGCAGATAGAGCGCACAGTGAATAGACCATTCTAATCGTAGGCGAGTGAAGCAGCACTTTTGCTTGGTAGAAGTTAGGGAGAATATTTTACAGTCAATACAACATATTTTCAGTGAACATATGGACTCTAAATGCCCGAAATGAGTCTTTTGTGATTCTTCTTGTTCTTCACTCGGCCACGACTAGAATGGCCTATCAAATGATGATCTCATCATCAAATCAACATCAGCACCAGGGAGAAGCACCGTCGATCAATAGGTCGTGTGATTTGAGCAGCGCTTGACGTTTGACAGCGCTAGACGCTTGACAGCATTTCACGTTTGACAGCGTTTGACGCAGTTAAGCTCTGTAGGTGTTCAGTTCATGTTCAAGTCAATGTCAGAAAGCTCAGCCCGGCCTGACCGGGCTTCGTCTTCAAACGCCTGTGCTGCCGGGGAAGGCTTCCCACGGGGCACCGGTGTCGAAAGGGTGGCCTACCTCAGCCTGCGCCGTAGGCAACTTCTCGACAGAAAGCCCTGAGTGCGAGAGAGACAGGAGGGCGACGCACAGTGCGCCAGAAGACCGTCGAAGGCGGCCAAAATTCTAGACGCGTTTTGAGCCCCAGAGTCGCTAAACAGGACCCGAACCAAACGTGTGACCACACCAATGGATTCCTCGTTCGGAGAGCAATCCATTGGTGGAGTCACACGTTCAGTTCGAGTTCCATTTAGCGACTCTGGAGCTCAAAATGCGCCATGAGTTTTGGCCGCCTCCACCGGTCTTCCGGAAGCACGCCTTCTGCTGTGCCCGTGGAATACGTCAGACTCACCGGCGGCATGGCGGAGTCGGCATTCTCGCGGACGGGTGTCCTGGGTGTCCGAGTGCGCCAAGCTGGCCGGCCAGACTATTACTGGTCCCCCTGGCCCCCGACGCTAGACGCTACGGGACGGGGCACTACTGAACTACTAGGGGGCCGGGCCCCTCTCCGCCGCCACGCTTCGCCGCCACTCGCGCTGCAGACCGATTCCCAGAGTCGTTTTCGTCGCTGTCTTTCCCGTAGGGGACACCCGACACCCCGTGTGTGCGAGAGAGACAGAGCGACGAAAACGACTCTCGGAATCAGTCTACTGACCCTGAGGCGGCGGTTATATTGACCGCGGCGACGGGCGCGTGGACGTCGCGTGGGATGCTTGGTGCTTCCGAATGCTGACAGCCGGCTCTTCACTCTCTCCCTCACTCTGCCCCGCGATAGCCGGCAACCCGCGCGGCAGCGGAGTACGCCACATTTCAACCCCCTTCCCCCTCCCCCGATATTTCCGCACTTCACTACCAATGCGCGTCCTGGACTCATTTCCAATGCAATGCTTACCTCCCGACCCCCCACGAATTTCAAAGTCATCGGGCTTCGAAAAAAAAAAAAAAAACAGAAAAAAAACAAGTACCAACATGAGAGCATAGGGCGAATGAGGGCGGAATTTCTTCAGTGCCAAGTGCAAGTCCGTTCAAAATAGAGTGACTGAACGGCAGCGACGAACTAGCATCGTGGATCGCATGACCACGTGTAAACAAGTCGCAAGAGGTGATTGTTCTGATAAACTTTTGTTTCAAAATAAAAGACCAAGTGTTGTGCGGTTCGTTGGATTTCTCATAGTGGGCGAAGTGGCTGGTGACGAGTAAAGGTCTGTCCGTCCGTCTTCGTCTTCTGTCTGCTCAGCTGGTGCTGTCCGCTCCGCCGCTCCGCTCGCGTGCATGCTCACTGGCCGGTAATCTTTTTAATCTTGCTTGGGAACAACTTCCCTCTATCGCTGCCATTCGTTTGTTTACGCCGGTGAGCTCACTCAGTTGCCAAAGAGTGCCCCCGGGCTCTGTCAGCACCCGTCCGTCATCTACGGTAATGTAAGTACCTTGCTACCCTGGCGCAGCCTGGTGTGGGTGGTGTAGGGAGTGTGGGGATGATGACATAGGGGTATGACATGATGTCTTTTCAAAGGAATCTTTCAGCAGGTATATTTACCTCATTCTTGTATCTTTGTCTTTGGCAGTATGCCCAGCACAATGAGCGGTGAAGGATACCTTCAACGGAAAGTTGGCTTTGCGACAGCAGCCATCCATGGAGGAAACGAGCCGGAGAAATGGAACTGTCGAGCTGTGGTGCCAGGTATTTTCACCTCGACCACCTACAAGCAGGACGCCCCAGCCGAGCACAGAGTATGTTAAATTTCTTGAACATTGGGTGGTATCTTGGTTTTAAGTTAACTTTCGATATGCTCATGTTCTGTCATGTATCCAGGGGTATGAGTATGCAAGGAGCAACAATCCAACCCGTGAGGCTGCAGAGCAGTGCCTGGCAGCAATAGAGGGAGCGAAGCATTGCATGACTTTTGCCTCGGGCCTTGGTGCCACTACAGCACTTGCAGGCCTGCTGAACCAAGGGGACCACATGGTTGCCATGGATGACCTTTACGGAGGCACCTATCGTTATTTCAGCAAAGTCTTGAGTCGGATGGGTGTGGAAATTTCATTTGTTGATGCTCGAGACCCGGCCAAAGTTGCATCTGCAATGCGGCCTAACACCAAGGTGAGTTACAATTTTCTTTCTCCACTCATTTTAAGAATTCTTGTAATTTATTTATGCTTTTCTTTTCTCAGATGGTGTGGATTGAGACACCAACTAATCCACTCCTAAAAGTTGCAGACATCCAAGCTGTCTGTAAAGTTGCCCATAGCCAGCAAGGTGTTATAGTTGTTGTGGACAATACATTTTTCACATGCTACAACCAAGTAAGTTTCTTATCCCCTTATTCTGTAATCAAGCTAACTATGTGTCTTCTAATTAATCATCTTGTTCTAGAAACCTTTGACTTTGGGTGCGGACATTGTAATGTATTCCCTTACTAAATATATGAATGGGCACAGCGATGTGATCATGGGAGCTGCCCTCATGAATGATGATAAGCTGCATGAAAGTTTGAGATTTTTGCAAAATGGTTTGTTCAGTTTTGAAAAAAAGATTTATGTGTTTTAAATTTGGAATAGCACTTATCCTTTTTCTTTGAACCCTGTATTTCAGCCATGGGTATTGTCCCTTCGCCTTTTGATTGCTCCCAATTAAATCGCAGCTTGAAGACTCTTCCTTTGCGAATGGAAAGACACATGAATAATGGGTTGTTAGTTGGTCAGTATTTGGAGAAGCACCCACTTGTTGAGAAAGTACTTCATCCAGGTATTAATTTCTGTTATTTCTGTTATGTTGGCGCATCTTATAAGTTGCAATTACATTTGCTCTCTTTCTGGATTCACAGGTCTTCCATCTCATCCCCAACATGACCTAATCAAAAAACAGTGCTATGGTGTGAGTGGCATGTTGTCATTTTACATTAAAGGAGGCCTGCAAGAAAGTAGAAAATTTTTGAGCTCTTTGAAAGTGTTTACCCTGGCTGAAAGTCTTGGAGGATATGAATCACTTGCTGAACTGCCGTAAGTACACACTTGCCAGCTTGTCAGCTCACCTTGTTAACCATGTTCAGTCATTAATTTTTTTTTTCTACCTTTTTTTAAATCTCCAGATCAGTTATGACCCATGCATCTATTCCACCAGAACAACGAGCCGAACTTGGTATCACAGACAGCTTGATCCGATTGTCAGTTGGGTTGGAGGATGCTGAAGACCTCATTGCTGATTTGGAACAGGCTCTGAAAGCTGCAGTATCCAAATAAATAAAACTGAATGTAATCATCCATATAATGTTTCTATCAAATACATAATATATTAACATTATTTTTGAAAACAAGCCCAGCATTTATTTTTTAATACAACCATGCAGAGAACCTGAAGCGCATGATGTTTTCTACAGTCTTTCAGTTATAAATCAAAACAAGGTACAATAAAATTCATGAAGCCTGGTAATGACAGGTAGCACCATAAATTAATACTGATTTGGACATGTGACTATTTATTCTGATGGAGTAGATTGAGGCTTAGTAAGACGTTTGGCACCACGATTGGGAGGTCCTTTGGGTTTGGCAAATTTGGGGCGGTGAAGACACTTCTTAGGATGGATCTCATCAAGCAAGAATTCCTCAGTGAGCTCTGCTCCAGAATCAATTTCCAGCTGTAATAGATAACACGGTCAGGAAAAAACTTTCTTTCTCCTCAAAATTATGAATAAAGAGTTTAAGACTTTCAAATCATTTACCTTCTTAGTTACAACTAATCCAATATTTTGCTCAATATCACTTAGCAATGGTGCTTTACAGCTTGAATACAGCATTCTCTCCTTGATGGAGCAGGAATATCCAGGCATTGAATAGATAAATACTAGGAAAGAACATTTGAAAAGGTTAATTACAAATCATTTCCTTAAATTTATAAAAATTACCAATTACTCCAACAACACCTACCAACAGATTCCAAATAATCTCCTTCATGTGTATGTTTGAAGTTGTACAGGTGATAACGAGCACTGTCAGAAGGAACTTTAGACGGAAGTTTGTCTACACTCACATCTCCAGCACTGACGAGGTGAATTCTTTCCTCGTCAAGATCTATAATGTTGTAAAAAAAGGTAGTCAGCAGACCTGTTAAATATTGTAAAAGTAAAAACAAACAAACAAAACACACATACCTATCCGGAGTTGAACATAACCATGGCGCTTATCCGCCATTCGAATGACAGCCTGACGGGCGTCATCAGTCATAGGAAATGCCACACCTCCAAGAGTCTGCTGTCTGGTATCAACCCCGACATTGGCTGCAACACTTCTTTCAGAGCGACGAAGCTCAGCCAATTCTTCTTCACGAGATGTGAGTGGAGCAGGTGCACTCTCATTTTTTTTGTGTTTCCGGAAACCACTCAATGTAATGTCCTCCTAGAATTAGATGGTTTTAAGATTTAAATTTTAGTTTCGCATAAACAAACTTAAATTATATACATGATAAAACTAGACTCAATAGTGCTGACAAATAATACTAAATGTACCTTAACTGTCCCATGGAGCTCCTCCTTAATTTGTCCACTACCAAACTCTTGCTTTAGAGTTGCCTTAGTGGATGCGTACAACATTTTGTGACGAACAGGAGCATCATCAGGGGACCAACTGATCAACATCCAGTAGTATGCTCCAGTACTGTCTTTTGTGTCCAATCTGCCATCAAAATTTAACGTTCACGTAAAATAATTATGATAAAAGGACTTTGACATTCGAGTCAAGAGTTAATACCTGTAGAGGAGGAAGCACGGCATGGATTCTGATGTGAGAGGAACGACAAGCTTGTCATAATCATCTTCCCAAGTTCCTTTGGCATTCTCATGGGCGGCCAGAACTAGTTGCTCTAAGATAAGAAAATTATTTTGTTTGTTAGAGTAAAATCTAAAGAGAACCACTCAGCTTGGAATAGACCGAAAACTAACAGTTTCACCGTGTGCTTAAGTCGGGACGTACCATTTTCAATTGATATTTTGAAGACTCGTATGTTTCCATCCCTGCACTTTCCAAAGAAAGTCTTCAATTCTTGGTTAGCTGAAGAAAAGATAACATAATTTAAAACATATAAGGAAAGGATTGAATAACTTGTATCAAGGGAAAAACTGAAGAAGAGTAATACCTTTAATTCCGGTTTGATGCGACATTCTGAGTCAGAGGTCTCAGAGATAAACCAGAGATAGATATTTAAGTATCTACTTTAGGCACTCAAAGAACTATTTTATGAAATCAGTTCTTAGCAGAACACTTTTACCGTTCCATTGGAATTTTGAATAGAATTTTACTTATCCAAACGTGGAGTGGAAAAGGGACAGTAAAGAAATCTTTTCCTTTGATTGTTCCTACAAGTTTTGAAGAACAGTGATGATGTTGACAGTTAGGGAAGGTTATGTTTCGCCCAACGCAGACAAACACTCAAAGGAAAAGGGGGAGGAGGAGGTGGGAGGAGGGGGCGAAGACACTTTCTCTTTCTATATTTCGGATGTACAATTTCTCATCATGAGAGCTCTTCCAGCCACAAACCGCAAAGCCGCTTAGTTTGAAACTGATTTCCCTCTTGACACGATCCTGCTTCAACTTTTAATTTTTATTGCCCTTCTCTCTCACTCATTATGGTCGATTGTGTTGTGAATGATATCAGTACTTTTCTATCACCTCCAGTTCAACGTTTACTTGTTGATTCAAGGGAAGATCATCTAACCTCTAGTTACAATGGTTCAGGTTCAGTGACATCTCACTTGACATTTAATTGGGATGTAGTTTCTACTAACTTTGACACATTGTTAGAATTTTCTGGTTAGTGAGGAAAAAAAAATTTGCAGTTTGTCCCAAGTTACTTGTGATGGCATACACCTGTCTGTTTCTTTTTTAGATCATGATGGCGACCAGCAGAGGTATCGTCAAGTTTGCGAGGAATTATGGCCTCTTATCAAAGAATGTGGAAGAAAAGTGCAGGAATGTGTGTCAATCCCAGTTCACCTTTTAGAATGGACTAGTAGCATTGGAGACATCCAACATTGTTTCACTCAAATGCAAAAGAAAAAGTGTTCCATTATCCCTCTGAAAATATCTTTACACTTGTCCTCTATACTGGAACATTCTCTGGGAAATGTAAGCTTTGTTAAGTACGGTTTTTACCCGCGCATATTATATTTCTGTTGTTAATTCTGCTGCCTTTTTTTAGGTCTTTAAACTTAAAGAAAAAAATGTTCCATTTCTTCTGAGGGACTTACTGAGTTCAACTGAACTCATGGGTATTTTTGGCGAACTGCCCGTTAGTTTTGGGTGTCTCAAAATTTCTATCTAAATCCAGTTTCTTTGTTTTAAGATCACATTTATTTTTCAGATGTTGGTCGCAAGGGCTCTTCTTGGATCCCCTTTGGGTTTCAATTTAAGGAATATTTGTTGGCATGGTTTCCCCGCCCCAGAAGAGATTTGCATGAGTTTGGCTGCTGCACTTTTGGTATTAATCACTTCGTTTGGAGAGCTATTGAGTATTGCAGACATCTCCTCTATTCCTTGCCGCCTTAAAGTAAGATAAGTGTTCATTTAACTGTAAATAATGTGGTGTGATGGTTGTGTTATTCTTTTTTTGGTCATTTGCTGATTTTAGATTGGAAAGAATACATGGGCTTGCTACCTGCCCACCTTTGAAAGCTTGGACTTCCCTAAATTGAAGCATAATTGCAGTGAAGTTACTGCTATACTCGAGAATGTTGACAGCATCCCTTCAACTCATCAGTCTTACTGGACCTCATCATTTAATTTTTTATGTACTGGCTCTAATGGAGAGTGCCTTCTGTTACTTCTGCCGGCCCTTGAGCATACTCTACGATGTGCTTATTGCTCAGTAAATGAATGTCCTCAACGTATGCTGGTAGCTGAGCAACATGTTCTCTACACCACAATGGATGAAATTTTGGACCAATACTTTATGAAATCAGAAAGTGTTAAAACTGAGAACCGCCTACCGTCCCTTCTTGGCAATAAGCTCATGGAAATGTTACTGGATATGTTTAGTAGCTTTGGCGGGCCACGAATTCGTGATAAATTGAGCCACGGAGAATGCATTTTAGAAGAGATTCCAGCAATTGTTGCTAATCATCTCTTTTGCATATCATTACTGGTGTTACTAAAGCTAGGACATACAACCTCAATTGACCTCAGTACTTCTTTGTTTAAAATGGAAGAAGAATACATTGCCAAGTTTCACTCAATATCTCTTTTGAAATATGAAGCATTCACTGTGACAGATCAGCTCAAAGCTTTTCATATCTATTTCAAACCAGATTTAATTAGTTCTGAAGTATTAAATTTTCAGACAAGTTTGTGTGCTCAAGTTTTAAAGTTTCCAAATTGTCACCAAAGTAGTGATATAGATAGTCTAATTGAATCATGTTTGAAGCAGCCAGTGATAACACTTTTCAGAAACAAATCAGACCTAGGACACATATCTACATTGAGAAAAATAGTTACTGCTGTTCATGAAGCATGCAAAAATTGCCTTGGTGCTTTAGAGAATCGTCAAAACTGCCTTAATCAGCATGCCCTCAGGTCTCGGCAGAGAACATCCTTCTTTAGAATGTTGGACTTCATGCCCTCATTCCAAGTAGTTGTGAAATGCCTTGTATTGACAGTTCTCTTTCAACTATTGATCCTTCCTCATATGATTGTAAAGTAAGCACTACTTGCAATTTTCATTATTATTACTGAGGGGTTCTTACTCACCAAAGTCTTGTTTGTTACAGCTCAAAATTCATCAAGAGCATGCAACAATACGCTGATAACATGTCATCACTGTCCTGTTCCGAGAAAAATAGGTGGACTGAGATGCAGGAGAAAACAACCTGCTTTTGCCTTCATTCCGTTCATCTTCTCGACAAAACACTCGAAACTAATTTGCTTCAGGCTGAAACTTTAAGGAACTTAACTAACCAAGAAGAACAACTTGCGACAGTTGACTAAATTAAGATAGAAAACAAGTGGATGAAAATTAAAGAGGTATTTGTATCTGAATGTGATAATTTAATATATACATTGCACAATGCCATACAAATGGGGGTATATTGTCATAATGTACATGTTACAAAGATCAATGAAAAGCTTCAACTCACACATGATAACATAAAGAGATCTACAAATAATAAATATAGATATTAGGATATATCTGTTAAATATCACCTCATTAGAAATTGATTTTCAAGCTATGGGAAACAAAACAGATGGTGAAACTAAATACAAATTACAAAGCGAAGTTTTAACATCGCATGACAATTAGCAACATGATGAATTTCAACAAATTTCAAAGTTTGTTACAAAGAATAAATCATACTGGAACTATGTACAGTTTGGGATTATTTCTACATGAAATCTACAATCAATTTTCATATTTAGCACACATAAAAACAAAATTACAATTTTTTTTTAAATTTCTTAATGACAATTACTTTACGAACTGTGGTCAGTTTTCAATCTTTTGCTTCCTGGTTCACTGCTTTGAGAATTTGAGTCTTCTGAAAATCCAAGCTGAGCTGTGAAATCTGTAGGGCCTTGAGAGTCACTTACCATAGAAAATGCTGGGGGAAACCATTAAAATGTTGCATTAAATAAATTAAATATTGAGTAAAGAGTTAGGTAAAAGCAACTTACATGTGTTAGAATCTTCAGCTAACCCAAAGTTAGAATTTGATGCCTCCACTGCAGGCCGCTTGGTAGGATTGTTTTCTTTGTTTGAGTGCCCAACTCCCTTCTTTTTCTAGAAATAAATAAAATTGAACACAAGATAAAATTACAGTCTCGCTAAAAAAAAACAACCATGCAGCAAGATAGCTTAGAACAAAATTAAAAGAACTGCGACAAAATATAGGCTGGATATTTAAGTTCTCCAAAGCAAAGGTAGGGAGGTAAAGACCATCTGTACCTGATCCATGGTAATAACTGGGACCCACTTGAAGATCTTCATTGTTGTGTCTCCAATGGTTACCCATTTCTTTTCCCTGTAAATGAAGGAAAAATAAAACTTAAAATACTGTGCTATGATAAACCTATGGAATTTATAACCCAAAGTAGGCCTTAAATATATAGAAAGTGCAAAGACTGGCTAGGAGTCATAAGGAGTACGAAGCAAAAAAAACAACACCAAAACAAACTGTCCATAGCTACACAATCAAAATGTACTCATTCAAGATAAGAATTGGTAAGGAGAGACTGAACCATTCAAATGTTCCACACAAGAAAGGAAAATGAGACAAATAATTGGAGTTACAATAAATTCCATTCATAAGCGCTTGGGTACGCCATCGCAGATGAACTTACCAGTGTCTAACCTTATCCACAACCTGCATCACCCGTTTAATGTCATCTTTGGCTCGGCTTCGAGTTTCAGCTCGTACGGACCTCGACATCATGTTCTTGTGAGGCAACTAGTTGGAAAAGGACAGCGCCGTTCGATGAACAATCAGTCAAATTCCAAAATTGGAAGCACGAACCGACCGAAAGTTAGGTTGTGTTTACGATTTTGTTGTGAAGGAGAGAAAATATGGCCGCCAGCGTGCAGTGTAGGTAATTGTATCTTGCTCTTTGTGACAAACGCTGTGAGTTGACCAACTTCATCGTTTCTTGAACTATTGCGTTGGGTGAAAAAATATGGTGATAAATTTGCGCTTCTTTGAATAAACACAACGTGTTAGGAAAAATATCACGCTTGACCTTTGACACTTCGTCCTCAAACTCAGTGTTAGAAAGGTTGTCAACCGCTAGCTCCGCGCCTAAATTTCATGAGAATTTCATTGTTGAGATAAAATAATTACGTTGCAACGGCCTGAAAATCCTAAAAGAATACATACAAATTACGATTTCTTTTTTCATTTTTTTGAATGGACCCATCGTCCTATCCATGGACCGTTTTCACCTTGCTTGCAACTGACACGAAAAGAATTCTTAACAGTTTGTGGGTGTGAAACTGTCATACAAGTGTCCGAAGGCGGCGGGGTTTTGTAGTTTGCTTTGTTGTTTGTGCGGCGCGGCGCGGCAAAAGGCGCCTCCAATTTATTTCTGAATTGAAAGTGGAACATACCTTTGATCCGGTGAAAACGAACTTCAGATTCTCGAGCACTGTGGGCTTTTCGCCATGGATTTCCTGGAGTATTCGGACATATCTGCTGAAATTAAAGGAGCAAATGTAAGTACACATTTTGAACATAACCTTCCATCATATTCTCGGCACTCAAGAGCAGCCATGAGACTTCTTAAATGATATGTTTTTTATCCGTTCAATTGAATGAAGCCATTAATTTTGTTTGTTTCAATTTGAAGTTCAGTTGCACAAGCTGTGAAGGTAGACGACAGACGCTCATGATATGCGCTGTGCATGGTCACACTCTGCTCTGCCTTTTCTCAGTGTTGTGCAATATCCTGGGAACTTTTTCACCTGTCAGCTGTTAGTATGAAATATTAATTTCTATTTGTTCTCTAAAGGTACCTGGGAAAGTGAAATTCACTGACCAACACATCGTTTTCAAGAATAGTAAAACTGGAAAGGTTGACCAAATTGCGTCAAATGACATTGATGTTGCCCATTGGCAAAAGCTTGTTGGGTCATGGGCTTTGCGTCTGTTCCTAAGGAACGGAAACTTGCATAGATACAGTGGTTTCAAAGAATCAGTAAGTAAAGTGTTTGTTCTCTTTTTCTTCAAACTGGTTTTCTGTTCATCTCTTCTGTGAGTTGATATTATTTACATTGCCTCTCGCAGGATCAGGAAAAAGTCTCAAAGTTTTTCAAAAACAACTACAAACATGACATTGCTGAAAAAGAGCTGTGTCTGAAAGGTTGGAACTGGGGCACTGCTCGCTTCCAGGGAGCAGTTCTTAGTTTTGATGTGGGCAGTGCACCCGCATTCGAAGTCCCCTTGAACAATGTGAGCCAATGCACACCGGGTAAAAATGAAGTTACTATTGAGTACCATCAGGTAAGTTTCGCCTAACACAGTAATACCTTGCTTGACATCAAATTGATGGCTTTGTAACTGTATTGCATTTTGCAGAATGATGATGCTCCTGTCAACTTGGTTGAGATGCGCTTCCACATTCCCAGTTCAGAAATAGCTGGTGGAGATGACCCTGTTGATGCGTTCCATCAACAAGTCATGAAGAAGGCCAGTGTCATCAATGTGTCTGGTGATGCTATTGCTATCTTCAGAGAGATCCAGTGTCTCACACCTCGAGGTCGTTATGACATCAAAGTATTCCAGTCATTCTTCCAGCTCCATGGTAAAACCTTCGACTACAAGATTCCAGTTTCCACTGTTCTCCGGCTTTTTATTCTGCCTCACAAAGATGGAAGGCAGATGTTCTTTGTGGTATGATTTCTTGTACTGTTTTTCTTGGCCATAAGTATTAGTGAAAATATTTCTTTATCATAAATTTGACTCTTTTGTAGGTGAGTTTGGATCCTCCTATCAAGCAAGGTCAGACTCGGTACCACTTTCTTACATTCCTATTCAGTACTGATGAAGATATGAGTATTGAATTACCCTTCAGTGAAGACGAGCTTAAAGAAAAGTTTGAAGGCAAACTGTCCAAGGAAGTGTCAGGTCCTACATACGAGGTCATGGGCAAAGTCATGAAAGCCATTGTCAACCGGAAAATCACTGTACCTGGAAACTTTGTTGGGTAAGACAATATTCATCTTATCTCATCCAAAGGTTTGTTGTTAATTTCCACCTTATGAAGTATTTTTTAAAATAATTGTTGTATTTGTGTAGGCATTCGGGCACACCTGCTATTGGATGTTCATACAAAGCTGCTGCAGGCTTCATGTATCCCCTAGAACGTGGATTCATATATGTTCATAAACCACCCATTCATCTTCGTTATGAAGAAATCGCGAGTGTCAACTTTGCTCGTAGTGGTGCTAACACAAGATCTTTTGATTTTGAAGTCGAATTGAAATCCGGTGTGGTCCACACATTTAGTAGCATAGAGAAGGAAGAGTATGGAAAGTTGTGGGATTTCATTTCAAACAAGAAGCTAAGAGTCAAAAACAGTGGAAAGATGGTAAGTGTTATGAACAGGTACTGTTAATGCTGTTTTAAATCATACATCTTTGTCTGATGTACTGTTGTATTTATCTTGCAGAACAAGCAGGGCTATACCGATGATGCATTCAGTGATTCAGAAAATGAAGATGAACCTGATGCTTACCTGGCACGTGTTAAAGCTGAAGCCAAGGAGAGGGATGCAGATGGAGGTGAAGAAGATGAGTCTACTGATGAAGACTTCGTTCCTGGAGATATGCCAGATGAGTAAGCCATTTTAATAATATATTTAAGTTTCTTTGAGTGCTCATTTGTGTGAATTTGTGTGATTGCAACTTTGTCCATGTCTGTCAGGGATAACTCTGCTGGAAGTGGTACAAGCGATGACTCAGATGAAGGATCTGATGCATCTGCTGATAGCCCCAAGAAAGACAAGAAACCAGCTAAAGAGAAGAAGAAAAGAGAGGAAAAAGAAGATAAACCAAAGAAGGAGAAGAAGACGGTGTCTGAGAAGCCTCGCAAGCAGCGCAAAAAGAAGGACAAGGATGACAACAAACCTAAGAGACCTCAGACAGCATTCATGCTCTGGCTTAACAATGAGAGAGAAAAGATCAAGGAAGATAATCCTGGCATCAAAGTTACTGAGATTGCCAAGAAGGGTGGAGAGTTATGGAAAGAACTGAAGGATAAGTCGGTAAGTAGTGTCAAATTAACATAAGACAATTCCTGGTATTATTCCAATTTAAGTAAGGAAAAGATATATTTTTTAATAATTTGTTAAATACCTGTTGTAGGAATGGGAAGCCAAGGCTGCAAAACTGAAGGAAGAATATGGTGAGGCAATGAAGGAATACAATGCATCCGGTGGTGGTGCCAGCAGTTCATCATCCAAGAAGGAAAGTGCACCCAAGAAAGCAAGCAAGAGCAAAGCCGCAACTACTGTTTCTCCGTCTAAGGTTGTCAGCAAGGAATACATCAGTGATGATGACAGCAGTAGTGATGACGACAAACCTGTAAGTAACAAGATACCTGTCTTTTCACATGAATTCATTGTCTACTCTCCTAACATCTTTCTGGTTATTTAGGTAAAGAAGGAAGTCAAGAAGAAACCTGAAGAGAAAAAACCTGTAAGCTCTCATTTTTTCATTTCTATTTAATAGAGTTTCAATTAGTTAAAACTGATATAATTTGTATAATTTGTTTCTTTGTCTTTGTGATCAGGCTAAAAAGAGTAAATCGTCTTCTGAAGAAGAGGAGGAAGAGGACGAAACTAGTGAAAGTGAAGATGAACCACCTGCAAAGAAAAAGGCCAATGGCAAGGTAAACTGGTTTTCAATGGCCTGATATCAATTTCATATAAAAATTGTAGTTTTTACTTATGCCCTTTTTATTTCAATACTTTCAGAAGAAGCCAAAGGATGATGAGGAGGAGGAAGAAGAGGCTGAATCCACTCCTGCATCTTCTGATGATGACAGCGATTAGCTTTAAATTTTAACTTAACTTATTATCCTCCACTTTAAGAGTATGTGACAAAATGTAGATCGCCCATGGATTAATGAATAGATAAGTGCCGGTCACGTCCTTCATCAAAATGTAAATCATCATCTTCAGTTACTGGTATTTCTGAAGAGGAGTTTTCTTTGTTAGTATTTGTCCCAGTGAGAACATTTGAGCCTGGTTGTATGTGTGAATGTTGATCTTTAGTATTGTGGATCATTCTAGGCTGTAGCATTATAATTTATGTTTTCATAGGAAATGTGATTTGTTTTGTAGAGTGAACTCCTTTTTGTACATATTAAATACTCGGTTATTTTTATCCCTGCTACTTTATTTGTTCGCTCACCCATCCATTTTCTCAAAAACTGACAGAATTAACAACATTTTTTCTTAAAAAAATTTATTGTTCTTTTTTTAAAATTTAATTCTTTTTGGTATTAGTTGAAGGAAGTAACTCCACAGGTATGCTTTGCCCCTTTTTTTATTCTTCAAATATCTTTTCAAAAATCTGTTGCTTGGTAGTGTTTTCTCACTGCGGTGGCGGTTGTGCGTTCCAGGCGTGTCTGCCCGTCCTGTCCTGTGGAGCCTTGCAGCCTTGCCAGGCCCGACGACCTTGCTTTGCTGGCCGACTCCGCGGCCCAGCCGCCCAGCCCGACGTCGGCTCGGGCAGGGCGTCGGCACGTCGGCCCCGTCGGACGCTCGCTCGGCTTGTCAGGCAACGACGGCGACGCTCGTCGCTCGGCCACGGCGGCGACCGCGAGCAGCGGCGGCTGCAGCTGCCGCGGGCCGTGGGGGCACTCTACTCGACTACAACAGCCGCTGCCCCCGCGCCCCGCGCGGCACGCCTTCCCCGCCGCCCCCCGCCGCCCCCGGCCCCGCTAGCGTTGCCGCCTCGCCGCCGGCAGGCCAAGCAGGCAGGCAGCCAGGCCAGTCCTGTTTGCTCCGGCAGCGTGCTCGCGCCGGCCAGTCCGCGCCGCTGCAGCGATTCACGTTCTGGGCGACGAGGAAACAGCCGTCGTCTTCCTTGCGGCTCCTGCGGCGGCCGTCCACCGCGACGGCCTGCTGGACGTCCTCGGCGACGTGAGATGCCCCGCCACACGCCGCGGGCCTGCAGCAGCGGCAGCAGCGGGGCCTTCAGGACCGTCGGGCGCTAGCGTCAGTTGCCTCCCAGCGGCGGCGGCCGACACTGGCCGACAGGACGAGAAGTCCCAAGCGGCTGGCCCCACTAGCCCCACTGAGGCGCAGGCCTCTAGCTCCATCGCCGGTGGCGTGTCCAACTAGGATAGGTGAGGCCGCCTGCACCTCACCGCCGTAACGCAGAGACCCGCGCCGTGTTCCTGAAGGACGCCAGCCAGGGCTGGAGCCAGGGCTGGAGTGGCGCGGCGACAAAGGACTCTGCCTCCAGACGGGCCTCCAGGAGGACGCCTTGACGCCGTGCTCGCTCGCGGTGCAGCGCGGGCGCGCCAGTGCGAGACACGACGCGCCTCCTCGCCGTCTCGTCCGCAGACGATTGAATTTGCTGAAAACGTCGGGTCTTTATCGGCGACCCTGCCCCCTCCCTGCACCGTGCCACGATAGAGGCGAGCCGCCTCGACGCGGCCTGGCTCTCCGGCCTGTCTGTCTCCCTCGCACCCATACGGGGCGCCTCGTGAGTGCGAGAGAGACAGCGGCGTAAACGACTCTCGGAATGAGTCTGCCGGGCCGACGGGGCCGACCAGGGCCCGACTCGCTGACCGGTCTTGCCCGTTCTTTGGGCGGCAGCGCGGCCAAACAGCGCGTCCGGACTGCATCGCATCACATCGCGGCGCGCGGCGCATCGCGGTGGGGCAGACACACGCCCGGCTAAATTTAGCGCCGTGTTCTTGGCCACAACACGCTTGGGCCATGTGGGCCCGCCGGCCGCCCCTGCCTCCGCGCCGAGTGTGCAGCCTGGTGGGGCGTAGCGCCGCGTAGCGCGCAGCTGTGTTGGCGTAGGTTAGGCTCGAGCGGCGTAGGGCAGCGTGGAGTGAACACCTGCATGACCTGCACTCGGACTCCGACAGTCGTTTTCGCCGCACTGTCTCTCTCGCACTCGTGGGGCTTCCCCCATGGTTGCGAGAGAGGTAGTGAGGCCGTCGAGCTGCACACCGAGTAGGCCATTGCCCTAGTGGGTCATTACGGCCTGCCATGCCGTCACCGCGAGTTGCGGGGCCTGCAGACTCACTCCGAGAGTCGTTTTCGTCGCTCTGTCTCTCTCATGGCTCATAGGTGCGAGAGAGATTGCGACGAAAACGACTCTCAGTCTGTTGCTCCGAAAACGGACGGCACTGTCCTGTCCTTGTCGCACTCATTTTGGGCCAGTGCGTGAGAGAGAGGCGGAAGTTCGTGTGGCGTTTCCGAACGAGGGAGGCGGCGCGGGGCGGAGGGAACCAGGAAGTGATATCCGTAGCGGCGGTAGCGGCGGCGCCCGTGCTGGCTGGTACGTAGAGGTAGGCGCCAGGGACAGGGAAGGCCCGCTTCGAAGGGTCGTCGCTCTGTCTGTCGCACTCAAGGGGCGTGCCGTCGTGGTGTGAGAGGGACTTGCTGGACACCCTTTAGTGTGAGGGAGACAGACTGACGGGAAGATCCTCGCGGATCGGGCGGCATTCGGCTTTATCTCGGCGCGGGTTCGAATCCTGCCTACCGCGCAACCGCGTCGGCGCGCCGCTCTGTCGCACTATTTGCTGCCGCGCCGAGCGAGCAAAGCAGAGCTTTGGGCGGCAGAGTGTTTGAGATAGCGCGCGCTCCGTTTATCGGTGAGGCGCGGCTTACTGCTTACGGCCGAACAGCGCGCCAAACGTGCGGGCGTGTGGGTGTTGTTTACTGCCGCGTCGACGGACTGCCGGGACCGCAGCGGCGGCAGCAGCACAGCGAGGAGGACTCTCCGCCTGGACACGCGTGTCCTCGTGGTTTGGCCGCGGTGTAGATGGTGGAGTGTCTCGTGGAGAGCACCCGAGTCGGGGTGCTTCTCTTGCTGGGTATTCAAACGGAAGCCTTACTCCGCAGACAGCTGTTCAGGGTCGTGATCCGCCGCGACACTCCAGGCCGTGCTTGCAGTGTGCTTGCACCTCCATTATCTTCGGGCACGATCGCGGTGACAGGCAACGGCCGCCTGATCTGAAGGATCGGTTCGTCGCCCCGTCTCTGTCGCACTCATGGCGCATCCCCTGGGAGCGAGAGAGACAGAGCGACGAGAAGTTTGACGTCACCGCCACCCTAGGACACACTCGTCCGCCCCCGCCTGCCGATGATGGGTGGAGGGTGGACGCGGGCGTCGACCTCCCGAAGCAAAGAGTTCTCTGTCTGTCTCTCTCGTGGGTCGCACCTTGTCTGTGCGAGAGAGACAGACCGACGGGAGGCGCGCCGCCCGGAGTCGGCGAGGGGAGGGAAGTCCCAATTCGACTTGGCGGCGCGGAAATTGGTGCTCTTGGTTGCGTCGTCTGCTTGCTCTTGCGCCATCACTCATTTGCCCCCCCCCCCCCCCCCGAGGGGACTGCCTTGCCGCGTAACCGAGACCATTGAAACCCCCATCGACGGGGGGCAATATTGTTCTTTGGGGCGTGGTTGGGGAGGCCATCGTTCGACATGGCTGCACCTCGGCGCCGGCGCCACCCCAATCGACACAAAAGCAATTCTTTCGCTTTTTCCGCGTCCAATATTGAAATAATTTTGTTTATTTAGTGCGAAGATCCTGTTTGAGTTGACAAGTTTTGTTTTTGTTGTCAGCTCGCCATGTCTGCTATGCTGTTGGCGGTGGCACTGTCCGCACTGCTCGCGGGTTGCGCCGGTCAGCAAGGCCAGCAGGCTGACGCGCAGGTGCCCGTGGCGGTCCCCCCGGCGGTCCCTCAGGTGCAGGGCGGCCCCCAGGGTGGCCCCCAGGGTGCGCCCCCGAGCGCCCCGCAAGGCGCCTCCCAAGGCACCCCCCTAGGCGCCCCCTCCGGTGCGGCCGTCGCCACCCCGAGCCTCACTCCAGCCCCCGTGGCCCCCGCGGTCGTGGCCCCCGACACCAACCTGGGCCCCAGTGCGTCGGCGACGTCGGCCCCCGTGCCTCCACCGCCTGCCCCCGAAGGCGGGCCCCCGCAGCCGCAGCCCTCGGCGTCGACCACGGCCACGGCCACGCCGGGCACGCCGGCGGGAGCCTCCGCGTCGGAGATGCCCGAGCAGGCCGAGCAGGCCGCGGAGGAGGACCCCGAGGAGGAGGAGCAGCCGGCGTGCGTGCACGTGCCGCGAGAACTGTGCCCGCCGGCCAACGAGCTGTGTCGCTGCCTCCTCGTCAACGGCACCTCCACGGGCGTCTGCTGCGACGTGACCTCCGTGCTGCAGCTCAAGGAGAGCCTCAACTGCCAGAGCCTGGGTAAGCTCAAGCACACCGAGGTCTGCTTACAAAGCAGGCTTCAGGATTCCACCTGGGGCCTACCCCTTACACTCTGCTGGAGCATGCTTGCCAAGTACACACGCCCGGTAGAGCACTTGAGTTTGTAGAGTGCCTACAATCCACTCTACAGCCACACTGCAGCCATTTTATTTTTATTTTTAAATCTACTTTGATTTGTTTCAGGGTCAAACATTACTGCTCTTCATGCTCGCAACATTACTTTACACTCGCTGGATGTGAGTGTGCTGAACCTAACTAAGTTACACTTGCCACAATTGGAATCGTTGGCCATCACCGATGGACATATTGTGGAACTCAAAGGAAATTTGGAAGCAAGAAATTTGGCCTGTTTGAACCTCTCGAGTAACAGTTTGATCAGTGTGTCGAACAGTACTTTTGCGTCTCTCCATTCTCTGCAAAATTTGGATCTTTCTGGGAATGAATTTCGACACCTAATTCATCTTAATTCTAGTGTGCCTGAGTTCCAGCTAGATGTGTCACGTGAGTAGACTCAATTATATTTTCCTATGTGTTTTATATAAAAATTAATTCATTGCTGTCTAAATTATCATTCTATGTGCAGGCAATGACAAACTGTCTTGTGAAAGCATCTGGGATCTTATAAAGCACAGTTCACAGTTCACAGCAAATCTACAGTTCAGACATGAAAACAACACTCATTGTCTAGCATCAAGATCATTCCATTGGTTCAATTCCACAGATAGAATGTCTTTATCTTCTCTAATGGTGCTAAACAAGGTACTTTGCAGTTAAAGTCTTTAAAAAAATATAAAAAATTGTGTTTTGTGAGGGCGTTTTGTAAGTGTCTGAGAAACTGTTTGTTCCTTCCAGCTTGAACAAGAATGTCCACGTGGTGAGAGTGAACCTTGCATTTGCAGAACTGCCATGCTAGACATGATACTTAAGAAGACTCCAAAATATTCTTTTAGTGTGGATTGTTCCAACAAGCGTTTGACTAAACTTCCAGCTACTCTTCCCAAGAACACTATATCCTTAAATATCAGCTCAAATAAAGTAAGTGTTTGATAATATTAATTGCGGTGGATGTATTCTCATGTATAAACCATTAATTACGTATCTTTATTTTTACCATTTTTTAAAACAGATAAGTGACTTGCAGGAACTTAGTATTAATGCAAATTATGAGAGTATCCGTGAATTTTTTGCTGATGACAACCAGATTACATCCATCACAGCTCTTGAAGGCTCAACCTTCATTGAGAATTTTGTAATTCTCAGTCTACGAAGCAACAATATAACATCCGTGAGTGCTCTCTCACTAGAGGGGGGAAAAAACATTCATAATATAAGTTTAATAGTTTCTGTATCTTAACCAAAACTAATGTTTTCTTCTAGTTGCCCACCTACATGTTGTCAAATGTATTCAATAGAAACTGGGATGAAAAGATAGTTCGTCTGGGACTAAATCGATTTAAGTGTGACTGCAGCACTGCACAATCTACAAAGGTGAGAAAAGACTGTCTTTGGTCTTCCCTCTTTTATTGTCCAAATCGCACATAGCTTTGTGCAACACACATAAATGTGAATGTTCATCTTGTACCTTGGTTTCTGCTCCAGATGTGGTTGAATGCTAACTATAAACACATTCCTGATTACAATGAAGTCTTATGCGAGAATATGCGTGAGAAGGTAAGTGTCAGTTTGTCTAAAACACAATGATTTTCGGTATTTTCAATTTAAAAAAAAAATTGATAACTCCTTATGTTTGTTCTTTAAAGGTTTTTGAATTAGATCAGTATAAGGTGTGCACCGTGCAATCCGACTGGACGGACTATGTGTACTATCTTGTTGCAGCTGAAGTTATGTTGCTCATTCTGTTAATTTCTAAAGTATCTTATGATTACTGGGTCTTCAAGACTGCTGGCTATTTGCCATGGCCAGCGTCAAAAATGCCCAAATTACCTTGTGACTGGGTGTTCGAATCATAAAATAATTTACAAGTAAGCAAAATTTGTGCATTTTCTTGCCACTTATTCTTAATTGGCATGACATGAGATCTAGGTAAGAAGTTTGAGAAGTTCTCATATTTTAAGATGATGGCTGTGAGCCTGTAAGGCATATAGTTAAACCTAGTCAAACCAATGTTTCGGAACATCTAAACAAACTATGTTACCTCCAGCTTGCGACCTGCCTTTTGCAAAGTCAAGGGTTTCGCAGCTGCGAAGGGTCCTGAGCTGAAGTTCCCGACTGTGTGGCCTAGCTTGAATTTTTGTAACTGTTCAATGAGTACAAGTGTTCTGTGTTGCCATGTGTCTTATTTAAGGAAATTAGCTCTAATTTCTAAACAAAATGTATTCTTTGGTTCAATTGTTTCGTTTTCTGCAAGATAGCCAAAACACACATGAATTACGATTTATGGCAGACTGGTACTGAAGACTGAAACAATACAAATAAATATAATACATCACATAGTGAAAATTCATTGGCTTTTATTCCATTTTTACCAAATATTTCAGAGTTCAACAGCAAAATCTTCAAATTACAATCATGAATACAAAACTGTTAATGGGCACCTTAAAAACTTATCATGCACATGAGGCTATAAAAAATGATCCTACAAAATGTGGGAGAAAGCGTTGACAAATCATTAGAAGGTATAAAAAGTACAGAAGCACTTGGGCCCACCCTATCATGCAGTCTTAAAAATTAATGAAGAAATGGAAGTTTAACTAAATTAACATGGCTTATTTAAGTGGAATCAAGATTCTTTCTGAACAGGTTTTTTGCTTTGTCTGAGAGACCGAGCCTTGCTCATCTGAGCTGTTCGCTTCGCTTTCAGTTTTTTCTCTTTCTTTTCATCCTCTATTGCCTTAGTCAACTTCCATGACAAGAAGAGAGAAATAAGGAAGAATGGTGAAAGACATAGCAAGACATTAGACAAAAACTGCCATGGGTTTTGTGCAACCCACAATATGAATGAGTTGAGCCATCCATCCCATGTACTTTCATCCAAATTCAGTACAGGGCGGATATCCGGCTGGTCTGGCTGCTCTGACATTTCTCTGAAACAAAGGATGAAAACAAAGGATCAAACCACAATTTTCGAAAGCTACAGGCAACAATATTGTATTGAATAAAATTCGTCAATGAATGAGTCCATTGCAAAGTGGTTGCGATCCACTTGGCTGTCATATTGACAGCGCCACCTTTCAAGTCATTCATTCTGTTTTATGAAGGCAGAGGAACGAAAAGGTAATGTCTAGAAATGCATTACAATATTTTTTCGCATTAGATTCGCAAAAGAACTGAATACATTGTGCTGTCACAAAGCGTTTCTGAAAACACTGCTGTCACCGAGTCACCGACTAAACCCTTCCGTGAGGTTAGATATCAAATTTTCGACATACGTATTTTTGGTGCGCGGCTTGACTAATTAGATTAAAGTCAACCCATTGTATTTGAAGAATAGATCAAACTTTAAAGGGGATTACCTGCTGGCAAGCTCAACGAGCGAAAAAGATAAGAAATCCTTACGAAGAGTCACGAAGGAGCGGCGCGTCCTAACGTTGTTGTTTGTTGTCGTTTGTTTTTGTTTGTTTGATCTGTTTGTGGCTCCTACAAGGCGGTGCATCTGTCACAAAGTTAGGTTAGGAATCACATTGACAAACAGACGGCACAGTGTCCCTGTCAATTAGTACCTACAAAAGTGTGATTTTTTAGTTATTCGCGATGCTTACCACAGGTTGAGTAGGTCTATTGTGCAACTGCCACCTCTAATTTTAGGTATTTTTGGAATGGTCTGGGTGATACTGTATGTATGCTGGTGTTATCAGCTGATCTACCATATTATGACAGTAGTTGTTAATTTTTGTTTTGTGAAACTTTAAGGTCTGACGTGACAGTTGACTCATGAGCATCAAAGAATGCCTAGCTCACTTTTGTTCGGGATCAGCCACGAAGGTAGGGTGTATGCCCTTTCGACTAAGGGATCCAAATGGAGAGAATTAGTCTACCTTGGCTTGGAGTTCAAAACTTTGTCTGCTGTACCTCACATGCTGTGGGCTGTTGGTGGGGACCGACAAGTATACGTTTATGTGCATGGCATTGACATTCCCATACGCATCAAGGAAGAAGCCTATGAAAATGAGGTTTGTTTATTAAACATCCTTGCAAAATGCTGAAGCAAGAAAATTCCTTATATCATCTCTTTATTTCTGTTTTCTCAACAGCGATGGCTTCCTCTGGAAGGATTCAGCAGCCGGCTTTTCCCAATGGATAGATTTCAATTTTCATCTATTGACGGACTAACTGACCGAACATTGAGTAAAGTTCGTTTACCCTCCATGGCTTGGCAGTGGGAATCTGATTGGCATTTAGAACTCTCTTTAGATGGGCAGCCTTTGGATCATGATGTGAGAGAGAGAGAGTTGTCAAAAACTTTGTCCAGCATAAATAGTTGATAAATGCTGATCCTGATACCTTTCCCCTTTTCAGGGCTGGACATATGCAGTTGATTTTCCTGCAAAGTATTACCCTCAGAAACAGTGGAAGTCCTGTGTTAGAAGGCGGAAATGGGTCCGTTATCGGAGATACTCTGCACTCAACTCATGGTGTGCAATTGCTCCCTTACACAAGGACGCAACCCAGGTGTGTTCTTTTTTTCTTTCTTGATCATCAGCCATTTAAATGCTATCAAAAATGGAAGGTCTTTTAAATTATTAATAAAATTGTTCAGGAACCATTCATTGATGTTGCTGTTGGTGGACATGCCCTGCCTGGTATAGATGAAGGCTCAGTTTTAGTTTGGGCAGTAACAGCTCATGGCAGAGTAAGTTTAAAGTTGATTGTGTGTAGGGTCCTGTGTTTCCAAATGTTAATCGCTTTTAATATGTTACGTTGTTTGTTCATCTAGGTAATGTTTCGCACGGGTGTCAGTTCATCATCTCCTGAGGGTCATAAATGGGTACCAGTTCCTATTCCACATGGGTGTGAAGTGAAGCAAATATGTGTTGGAGCAACTGGACTTGTGTGGGCTGTTTTATGGAACGGTAAAGTCCTGGTACGCTGCAGTGTAACCAGACATAATCCCATGGGTGAATATTGGTGTGAAGTTGCTGCCCCCAATGAAAATGAAAGACTGAGCCAAGTTGCAGTCGGCACTAATGCTGTGTGGGCTGTGACCACAAGCAATCACCTTTGGTTTAGACGTGGCATTCGAGGGAGTGCTGCTGCAGACAGTGAGGAGTGCGCCAAAGGATCTGGATGGGTGGAAATGGTGGGCAGAATGGGCCTAATTTCAGTTGCAGCGAATGATCAAGTATGTCTGGCAGCATTTCACATTTCAGGCTTACATATTTGATTTCAGCAAGTGCATAATTACATGCCTTTCCTTGTGTCCTTAGGTTTGGGCCATAGGAGCGGAGGATAGGCTTCTATACTTTCGCACAGGTGTGACACCTTCTGATTTGACTGGGAAAACATGGAGGCTGATGGCCGCTGTAACTCAACTTAGCAGAGCAAGCAGTGATGTTAGCCTTTGGTCCAACCTAGCAGGTCCTAATGCCCGTCTAAATTCAGTTGGTAGCAGTTCTCAGTCTACTGTGAGTGACGGCTTTCTTTTGTGCCTTGCCTCAAGTATGTTATTTTTCATCATTTATAGAAACTAAAATTCTCTTTAAATGCAGGTCTGTGGGAGTTCGATTGACAGTGATGTCAGTGATGTGGAAATTCCTCACTCCACATCAGTACCAATGCCATCAACGAATTTGGGAAATGCTAGCAGAGGTTTTGCCTCTTCAGCTCCGACACGTTCTCTAGCAAAATTAAATTTGAAGCCTGATTCTGAAGGAAATGACAATCAAAGGCTCCTCAGTGAAGGGAAAAAGTTCTGCTCTACTTTGTCTGTAAAGTCAGAGGAAGACAGTGGTTTATCAAACACAGGCTCAGCCAGTGAAGTGGATGAACCTAATGGTACGTACAATATTCTGTTTCATTTTCAATGCAGTGCTTGAAAAATGGTGTAGTGCCTCCTTTTCTGTGGGTTACATTTAATTCATTTTTCATTATCTTTTTTTAAAGTCAAAACTAATCCCACGGTGTGGAGCCCAGTTCAAAGTGTAGGTGGTGTACTGGGTACTGAAGCCATGCCAGAGTCAGATCTATCACTGTTTTCATCTGACTTCCCTCTCGGGGACCATCTGGATGCGGATGGAATCTGGGGTGGTGGTGATTCGAGCATGCTGTGGACTTGTGTTGCTGCGGGAGCTGTATTTATTGATCCTATAACTCCACCAAATTGGTAAGCTCATTTTTATTATTTTTATTTTAGTGTTGCTGGTGGATTGGTTTTTATGCCCAAATTGAATTTCCAACTGCAGGTTTGTAGAGAATTCACAGGCATCTTTTCAAGGAGAGCTGTCCAAACCATGGCGTTTAAAGATTCTGCAAGAGCTGAAAACAAGAACTGACAAAGCAACTAATGGATACGAAACTTTTGAAAAGGCAATTGAAAAAAACAGTTGGGTTAAATGTGGAACAGCCAAAGCAATGTTGAAAGATTCTCTCCCTGAAATCTGTTCTCTTGAGTTAGAATGGATTGGTAGTGAATCTGGCACTCTTTCAATACTAAACTTGGATCAGACACAAACCAAACTCCAATTAAGTGTGTCTGAAATAACCTGTGTTGCAAGTTGCAGTGAGCCAGGTATTCCCTGTATTGCAATTCATACATCACGTTTAAGGCCAAGTAAAGGTCCCTTAAAGCTACAGTTCAGCACTGAAACGGAAATGGAGGATTGGATGGCAAATCTAACTCTGGTTACATGCCAGGTCAATAGTACCAGAGGGAAGCCTAGTGCCAATTCATTCTGGGCTACAAGCACTAGAGGTGATGTCTTCTCATTTGACCCATCTTCGTTGGAGGTAACTTTCATTATTAGTGAAAATAGTCATTTAATGGTTTTTTATTTTGATTCTTTGATTTTTCATTTTACCAACTTATCTTGTCTATCACAGGCCCATCAGCTTCGAGGAGAAAATTATGTTCAAGAAATGTTAGTAGCTGGTAAATCAACTCCTTACGATGCTCATTTGCATAATAGTTTCCCACCAGGTAGTAGGGTGACATTACTGGCAAGTGCGCATCAAGATACAGACAGATTTTCTGTCAATCTTGTATGTCGCTCTCAGCAACAGACCTCACTAAAACGGCCTATCAGTCACGACATAGCCCTTCACTTCAACCCTCGATTCCCTGACGAAATTATTGTACGCAATAGCAAACACAGTGGGGTGTGGGAGAGGGAGGAGAGAGAAGGAGGTTTGCCTATCAGCAGAGGTGAAGCATTTTCCATTTCCATTATTTGTCAAGATGATGCTTTCAAGGTATGCTGATATATGAAGGGTCTCCTTTTCCTTGAATGTAATTAAACTTACCAGGCAAATCAACTTTTTAATAAAATATTTTGCTTCTTTTTCTTTCTTATAGATTATGGTAAATGACATTCAGTTCACGTTTTTTGAACACAGACTAAATCCTCGGAACATAAGCCATATTGAAATTGAAGGACCACTTCTCTTACACAAACTAATATATGAGTCTAAGAGAGTATGTAATGGATTCATTTTTATGGAGTTTTGAAGAGCTTGCCCTGTTTTAAACACTGTTTTCTTTTTTTAGATAATTGTCTCGCCATCTGACATGTTTTGGCGTCAAATGGGTGGTCATCTAAGGCGGGTGGAAACGTGTGCCTCAGGAGTTACTTGGGGAATTGGCTATGATTGCACACCATGGTTCTACACTGGGGGATGGGGTGGTTCTTTCCTCAGAGGTGAAAATTGTTTTCTGTGTAAGATTGTATAGTTTCCTAGTTTTGGCATTTAACTTGACTTTGTTTATTCCTTGTAGGTCTAGAGACAAGCAGTTCAGGAATCAATCCAATGGCAGATACCCATGCTTACTACATCTATGAAAATCAACGCTGGAATCCTCTAACAGGTTATACAACTCACATGCTTCCAACAGATAGGAACATGTGGAGTGATGCCACTGGAAGACACAAGCGTACAAAAGAGGGCACAAGGCTTCCATCCATGCATTGGCAATGGGTAACCGAAGTTCATGAGATCTACTATCACTGACATCTGACAATTTGTGTGTTTATGTGACTTTGTTTTGGGTTCGCTTAGGTTTCTGATTGGGCAGTTGACTATCAAACACCTGGAGGTGTGGATCAAGATGGTTGGCAGTATGCTATTGATTTTCCTGCCTCCTACCATGGACGTAAAGGTTTTACTGACTATGTGCGCCGTAGACGCTGGGTGAGGAAGGCCCATCTTTTGACAAGCGGTCCGTGGGAAGAGCTCGCCAGCACAAAACTATTGCATGTATCTTTGAAAGCCCCAGATGCCAGTGCTTTAGATGGCTGTGTGCTTGCTTGGGCAGTGACAGTGGAGGGTGAAGCAGTCTTTAGGAGAGGAGTCACAACAGATTGTCCATCTGTGAGTTTTACATTTCAAAATTGCAAATAGGTTTTAACTGTGCTGATATATTTACAAAGCTTATTCTGTATAATTTTTTTTCCAGGGCACTCATTGGGATCATGTTCCTAGCGATCAACCTCTTATCTGTATCAGTTGTGGCTTTGGTCCGAAAGTTTGGGCAATAGGTCGAAATGGCTCTGCATTTTGGAGATTTGGAATAACATCATCTAACCCTCTAGGTGAGATATACTCATGCTCCAGAACTGAGTTGAAGGATTCATTTGTCCAAGTCGAGTTATTGCTTGAAGTTTCAGTTTTAGGCTGAGCAACCTCTTCTTTATTTACTTTGCAGGTGAAGTATGGGAGTCTGTTGAACCTCCAGCTGGGAGCTCCCTGAAGTTAGTGTCTGTTGGCCGCCATGGCATCTGGGTTCTAGACAGTAGTGGTCAGCTATCTGTTCGACGAGAAGTTACACACGTTTTTCCAGAAGGAACTCACTGGCAGTCTATTCCCCCATTGGATTTGGATAACAGTGGTAATGGAATACATGTGTGTATTGCCAAATGCACTTTGGTGCTAGATAGATAACTAATGCCGTGCTTTCCGTTTGGATTTAATTAATGCAGGTGTAGTCACTGTGTCAGAAGTGGAAGGATCTGCGGTGCTCAGTCCGACAAACCAGCCACCACCCCTCACCGGCTGGAGACATGTATCTGCTGGACCAGGCGAAGAGGTGTGGGCCATCAGCAGTTCTGGAGTGGTTTGTCGCAGACATGGCATCACCAAAGACAACCCTGCCGGAACCACCTGGTCACATGGAGTGGTGGGTGGCTGGCAGTGCATAACTGCTCGCGGCTGGACCAACGAACCCACTGACTAAACAGGTCACACATTCTATATTGCATGGTTAAAGTTTTTATCTTTATTCGTTACTTTTACATATACATTCTATATGTAACAATTCCTGTACTCACTCATCAATTCAATCGAATTGACTTAGTTTTAAGAATGGCGTGCTGCCTTTCCAATTTTTCTGCTCTCATTTTCTTTGTGTGAAGAATAGATTGTGGTATTTTGATGAAGCTGGACTTCATTATGTTGTTTTAAATTGTGTATCCACCTATCTTTTGCTACTTAGCAGGATCTCCCATGTTTGTGTAATCTGAAAATATTGTGAATCCTATCTCTAGGTAGAGTGATAACTTTTAATTCCTTACTGTTTTGGTGACATTCAAAATGTTTAAGAGAATATTTATGTAGGTTGTTACATAGTTTTTAACGAATTTGACTTGGTTGTGTTTGGATTTGTCTTTACTGCCTGGAATAATAGACTTGGCGTAAGGGGATGTTTTTCGCCAAAGAGTTCAGCTAGCAATCTGATTATGCTTTAATTACTATTTATATGCCTCTCACTTGTCAATATAAATTGAAAGAGCGTTTGTTCCCAGACCTCTGTTTGTTGTGTATTTGAGTTTGTTTGTTTTATTTGTTTGTCCTATGCCCACTGGAGATTCCTATTTTTTTCATCTGTGATATTCTTTGGCTGCAGTTGGAGCTATAAAAGTATACTGAATAAAATATTGAAAACATTAATGAGGCATTATTCTTTTACAATCCCACTCCTGCCCAAGAAATCAAGGTTGATTCACGATTCCAATCCCAAACCCCGCTTTCTTTTTCATTCATCCGGGGTGGCTGCCTTGAGACTCAGAGGGCGAGCCACTCCCGTATCCTGCCTTCATTCATCGTGGAAGCTGCCTCTTGACTTTCGGTGAGCAATCCGGAACCCCCGGCGCCCCCATCCCGTGCCGCGGGGTGGGGTGGCGGGGTGGGCCGAGAGCGCAAGGCCAGGGGCGTGGCGGGGCGTGGCGGCGACGGGGGTGTGGGGCGGCGGTGGTGGGGGCCACAACACTGCGCGCTGCTTGCCGCTCGCCGCTCCACGGGGGTGGCTCCACACCCGGGCTAGGAAGAGGGAAGAGGGAAGGGGGTTCATGTTGGCGGGGGTCAGTCGCAGCGCCGCCGCCAGTACCTCGTCGACTGCCGCCCGCTGCCGCCTCGGTGCGCCTCGCCTCTCGCCCCGCCACGCTCCGCCCTGCCAGAGGTCCTTGCCACTGCAGCCCGGCCAGCCCGGCCCTGCCCTGCTCAAAGCAAACAAGCCGGCCACGCTCCCCTCGCTCGTCGAGCTCCTCGACGTCGTGGTGGTCACCGCATCCGCCTTCCGTCGCAACACACCCGGCCGGCAGGGCCCGACGCCGCCCGCGTCCGAGACCCCCCGCCTCCAGGACCGGAACCGCCCGGTTCCCGCACGCCCAGGGGCCTTGCGCGGCCTGGGTGCTCTGAACACAGGAGTGTCCCTCGCCGATCAGTAAGAACGGGTGCCTTCGCAGAGGTGAGTCCAACATCCGTCTTGACTCGGAAAAACTTGGACCGCGATGCTCTGCCAGCGTAGCTGAAAAGGCTCAGAGAAATGACAACCGCGCGAAAAACAAACGCGCAGGTTAAGACCGGACTGTTGTTTGCGGAACATGATTCGCGTTCCCGGGGACGCTCGCCTCGCCTCGCCAGTTGCGTCATTCTGATTTTCAGGATGTGTCTTGGCTGTGGGGCACCGTCCCGGCCTGGGGCCCCGCCTGGGGCCCGGCCCATGGGGTGCTGTATTGACTCCCGAGAATGATGCAACACAAGAGCGCCCCGGGCACCCCTGCCCTTTCGGAATGCAGCTTTGCAGCGAGGGTGCAAGCCGAGGGGGAGGGGGGGAGGGGGTCGAAGTGGCGCGCGCCGACGTTGACAGTCGACAGGGATCGCTGCAGCACTTCGTTTTCCGGGCTTCGAAAAAGCGCGCGCCAATGGCATCGTTAATGAGAATGGCGCGCGTGACTTTCCGGACTTTCCCGGAGCAGACCCTTGTTATTGTTGATGTTGTTGTTATTGTTATTGTTGTCTCCGTGCCTTGCTTCGGGAAGGGGCGGGGGGTGGGGAGGAGGAAGGGAGGGGGCGGCGGCGGCGGTGCGGGGGCGTTGTGGCGGATCAATGAAAGCACGTGGTATACGTGGTGCAGGCTGTGCAGGCTGTGCCGCAGGCCGCGCCGAACTGCATCCTGCTTCCGGTCCTCCCTCGGGCCGGCACTGTAAACGGCACACTCACTCACACACGCACACACACACTCGCCGCCCGGGCCCTGGCATTTAGCGCCCGCTGAGCTCGGGATAGGCAGTCCCGCGGTGCTCGGGAGCATGCGGGTTGCCTACCCAGCGGGTGGCAGGCGGTGTGGCGTCCTCTCTGGGGTGGCCCACCCGGGAGCAGGCGGGTTGCCTTCATGAATTAATCGAAGGAGTCAAAGTGACGTCTCGGCGCGGAGGGGGTGCGCGCCGCCAGGTCGTGACGCCAAACTTGTGAAAATCGATCTTTAAATAGCGCTCCCGAATTTGAATAGCGAGACCAGCCGGGAGCCGAGAGGTGGTGTTACACTGACAACGCTCGTCAGCAAAGCGTCTCGTGGAAGGGTCCATCATCCATTCGGCTCTTCACCTTGGCACCGCCAAGGAGGCATCGGCCGAATTAGACTCGACTGAATTGCGTCTTGGCCACCGGGTGGGGCGCCGCGCCGGGCCGCGCCGGGCCGCGCCGCACGGCAGGGAGCGGTGCTGGCTGCTGTAGGCTGACTCCGAGAGTCGTTTTCGTCGCTCGGTCTCTGTCGCTCTCGCGGGGCAGCCCTTGCAGGCCCTTCCAGGTGGGAGGGAGACAGCACGACTCAGTCTGCTGGAGAGGAAAGGCCTCACCGGGCGGCGCGCTGGCCTTGGGAACGCGCGGGAAAATCAATACACGCCGACGGGGTGGGGGAGGGGGAGGGGCACAGCATCCCTGTATCCCTGGCCGGGCGGGCCGGGCCGGCCGGGCCTACCCCTGTCCAAGCGCACGCCCGGCACGTGCGCCTCGACGCCTCGTCTCGGCCCGTCCCGCGCCCGCGCCCTGCCAGTGTGCCTCCGCGTCTTGGCCTCCCCAGCAGTGTGCCAGACGGCCGGACGCCCAGGCGGGGACGAAAGATGAAATGAGATGGCGCGATAGTGACGCCACATTACGCAATGGCGAACCTGTTGCATGGCGGAGGGCGGGCTGCGGAATCAATGGAGGGAACGCAGCAGAAAATGGGCGTTCTGAAGAGTTATTTTTATTTTAATTTCGATTTCGATTTTGAACACGATAGTTGTGTCTAGCGGGACTATTTCGATCCAACGGAGCGCGGGGAGAGAGCAGGCCTCTTCTAAAGGGCATGGTTGAGGAAGGCGGGCTGGGGGTGTGGGTGTGGGGAGGGTAGGGGTGAAGGTTGAGGGAGGTAGTCGAGGTAGTACGAGGTGGAGGCTGCGGCTGCGAGTCCCAGCGTGGCCTTGGACCGCCCTGCCCGGCTTCCGAAGGGCGTGGCGTGGCGGGGCGGGGCGGGGCGGGGCGGGGCGGGGCGGGGCGGGGCGTGCGTAGCGGGGTGTAGCTCAGCGTGGCGTGGCAGGGTAGAGCAGGGCGCAGTAGGGTGTGACGGCGTGGCGTGGCAGGGCGCGGCGGCGTTCGGTAGTAGCGGCGCGGGCTCGCCGAGCAACAGGCGGGGCGAGGTCGCGGGAAGGACGGAGCGCTGCTTGGACTGCTTGGAGGCGGCGGGGATCCAGGCCCTAAGGCGCCCTAAGGGACCCACTAATTTGGACGCGAAGGCTGCCTTACGACATTTTCCGTACAGAAGTACGGAATTTGTTTTACAGTGCAGACGACGGCCAGGCACCGCCGCTAATCAGGGGAGCCTTTTCCGGACGAGCCACTTTATTTTGTCCCCCGACAGGCGGGCCGTGGAAACGTATTTGTCCAAGCCGGGCCTCTGCGTACTTCTAAAAAACAACAACATACGCAGGGTACACCATTAATTATGAAAAATGAATTAAGCCGAGAAGGAGCTTGTTAGCCGCGTAACAAGGTGACGGGGAGGCGAGACCCTCACTGTGAAACCCAACGAGGCAGCGGGCACGTGGAGGAATCCGGTTCGTCTCGCGGCCTCACGTGGGCTGGGGGTGAGAGACTGGAACGTGCTGCGACGACACGGGTAGTGGGGCGGAATGAATGGGGCGAGGTGAGAATACAGCACCAAGAGAAAGTGAGGGGGGGGGGGAGCAGAAGAAAGGGGTGGAGGGCGGGCAGGCAGTGTACCGCCGCAGGTACGGCCCGGCACAGGGGGCTGATTCCGAGGACGGCGTTCGTCGCACTGTCTCTCTCGCACCCGATGGGCGTTTCGGAGGAGCGCGAGACCAGGCGAGACAGACGACAACGACTCTCGGAATCAGTCTGCAGGGAAGCACAGGGTAGCACGGAGGTGACACAGCTTGTTCGCCCGTTCCAAAATAGGCCGTCTGTGCCCCCCTCTCTCTGCTTCCGTTTTCCCTGGTGCCCCGTTGACCCTGTTGCCCTTCTGACCCTGCCGCCCTTGCTTTCACCCTTGTCCTTGCCGAGCGCCCGAGGTCTCCCTTTACTGCCCCAGCACCCCTCTCTCTCTGCTGCCCCCCCCCCCCCCCCGTTCCTACCCGGCGCCGCGCTGACAGCTAACCCGGTCAAACTGTAAAACTTTGTTTTCAGTTTATGACAAAATAGGGGATGATATTTTCCTCCCAGGGGACGGTATTTGCATCACCTTCAAACGGTGACAATTTCATAACAAACTGATGACACTCTTATCAAAGCTCAATGAGCCTTCTTGACATCGTCACCGATTGGTGGTCTTGATTTTGTTTTTCCTTTGCCGCAGACTCGTTGTCTGCACCAGGCGAAATGGCGCAGCAGATGTACTATTGGGGTGAGGAAAAAGAGGCGGCGGACCCGGACCACACCTTCATCGAGTTCTCCGCCAAGGCACCACCGAGTCGTGAGTACACACTGTCAAACTTTCGAGAGAATGGAGTGCGGAAGCACGAAAAAAAAAAGTCCGGAACGTCCGGAACTTGTTCCATATAAACTCCTGTGAACGAAACGGAAGCTCAGGTTCCGTAGCTGGCAAGCATGGCCCAGGCAAATTGTTGACCAGACTTGTTCCGTACTTCTTTCTCTCAGGGCACCTGACCGGCTGTTTTGTTGTTATTGTTTCGAGTTGGTTGTTATTGTTGTTGGCCTTCTCCCGCAGGAGAGGTGACGGCGGCCGACAGCGGTGGCGCGTCGAGGCGCGTAGCCTGTCCTCCTGGAGGTCCTTCTGGGGGTCCTTCGGGGGCGTCCTCGCTGGCGGGGCAGTCCGCGTCGCACCAGGGGAACCAGGAGGGGCGCGTGGGCTGGGGCCACAAGCTGGACTTCCTGTTCTCCTGCATCTCCGTGTCCGTCGGCCTGGGCAACGTCTGGCGGTTCCCGTACCTCTGCTACAAGAACGGCGGCGGTGAGTAGAGCGCCGCGGTGGCCGTGGGGCGTGAGGCGCAGGGTTCGGCTATGAAGATTCCGAGTTCGAATCCCACCTCCCCTTGTTTTTTTTTCTGGTCCTTAGTGTACAATACTAATTGTAATGATGGCTGCCAGGTGCGTTCCTCGTGACCTACGCCATCGCCATGGTGTTCTGCGGCGTGCCGATCTTCTTCCAGGAGGTCGCCATCGGGCAGTACTTGGGCTCCGGCGGCATGACGCTCGTGGGACAGCTGTGCCCTATCCTGCAAGGTGAGGCCCGCGGCCCGCACCGTCAAACCACCACCACGGCCAGGCCAACAAACGGCTGCCATTGCCGTGATGGCGCGTGATGGCGACTGGTTACAAAGTGAAAATGAACTTTCTGCTCGCAGGCGTGGGCTACGCCACGATGACGCTGGTCTTCTTCCTCGACATCTACTACTGCATCATCATCGCCTGGACGCTCTTCTACCTCATCGCGTCCTTCGTCACGCTGCCGGACTTGCCGTGGAGCGGATGTGGTCCGTTTGCATTACCATCGCATGATTTGTGGAAAATATCTTTGTGGTCGTTGGTTCATGTTGAGAAACCCTTTTCTTTTGGCAGACAACGAGTGGAACACGGCGCACTGCTACGACCCGCGCGCCAACGGGTCCTTCCTGGGCGACAACAAGACGGACCGGCCGGCCAACAGGACGTCCCCCGTCGAGGAGTACTGGGAGTGAGTGTCACCACCCTCACATGGCACCACTGCCGCTTGGAATCCTCGGCGAAAACAACAACAACAGCAACACGATGACGATTTGTTTGTCCGCAGTCGGCGCGTGCTGCGCATCACGGGCGGCATCCACGACCTGGGCGGCATGCAGTGGGAGCTGTTCGCCTGCCTGGCCCTGGGCTGGGTGCTGGTCTACTTCATCATCTACAGGGGCCTGCACCAGAGCGGCAAGGTAGGCACACCGTCCAGCCGCAGTGCGCGGCCGAGCAACGGGACTCCGTCCACACTGACACCCTCGGCGGCCTTGGCCTTGGCGGTCCGCAGATCATCTGGTTCACGGCGCTGTTCCCGTACGCCATCCTGGCCGTGCTGCTGGTGCGCTCCGTGACGCTGGAGGGCGCGGGCGCGGGGCTGCTGTACTACGTGACGCCCCGGTGGGAGGCGCTGCTGGGCCCGGGGCCCTGGATCGACGGCGCCACGCAGATCTTCTTCGCGTACTCCATCGGCATGGGCGCGCTGCCCACGCTCGGCGCCTACAACGCCTACAACCACAACAGCTACAGGTGCGCGCCGCCACTGAGTCACAGAGTGTGCCAGTGGGCCAGAAGACTGGTGGAGGAGGCCAGAACTCTGGACGCGTTTTGAGCTCCAGAGTCGCTAAATGGGACTCGAACCGAAAGTGTGACCCCACCAATAGATTGCTCTTCGAACGAGGAATCCATTGGTGGGGTCACACGTTTGGTTCGAGTCCCGTTTGGTGACTCTGGAGCTCAAAACGCGTCTTTGGCCGCGATGTTCGAACCCCTTGCTCCTCAGGGACGCGCTCATCACGTGCGTGGTGAACACGCTGACGTCGCTCATCGCCGGCGTGGTGACGTTCAGCATCCTGGGCCACGTGGCCCTGGAGCAGGGCACCACCGTGGCCAACGTGGTGACCTCGGGGCCCGGGCTGGTGTTCCTCACGTACCCCGAGGTGGTGCTGCGGCTGCCCGGCGCCCCCGTCTGGTCCGCCGTCTTCTTCACCATGCTGGTGGTGCTGGGCATCGACAGCGAGTTCTGCATCGTGGAGGCCCTGGTGGCGGGGCTGGCCGACCAGTGGCCCGTCCTCAAGACGCACCGCAAGAAGTTCACCGCCGTGGTGTGCGGCCTCATGTTCCTGCTGGGCCTGCCCATGGTCACGCACGTCAGTATCCCCAATCTCCGGACTCAGCATAAAGCCCCAATCCCAGGACCTAAATAAAACGACATTTTTTTTTCGCAGGGTGGGGCGTACATCTTCCAGCTCATGGACTTCTACTCGGTGTCCGGCATGTCCCTGCTGTGGGTGTGCTTCTTCCAGACCATCGCCATCGGCTGGATCTTTGGCGCCAAAAACTTCAGCGCCTGCATCAAGTCCATGATGGGCGTGGAGGTGAACAAGTTCTGGTACGCCTGCTGGGTGGTCTTCGCGCCTGCCGTCATGGTGGTGAGTTGACAGCGACTGCTCTTCGAACTTAAGAGTGTGCATTGCGTCCTTCAGGTTGCGTGCCTCAACCTGAAGCATGTACAGTCTCGAGTTCGTAGCGTGCGCGCGATTCATGGGGTCCTTTCTGCATCTTGGCACATAACACAGAAAGTGTAAAAATAATTTAAAAAAACTGTCCGTGCTTGCTGCAGGCCATCTTCGTGTTCTACGTGGTGCAGTACGAGCCCCTGACCTACGGCAGCTCGTACCAGTACCCGCTGTGGGCACAGGGCCTTGGCATCGCCATCAGCTTCTCCTCCATGATCTGGATCCCCGCCTACGCCGTCTACTACATGATCAAGTCCAAAGGCACCTTCAAAGAGGTGAGCACGAAAACCCCAAAGTCGTCATGTGTTGTTGATGCAGATGAAAAAGCCTTGCTTTTGCGCAGCGCCTGCTCCGCGGACTCAAGCCGGACATCAAGTGCAAGGCCAAGATCCCCGCCGGCCAGAAGGGCCCCGTCATCCCCATGTCCGAGAGCTCGGCCGGGCTGCTCACCAAGAACAGCAGCTTCCTCAACCAATAACGCCAGCCACGCCAGCTGCGGCACGGGGGCCTGCACTGCGAAGCCAAGGAACCACCGGAGGAGGCGGCAGAGACTAACAACGTTCACTGTTGAAATTCCCGAAGAACATGTCGGGAGAAAAGTTGCCTTTCTTTCGGAAAGGATGTTTGAATGAGTATCCAGCAGGTATGGAACAAAAAAAACTGCATGAAGCCTCGGGAAATTCCCGAGGAAGCTTCAGAACTTCGGAACGCACTTTCGGGATTTTCCAATTATTTTTAACAGTGTTCCGAACGCCTCCCCGGCCCGGGACCGCAGCGCCACGGAGATCTCTTTAGTGTAGTTCGCTTCTTCTAGAGACACCGCCACCACCGGTACGGCTCTGTTTTGTAAATCGCTTGTACCGTAGTTACTTCTTTTTAGAACTCAGGTGCGTGCCCTTCGGAGGAGTCATATCTCACTTTTTGGGTGCGCGACTGTTAGAACTACTGTTTAATCGTTGGAAACTGTACTCGCGAGCCCAGTCTTTCCCAGTCTTCCAGATCTCCGTGGAACGCGGCAGAGGAATACCAAAGAGACTCGTTCCTACAAGTGACCCCACTAATATACTACCTGTGTGTTTCTCTGCGTCAATTGTATTCAGTTTCACTAGAATTCTGTTTCGCCCGATACGACTAGCCAACCACTTCGTTAGAGTTGTGTGTACTCACCATGTAGCTTACAAAAATAACAATAATAATAAAGAAATTCCTTCTGTAGCAGAATCTTTGTCATTTCGTGAATATATCACGCCTGTGGTATCGACAAACTGAGTGCTTTTGAAACTGGTTACGTGTGCATTGTTAAAGAAAATGTTCCTTTCAGTAGTTTTATCGGTGTGGTTGAAAAAGAAATGTATATCTGTAAATAGAAAAATTATATTAACAGACCAATTATAGAGTTTACCTAGTCGTAGGAATGTTGTGTTCTTCTTGGCCCCCAAATAACACGAAATGCTCACCGAGGCGTCATTTAATCTCAATAACGACTAATAACGACTGATTTTAGTCAATCAATACATTGTTTTGAGTTCATTTTGACTTTCTTTGGCTGCTCCGTGAGTGTTTCGTGTCCTTTGGGCCGCACCCTGTACAACGATGAGAAAATACTCAGACACATAGTCTGGAGATGGCCCTTGTTCGAATCCATTGTGGGCGAGGTTGTTTAAAGGTATGTAAGGCGATGAAACCGCAGGCCACTGCTTCAACACTTACAGGGCAAAACCCCAAAATGTATCAAAATTATATTCTACAATAAGAGTGAAAAATAAAAAGCTTAAAGCTATATTTAGTTGTGGCTGAATTCATGCCTACTGTCTGAGAAATCTTGAGCCGCTCCTAAGGCGAGTTTTCGCCTTGGCGGCGCGACGGTGTGTCTCGTGGTGACTGCGTGCCGTCGACGCTGCGCCAATGGCGTGCCTCTCTCTCTCGCCCGGCCTCTGGCGACAGCCAATCGCGAGCCGTCTCGCGAGGGGCTCGGCACACACCTGTCTCTCTCGCACCCGTTTGGGACGCCCCATGAGTGCGAGAGAGACAGAACGACAAACTGGAAAACGGGTGTCCACGCTCGGCGGTCCCAGTCGGAGCGACGCGGCGCTACATTTGGACGCCGTCCAGGACAGTCCAGGACGCTCCGACCCGGTAACAGACTCCGCTGACCTCACGGTCCAAGGAGGCCCGACCTGCGGACTGACAGTCGCTCTCGTCGCTCTGTCTCTCCCGCACACACATGGGACGCCTCATGAGTGCGAGAGAGACAGAGCGACGAAAGCGACTCTCGGAATGAGTCCGCTGGAAGGCAGTGGACCACGTCGTCGACGCGCGATAATGGAGTCGGGCCGTTGTTGTGATAGACAGTGCAGTGGAGCGCCACCGAGAAGAATGCGAGTGGAATGCGTCACCGAATGCACCCAGCGCCCCCTAGCGGGAACCTTTCGGTATCATCTGCGTCGTTCTCGACTGGAATGGGACAAAAACATTTTATTTCAAGAACAAACTCTTCGAGAAAGCAAAAATATTGATACACCTGGATCCGATGTCTGCTTCCCGAATGTAGCCATCGCACGACCGCCACTACAAAGCATTTATCCGTCTCTGTTGTTGATTCGATTTTCCCACCGGCAAATGTTTACACCTCGGCGCGGCTGCCCAGAGATTTCCCTGTCGGAATGCATTGGCTCGGCCGGGCCGCGTTTGTTTACGGCAAATCGGAGACTCCTGGAGCCTGGAGTCTGCTGGGGCCCGGACCGCCTGGACCGATGCCAGACAACAGTGGGGAGGCCACCGGGCGCCACGTGGCCGGACAGAAAAACAGCGGGGCTTGACGCCTGGCTTGACGCCTGGGTGGCTCGTGCTGCTCGCACCACTGGAAAACAGCCTAGGCGCCTCTAGAATGAAAAGATGAAGATTGCAACACACACAAATACACATGATTCTCGTGATTTTGTGCACCATTTTTAGACCCCAATTTTAGGGGGAGGCTTGACGAGCGCAACCAAACTTTTCCATAATCAAACCTAAACGGTTTTTGACTTCAACAAGGCCGAAACTACTGTTGAAAATTGGTGCAAGTACACTTCCTTGGCTAGCCTGACTCCCAGGCCACTTCTCGACAGCAGATCCCAGATATTGCCCAGAGGACAGGTTGAGGTTGGCGACCCTTTTTCACTGTGGTGCATCGTGGGAGTGTTTGCCTACTCAGGTGGCAACACTGACTAGAGCCACTCGGGTGCCGGGCCGGCCGGGCCCTCACTGTAAACGGCCCGTGTCGCTCCAATCGACCAATCGCAGCGCGGCTCCCGGACACACCTCTGCGGACTGAGAGTCGTTTTCGCCTCCCTGTCTCTCTCGCACCCACACGGGACGCCCCATGAGTGCGAGAGAGACAGAGAGAGACGACGAATGAGTCCACTGATGACGCCCCGAGGCCCCGCCGGACCCGCGGGGCCCACGGGACGGGACCCCCGAGCCGAGCCCCGCCGGGACACCTTATAAAAGCAAGTGTCTCCGGGCCGCGGCGCTAGTATCCCAACTGACTCGCGTGACAAAGTAGACGACCGCTCCAACATGGTGAGTTGGCTCAACCGAAAATAAAAACTATTTTCGTAAAACAGAGGATTTAGTAACTTTGTTGTTGTTGTTTTATTGTTGTTGTTGTTGTTGTTGTATGATGTTGTTATTGCGACGAATCGATCGATCACACTCGTATCGATACGAGTGTGCTTGCGTGTCCAAGCACACTCACATGGAAGCGTTTTAAGTACACCCCTATAGCTGTGTACTAAGCTCACATTAAATCTTGTAATGTGTCCAGAAAGGATATTATGTCACCCGCTTGTGCCTCTGTCCTATTGAAAACTGCAATTAAATGTCACATGTTTCTTTTCCTGCAGACCACATACACGGACAAGGGCCAAAAGGTAAGAACACCTCCACTAGGAACGAGTGAAAATTTCCGATTGAAAACTTCAACAGAATACGAAAATCGTGTGCTCTCTCGTTCAGCCCATCAGTGGGCGCTTCCTCAACTTCGACCACGTCAAGTTCTACGTGGGCAACGCCAAGCAGGCCGCCAGCTTCTACGTCACCCGCATGGGCTTCGAGCCGTTCGCGTACCGCGGCCTGGAGACGGGCTCCCGCAAGCACGCCTTCCACGCCGTGCGCCAGGACAAGGTGAGCCTACACTGTCAAATTTCCGTGGTCCAATTTTTGGCTCGTGCTTCTCCTAGAAAATTTGTACGAAAATTCCGGACGAAATTGTTCGATTTCGCGAACAAAATTTGTACGCGAAAATTTCGCTTTGCACAAGATTGTGCAAGGCCACACCCAGAAAAATGGTTTCAAGATTTTTAATTTTCTTGGTTTTTATAAGAAAAAAAGTCTTAGAACAAGAAAATTTTTCTGCATTGAAAAAAAAATTTTTCTTGAAGAAAAAAGAAACAAGAAAAGTTAATTTTTTCTAGATCCAAAAAGTCATGTTTTTGGGTGCACGTCCCACATTGCAGAATTACACTTTACTGTGCGAGAAAAAGAAACTCCAAATGAATCAAAGCTGCCCAGAAAAAGCTCGCTCGCGCAGAGCGCGCCGGCGGGATGGCGGGTAGGCAACCCAATGCACGCCCGGGCCACGTTCACTGACCCTGGCGGCGCTGCAGCCCGGCGGGCAGGCAACCCAAATGACAACGCGCTAACAGCGCATTGTTGCACCGGCCGGCCCGGCTCCGGCGGCTCCGTCCGACCGAACGAAGGACGTTTCCTATAAGTGGGTTCGAAGGGAAGGCTTGCCAGTTATTGTCTGTCGTTAAGGAAGGCCTTAAACGGCGGCATGGCCGTCTAGCTAAAAACCACACCATGATTTATTTCTCAGTTTGCTTTTAACGTGTTTGCAGATCGTGTTCGTGTTCGTGTCGTCGTACGAGCCCGGCGACTACGAGCTCGGCGAGCACCTCATCCAGCACGGGGACGCCGTCAAAGACGTGGCCTTCTCCGTCGAGGACCTCGACTTTATCATGCGGGTCAGTGCAAGCGGGCCAAGTGGGCCAGAAGACCGGTGGAGGCGGTCCAAATTCCGGACGCGTTTTGAGCGCCAGAGTCGCTTAATGGGACTCGAACCGAGCGTGTGACCCCACCAATGGATTGCTCTCCGCACGAGGAATCCATTGGTGGGGTCACACGATCGCGTCGAGCCCCATTTAGCGACTCTGGAGCTCGAAACGCGTCTAGAGTTTTTCGCCGCCTGCGGCGCACTTCTGGCCCACTGTGCGTCAGGGAAATATGGAAATAGCCCACCGGGCGAGTGATTGTGAGGTATCAGTGTCGCGGAAGGCAACTCGTCGCCCTAACCGTGTTCCATGTTCCACAGACCGCCAAGGAGCAGGGCGCCAAGATAGTGCGCGACGTCCACGAGGAGACAGACGACTTCGGCACCGTGCGACTGGCTACCGTGCAAACGGTAAGTCGACACGCGTCTGGAACTTTGGCCACCTCCACCGGTCTTCCGGCCCAGTGTGTGGTTGGCGACAAATTTTCGCTCGCTCTGCCTCTCGAGGCGGTTCAAACTTTTGTTTTCCAACACAATGATACGCTCCATCGGCGTGGCCTTCGAACTCACTATGTTGACTGTGGCTCCTTCGGCAGTATGGCGACACCACGCATACCTTCGTGGACCGCAGCAAGTACCGCGGCCTGTTCCTGCCCGGCTACACCAAGCCCCTGCTGGACGACAAGCTGTGCGGCGGCCTGTGAGTGAGCCAGCTCTGTTAACACACTGTAAAACACACTGTAAAAAAGCACTGATCGGAATTAGCCTGCAAGTTAGGGAGGGAGCCCCAAATGGCATACGATCATGTGTGGTCTAGCCCTTAATAGTAATGGTAATGGGAGGTAGGCACCACCCGCAGCCGCGGAGCACAGCTGTGTGACGGGGTGCCTACCCCGAACTTCGCAGGGGCTCCATCGTTCTGCTGAGCATTTTAAAAGAGGTTTTTCCATCTTATATTTATAGTGCAGCTGACTTTGCAACTTATCTTTGGAAACAGGCCTGCCGTGGGGCTCAACTTCATCGACCACGTGGTGGGCAACCAGCCCGACAAGGAGATGGAGTCCGCCGCCGCCTGGTACGAGCGGACCCTGCAGTTCCACCGGTACTGGTCCGTGGACGACACGCAGCTGCACACCGAGTTCTCCGCGCTCAGGTCCATCGTCATGACCAACTTCGAGGAGACCATCAAGGTGCACAGCTGTTCCATTTAAAAAAAAAGAAATTTCAGACGCCCACCACTGCTTAGCGAACCCAACAGTTTACTCAGCACGCGCCCACCGTGTACTCTGGAGTGTGCTAAATGAGCACATGCTCCTGCAAGCTGAAGAGAGTTTACTGACTATACTGTTGAGTTAGCTGAGTATTTTTTTTTCGAAACTGTACAAACGTACGCATCTGATCTGACCAAACGTGCTCTTGCCGTTTGTAGATGCCCATCAACGAGCCTGCCCCCGGCCTGAAGAAGAGCCAGATCCAGGAATACGTCGAGTACTACGGCGGCGCGGGCGTGCAGCACATCGCGCTCAACACCAAGGACATCGTCAAGGCGGTCAGTGCACTTTTTCATTTCTACATTTCCCCGACGCGCGGTGGATTTGCCAGAAGACCGGCGCAGGCGGCCAAACCTCGAGACGCGTTTTGAGCTCCAGAGTCGCTGAACAGGACTCGAACCGAACGAGTGACCCCCACCAATGGATTCCTCGTTCGAAGAGCAGTCCATTGGTGGGGTCACGCGTTCGGTTCGAGTCCCATTTAGCGCCTCTAGCGCTCAAAACGCGTCCGGGATTTCGACCGCCTCCATCGGCCCTCTGGCCCACTGCGCGTTCCCCTCTTGGTGTTCACGACGACCTTTGGCTGCAGATCCGGGCCCTTCGCGCGCGCGGCATGCACTTCTTGGAGGTGCCCAGCTCGTACTACGACATGCTGCGGGAGCGACTGGCCAAGAGCAAAGTCAAGATCCAGGAGGACCTCTCCGTCCTGGAGCAGCTCAACATCCTGGTGGACTACGACGACGACGGCTACCTCCTGCAGATCTTCACCAAGAACATGCAAGACAGGCCCACGCTCTTCCTCGAGGTCATCGAGCGCCACAATTTCAACGTGAGTCTTTCTCCCCCCCCCCTTTTCTCTCTCCTCCTCTATACTGGGCATGACTAGAGTGTCATCAACGGGTTGGATTACGTTCTTTGTAAGGCAAAATAGACTTGAAAATGACTACCAAAATTTTCACAATGCACTGCGCCTGAGGTTCTCGGAACTCATCCGAATTCACCTGCCCCCTTGTGATACTCGATGTAGTCATAAGTGCGGAGTGAAGTCTTTCTCGTTCGGAAACGTCCGTTTTCTCACCGATGTGTGTCAGACCAGCATCCGGTGTGGGAAGCATGAATGAATGTATACAACCCAAGTTGCGTTTGTTCCAGGGATTCGGCGTCGGCAACTTCAAAGCCCTCTTCGAGGCGATCGAACTCGAACAGGATAAACGTGGAAACTTGTAGCGCGTTCAGAGTCTTGTACCTCTTCTATGTGCCATTTTGTGTGTGCGTCTTAGTCCATTTGTAAATACTGTCATGTAATTAGAAAATAAAGTCGTTTTTGTAAGATAGTTAATCCTTGTTGTATTCATTTTCCATCGTATTCACAAAAAAATCTAGACTAGCCAGCCGGTGTCTCACCACACGAGCATTCTGACACATTCATAGTTAAAATTTCTCTTTCTATTTTTGCGTCTGGCTTTTGTACACACAGATTATCATCTGCTTAAAAACGCTGGTTTTGAACACCTTCAATTTTTTTTCAAAATTTTGATCGTGGGTTGTCTGACATGGGAGAAACAAAACGGGAAGTGGAAACAGGAGGGAGGGGGGAGGGGGGGGGAGGGGGGCCAGGGACATGGCGGGGGCCCTGGGAGGAGGAGCCAACAGGTGGCGCACGCGGCCACGGCCAAGGGCAGGGTCGGCCGCGGAGAAAGATACAAACATACCGACAGACAGGCAGACAGGCAGACAGACTGGCAGGCAGACAGACAGGCAGACTGACATAACAGCAGGAGAGGTGCGAAAGATGAGTGCGGTGTGCCCATTCCATTCTGACCGTCAGGCTTTCAATGCGCGGTGCGCGTGCGCCGTCCGAACGGACCGAACGGAACGCCATGCCGACGCCATGCCGACGCCAGGCCGCACTCAGGGACTCGGAGAGGCCGGAGCGTGATTGCCGCGCACCACACCGTAAAGGACGACTGGGTCTGCCAACGACACGCCGTCCTGCCGTCCGGGGAAGGGACGGCCGCCGAGAAGGATTCGGAAGGAAGCGGTTGCAAAGAAACAAAAACAAAAATGTTTTTGAAACGCGTGACAAGGCGCCACACCTTCCCTGCCCTAATTAGAACAGTGGAGTGGTCAAATGACGTAACGGTGCGCCCCATAAAAGATAGGGCGCCCTGTCCGACGGCGGGGACCTGAGAGTGTCCTGGCGCCGCCGATCGTCGGAAAACTACCGTCGTCGCCTCTGGCCCTGCTTCCCTGGATGCCGCATGCACTGTCACAAAACAAAACAAATTTTTTACACTCCCTTTGAGTCAGATGCAGGGTTCATTTAACTGTTTTGCCTATCGATTCACCGCATTTTTTTCTGACAGTGTGTCCATTTTGTTTACTCGCGACGATGCATGCGCGGCTTCGGCCTTTCGCCGCTAATTTATGCATCCTCTGCGTGCTGTTCCACGAGCCGGTCCGCGGCACGGTCCGCGGCACGGTCCATGACACGGTCCGCGCGGTGTATTTCCGTTCTAACGCCGATTGGTACTTCGGGGAGCGTCTATTAAGGCGGTTATTATGGATGACCTCTCGGCTTGCAGCGTGTGAGTGAGTGCCCGCGCCTTGCGTGAGTGCGACCGAGACGGCGATAGAGAGAGGTTGGTCTAATTTTACACGCAGGCCCGCTCTGCCCCTGCACGTGGGCTTCCTGGAGGTAAGTAAGATCGGAGCGGGAACACAGAGAGAGAGAGAGAGAGAGAGAGAGAGAGAGAGAGAGAGAGAGAGAGAGAGAGAGAGAGAGAGAGAGAGAGAGAGAGAGAGAGAGAGAGAGAGGAGAGAGAGAGAGAGAGAGAGAGAGAGAGAGAGAGAGAGAGGAGCCGCAAAGGTGAAGGCAGCACGAGGTAGCCGTGAAGCGGCCAAGCCAGGCAAAGAGTCCACGTGTGTGCAGCCAGTGCGATTACCTACACCGAAAAAAAAACAGCGAAAGTAAACGAATTTTGGAGCGCGCTGGCTGGAGCGCGCTGAGGCCATCTGTGGCGGAGTTGGCCGGGACGGTTCTGGAGCGCCTCGCGACTACCGGCGGCAGGACCGGCAGGAGCACTGCAGGTTATACAGTGCCGGATGCGCGGCGGGCATTGCCGGAGCGTTGCCGGAGACGACATAACCACCCGCACTGTCAAGCAAGTTCGTGAGTTTTTTGCATAATGCAGTTGGCCAACGCCCAACGTTAATTTAAAGTTATTACACTCCTGTAAATTTGAGAAATTTCAAGATTTTGGACCAAGTTTTTACACTTTACTTATAAATTTCGAATATTAGTTTAATTTTTACAATCCTCCAATCCTGTAAATTTTGTGAAGTTTGAATGTTTGTGCGTTACCATCTTTCACACTCCAGAAATTGCAACAATTTCGAATGACTCAGATGACTCAACCGGATACAAACAAATATATATTTTTAGCAATTCCCTGGTAAGACTGAAACGTAGTTGTACGTTTCATTCAAGTGTATAGCTACGCTCGAAGACTGACGCCCTTCTTGAAGAGGGCAACTGCACTTCGAGGTGATCCCCCGATCCATTTAGATAGGGAGAAAGGAGCGTATAAGCTTATACACGCTTCATGAAGATAGGCACCATGTCCCGCCTTTACCAGTGTCTTCCTTCTTGCTGACCGCCGCCACGATTCAGACAGTGTGTTTTTTCGCGGCGTGACCTGCCCTGACCGCGTGCCGCTCGGCGTGCCGCGTGCCAGTCCGGTGCAGTGTGTGGCCGTGGCCGGCAGTGCCCCTTCCACACGTGTCCCGCCCCGCCCCGCCCCGCCCCGCCCCGCCGCGGCGCACCGCCCCTCCAAGGAAGAGAGGCGCGTCCTGAGGGAGACGGGCCGGACTCCCGGAGCCCATCCGCCAGTCCGTCACCAGGCTGCAAGCGCTGCGAGCAAGCCAGGCTGCGTGGTCGCGCCGTGCCACCGCCAGCCAGGCCAGCCGCGCCGCCGCCGAGGCCGCCGACGGGCCGCCGACGACGAGCCGACGACAACGGCCTGACGACAGGCCGACGACGACAGTCTGACGACAGTCTGACGACAGTTCGTCGACGACAGGCCGACGGCGAGAGGCCGGCGACAGGTCGCCGACAGTCCACGTCGCCGACAAACGGACGACCGGCCGCCGCCGACAAGCTCTGACGGGCCGCGCCGACGACGGGACGCCAGGCGGCGCGTCTTTGAGGCGTCCGTCCGACTTGGACTTCCCTTGGACTTCCCTGCGCGGTCCGAAGACAGTCGCCGAGCCGAGTGCATCCGCTTCCGGCACCGCCGTACGTAAGACCGTCTTGCTTCCAGCGCGCTCTGCATTCTCCGTTGTTGTTGTTGTTGTTGTTGTTGTTGTTTCACCTGCATAGTCGTTGTGTTTTGTTTCTCATTTGGAAGACAAGTTGCTTGTACCTCCTGGATCTCTGGAAGGAGGCCTGGACTGACCAGCACTCGTCATGCCGGTTCCATTGTACTTTGAACAACAATTGTTGTACTTTGAAAGTACAATAAATTCCTGATAAAAAAATTTGCCAGGAATGTGTGTACTTGTGTTGTGGCCTTTTTCTTGCTGTGCCTGAAAGGCGCTGTGACACATCTTTGTTTTCCCTGGGCGGTGCCTGTCGCTTAGTGGACGTGGAGTCTTCTACCGGGAACGAAGTACCCCAAATGCGACGCGCAGGTGCGCACTGTTCGCTACCGGTTATTGTGCGCGCTAGCCCGTGTTTGCTTCGGTGTGTGCTCAGTGGGCAACAACTTTGTAGGCGAAGTAAAGGTGTGCGTACCGCGTGGCGGGTACACAGCAAGGGGAAATCACTGTGAAACAGACTCACTTAGTTGTTAGTGAACAGATTATTTGGCACTACGTCAATTGCGTTTTTTGTCTCTCTTTTTTGGGCAAACCGCGCGTTTAAGTCCCTTGGTCCCGAGAGTGGCTGGGTCCTGGGCGAGACCGCCGCTCTGCCGGCTTTAAGTGCCCAGAGGTCGAATGGACAGCCACAAAGTGTGCTTCGGTGTGTGAATGGAGAGAGAGAGAGAGAGAGAGAGAGAGAGAGAGAGAGAGAGAGAGAGAGAGAGAGAGACCCATCGCGATTACGGGTCCCGAATCTCCGCCAATCTGGAAAGCCGCGAAAATTGCTTGGCAGACAATCTAAGCGCCTCGCGGGGCCATCGCACCGTGCGCCACGCCGCGTGGAACCGTTCAAGTGCCGCACCAAGTTTAAACAACAACATTAAACAACATCAATAAAATGAAAATAAAATTAGGATCTGTTTGAACAGTTACAAAGTCTGTTCATTGCGAGGAAAAAGTGCAGAAAAAGTACGAAATATGTCTGGTCAATAATTTGCCTGGACCGTCCGTACCTGTCCTACTACGGAACTTCTCTACTATTTTTCCGTACCCGATTAGATGGAGTTCTTATGGGACAAGGACGGGCGTTCCGTCCTTTTTTTCCGTACTTCCGTACTATATTCGTCAGTACATTTTCCGTACGGAATTTTTTACAGTGTTGTCATGAGCTAAGACTGCATTTGTTGCGAGTTTGTTGTGTCGGTTCAAGTGAGGGAAGAAAAGGAAGCTCATTTTCTATGAGTACGCCTATCTACGGGAGATCCTGAGTAAAAAGCAACACTCCTCTTGATGATTACTTTTCGGTAGCCGGCCTAGCCGGGGAGGCGTGGACGGCGGGACGGACCTTCGCAGTGCTTCGCAGTGCTTCGCAGTGCTTCGCAGGGACCCAGGGCTGGCGCAGGCTGGCGCAGGCTGCCGCGGCTAGCCGGCCATTAGCACGTCCAGAGGGCCAAGACTCCGTGAGCAGGACAAGGATACGCGCGGCATGGCCGAGCCAGCCTCGCGCCTCGCTACGCCGCCGAAAGTGAATTTATGATAACTCGGAGATTGTTCCGCCGGGGATTATCTCGTTGGGGGTAATTGCAAAGTCCGGCACTTTTGTTGCGTTTTCTGCACTGTCTTTTGTTGTAGCGGGAACTTTGTCTTGGCGCATAACGAACGAACGAACGAATGAATGAATGAATGAATGAATGAATGAATGAATGAATGAATGAATGAATGAATGAATGAATGAATGAATGAATGAATGAATGAATGAATGAATGAATGAATGAACGAATGAATGAAGGAACGAATGTTTCGGAGTACGATTGAATTTGGACAACCTTTCCCAATTTTTAATTCGAAAATCTCTCTTTCTGTTGTCTGCTTATCGTAATCCATGTGGTCGCTTGTCACGAATGCCTGCCGCCGCGCTGCCGTGCTACACGCTTCCTTCCTGCCCGCAGTTCGGCGCGGCGACCGCAGCGAGGCGCCATGATTTCGGTCTCCATGGCGACGGCCGCGCTGCTGCTGCTGTCCATGTGTGAGTAATTGCAGTGGTCATTCCCGACGCTGCTACAACGCAACGTACAAGATTGTTTGAAAAAAATAAACACAAAAGTAATCAACTGAATTTTTCTTTTGGTGTCCAAACCTATTTTAGTGTTTGTTTTTTTTCAAGCAATCTGGGATTTTTTTTGTGCGTCCGGTGCCTAAAAAATATTAAATGGGTTCGTTCGCGTTTTGGGACTGATTTCTTTCTGCAGTCACCACTAAAAATATGACAAACAAAACAAAACAAAACAACAGTCCAGCGGGGCGGGGTCGACGGCCGCCCCCTTCCGAAGTATGAATGGAACCCGAAGTCGTGCCGCCGCGGACTTCCGAGAGGGAATGCCAACTTCCTCGGAGGCGCGTCTGTCTGTCTGTCTGTCTGTCTGTCTGTCTGTCTGTCTGTCTGTCTGCCTGTCTGTCTGTCTGGTCTGTCTGGTCTGTCTGGTCTGTCTGTCTGTCTGTCTGTCTGTCTGTCTGGCGGGCTGGCGCGTGCGCGCGCGTTTCGGGAGTTTCCATGCCGCCCCCTCCTCCGCTCCGAGTGCGGGCGCGCGGCCGTGGCGCCGGGCCCGTGACACTGTGACGCGCCCCGCGACATTGCGCCTCGCTTCGGCGTATAGTTTAACACACCGGCGGCCCGGAAACCCAAGCCCGGTAGTCGCGCAGTCTACCCTGAAAAAAAAATTAGTTTCAAATCTGTAACGTCACCCTAACGCTGTTTTTTGGAATCAATGAAAACTGACTGATTTATTGGAACATCTTCAGTGGCAATGCAAACTTTCGACAGTGAGTCAATTCAATTGTCATTTAGATGCACATTGACCTTTCTTCGATGACGACACGTGGGGCGGTCGGTAACTGCCCAAACAAGTAGGCCTGTTCTTTCTACCCGAGAACCGACGCCCGCTCCTCCACCGTAACACAACGCACGTCAGAGACAGCGCATGCGCGTCACCGGCGGTGACATTTCCGAGTAAAAGTGCGGCGGCCTTGAAGGGCCCCCGCCTGGACTTTCACACGGACTTCGCAAATTGCGAACTGAAATCCGCTCATTTGCCTCCAATCTCCGCAAAGTGGCGGCGCCCCGTTACCACTACACTGTCTCTCGTTACGCGTGGAGTGTCAGCGAGGCGGTGACGTCACGCGTGAGGTCGCGGCCTGTCTCGCAGCGGGATGGCCGATTTGATTTTACAGTGTGAAATTTACAGTGTTACTCCAGAGCGTTATGCCATTTCTCGAGTCAATGACTGGACCTGCTCACCGGAGATGAGAAAAGTGGTCCACTCATGATTTGCTCTCCAAACGAGGAATCCATTGGTGGCACGTTCGGTTCGAGTCCTGTTTCGCGACTCTGGAAGTCAAAACGCGTCTAGAGTTTTGGCCGCCTGCGGGTCCTCTCCCTCATCTCTGCTGTATGATGTCCCCGCAGTTGGCGCGTCGGCGGGCGCGGGCGCCGGCTCGCTGGCCTGGTCGTCCGGCCTGCTCAACTCCCTGTACAGCCCCGTGCTGGACCCCGGCGGCAGCCTGGGCGGCAACCTGGCCGTGCCCCGAAGCTCCCTCAGCCCGCCGCCGCTGTCCGCCAGCTTCTCGCCCAGCTTCTCCTTCACGTCACCGCCGCTGCCGGGCGGCTTCGCGTCCAGGTCGTCCTCCTTCGCGACGTCGGCGGGCTCGGACGCACCGGTCTTCGCGTCCAGGTCGTCGTCCTTCGCTACGTCGGCGGGCTCGGACGCACCGGGCTTCGCCGCCAGCGGCACGTCATCGCCGAGCTTCTCCGGCTTCGCGACGGGCTTTACCTCGCCGGGGTACAGCCTCCGGACGGAGCCGTCGGCCCTCTACACGGGCGGCTTCTCGTCGCCGGGCTCCAGGACCAAGGCGCTGAGGACGCCGTCGGCGGCGCTGGGCATCAGCACCTCGCACGTGGCCGCCATCGCCGAGAACGCGGGCAGGTTCTTCGCCAGGACCTTCCGGGCCTTCAGTGGCAACCCCGCCGAGACCGTCAAGTTCGACCTGTTCACCAGGTATGGCGACACTGCAGTGGTAATTTTGCTCGCGACGCCAGAGGCGTTCCCTTGTATCAATATTGGACCATTGGACCAAAAGTGGAGCGGCACTAAAGTGGCAAGCGAACATACCAATCGAAGTGGACGTTACTGCCCGAGTCTGGACGGAAGCTGATGCTCGCTCTGGTGTCGCAGGCAGCAGGCCAACACGCCTGTCCGCGTGTACGCCCGCAAGAAGAACACCCTGGAGCAGACCTCCTTCGACCCCAGCAAGCCCACCAAGATCATCATCCACGGCTTCCTGTCGCACCAAGGGCCCTCCTCCGGGGGTGACGTCCTCAAAAACGGTAAGGTGGGCTTCAGTTTGGACGCCCCGGATTCACTAGGAGACCGGTGGAGGTGGCCAAAATTCTAGGCGCGTTTTGAGCTCCAGAGTAGCTTAACAGGACTCGAGGAACGCGGAATCCACTGGTAGGGTCACACTTTCGGTTCGAGTCCCATTTAGCGACTCTGGAGCTCAAAACGCGTCTAGAATTTTGTCCGCCTCCAGCGGTCTTCTGGCCCACTGCGGCCAGATCGCTAACCGCTTCGCCGCTTCGGCCCGCAGCCTTCCTGGCGGTGCAGGACTGCAACGTCATCACGGTGGACTGGTCCGGCGCTGACCCGCGCGAGTACAGCTCGGCGGTGAAGCTGGCGGTGCCGCGCGTGGCCAACGAGGTGGCCGAGCTGATCCGCATGATCCACGGGCTCGGCGGCGACCTCAACGACGTGCACGTGCTGGGCCACAGCCTGGGCGCGCAGATGGCGGGCATGGCGGCCAGCCTGACGCTGGGGCCGGCCGGCGCGGGCCGCGTCACGGGGCTGGACCCCGCCGGGCCGCTGTTCGAGGGCAGGGACCCGTCGCAGCGCCTCGACCCCACCGACGCCGCCTTCGTGGACGTGGTGCACACCGACGGCGGCCAGCTGGGCTACTCCGCGCCGCTCGGCCACGCCGACTTCTTCCCTGACAGCGGCAAGCACCCGCAGCCCGGCTGCGGCAAGGACGTCGTCGGTAAGCTTCAAAACCTTTCTTCACCAGTGCACAGAGGGCCAGAAGACCCGTGTAGGAGGCCAAAATTAAAGACGCGTTTTGAGCCCCAGAGTCGCTTAACAGGACTCGAACCGAACGTGTGACCCCACAAATGAATTCCTGCTGCAGGTCTGTGCTCGCACTGCCTGGTGTACGACCTGATGATCGACGCCATCCTCCGCCCTGGCTCCGACGTGTACCGGAGCTGCTCGTCGTGGCAGAGCTACAAGAACGGCGAGTGCGGCCAAGGGGACAACGCCGTCATGGGCATCTACACGGATCCAAGGTACACTGTCAAAACCGAATTTGAATAAAAAAAAAAAAAAAGCTTTGATGGAAGAGAATGGAGGCACACAAGCAAGTGGTGGACTAACACTTAAATTTTGTGTGCACATGAATGTCCTGGAATGGTCAAGACTGGTTTTGACACACATTTCACCTTTCTTGCAAGATTTTACCGTGCTCACATGGCTGAATACATTCAGCCATATGAACACACGGAATGTGCCCGGATAGGGTCTCCATGATGTTGTGCACGGAACGTGGCAAGTGGTTCAAGGGAAAATGTAATTTGCAGCTTTAGAAACGAATTGAAATGCCGCAGGTCGCGCGGGTCGTACTTCTTGGCCACCAACCGGTCGGTGCGGCCGGAGCTCCGCACGGCCGGCGACAAGGACCTGGTGGGCATCTTCACGCTCAGGAACAACCCCCAGAAGCTGGACGGCGTGATGCTGCTCCACTGTTAGGACGATCTCGGCCCGACCGGAAGTGTGTCAATCACCGCCACTTTGTGTTTGACGTTGATGCGAATTAGAGCGGCGAGGTCGCACTTCTGGTGGGTCAAAAGTGCGTTGATGGCTCGTGCTCTGTCTGACTCGTGTGCAGAAAAAAAAGCGTGTGCGGCTGGCTGGATCAACCGTCACTCATTACCCACGCCGTCAGAGCGCAGCGCATCTAGCATAAACTGTACGGCTGTGAACATGGCTGACCTAGCCAGAAGATTGTGTATAGATAGATTAATAAAGCTTACTTTTACGCACGATGATTCTCCCCTTGCTATCTTCATGCATCTCGCTCGCCAACCAAGTGGGTAAAAGATCATAAAAAATCACGACACGTGCTCAACCAAACTGAATTTTTTTAATCATCATAAACATACTGAGAAAACCTTCCAAACTATTTTAGGCCTTACAAATAAAAACAGCTTGTTATAACAAAGTATTTTGAGCATACATAAGCTTAGGAAATACTTCGTAATTTGCGAACCATTTCTTTCTGTAACAAAGTAAATTAGTTTGTATTATGTATGCTCAAAATGAATCGTACAGGTTTTAAGCGTGCACACATCGGACAGAAGTCGGATCGTAAAACACGAACCAAAGCCGTACTCGTGTTTCGAACAAAAAGCCAATCGAGCAGTGATTGAGCCCCTTCGTCTTGACCGTTACTTGGTTGTAAGTACCAAAGAAGCCTGCAGTGCTGCGCCAAGGCTGAGCCACCTTCACCCACTGAGAGCGGCACGCCGCGCCACAAGCGGCTCGGTGTTGGGTTCAGGGCCACGGCCGGCCGTCCCGTCCGTGCGCCGTCCGTGCACTGGCCGTGCATTCGCGGCAACTCGCGCCATTCAGCTGGCTGATTCCGAACGACGCTTTCGTCGCTCTCTCTCTCTCTCTCTCTCTCTCTCTCTCTCTCTCTCTCTCTCTCTCTCTCTCTAAGGGGGCGTCGCGAGGAGGTGCGAGAGAGACGCAGCGACACTGTTCGGAATGAGACGACGCAACTCTGCAGCGCGATGTCTGCCAGTTCGTGTTTCCCGCCAAAATGCAGACATTCGAGTATCAGAATCCGCTGTAGTCCCTGAGAGCTCCGAACCGCAGACATCGAGAGGGAAAAGGATCCGCGGCGTTTTAGCGCGGAATCGAAACTTGAGTCCTCAGAAACGGTGAGGGTGACATTGAATTTTCAAAACTGTCCGCAGACTTTGCTTCACAGAAATGGATTCGTCTCGACAAATCAAACAAAAAGTGTCCACACATGTCATGGTCTTGGATACGAAATGCAGAAGTATTTAAGCTGCGGTCTCGAAGATGGCCCATTTTACTGGCCCGTCAGATAACAATAATCAGACACGGACTAGAAAGACACGGCCCGACACGCCCGAAGAGGTCGCTACGCTGCGCTACACTGCGAGGTCGGATGTGGGTCTCCAGGACCCCGAACCGCTCCTGCAACGCGTGGCCGGAGTGCTGTGCAGTGGTGGCACTGGTCACGGCCGCACATTAATGAAGCAGCACACTGATCCAGAGTCTCTAAATGGGACTCAATCCGAACGTGTGACCCCACCAATGGATTGCTCTACGAACGAAGAATCCATTGTCACACGTTCAGTTCGAGCCCCCCTTAGCGACTCTGGAGCTCAAAACTCGTCTGGAGCTTTGGCCGCCTGCACCGGTCTTCTGGCCCACTGTGGCGTGGCCGGGCGTGCGGTGCGGTGCCCGGCGTGGCTCAGGGCACCTCCACCCACTGCGGCAGCTCCTGCAGCTGCTGGTACAGGGCGAGCCCGGGGCTCTCGGTGCGCTGGACCTGCCGCTGGCCGTAGACCCGGACGTCGTCCGGAAGTTCGCCGAGCTGCACGCCGCACTGGAGCAGGTCCCGGAGGGCGTTCATCTGCCTGGTGGACGCGCCGGCATCTGGAACAGAACCAGTCCTTGTGAGGGTCAGCCACTCAGGGTTGCCTACTTCGTGACGTCAGAGAGCTGCGCTGGGAGTGGCACGCGCGGCACGCACGAAACGCACGCCCAGTGGCGGAACCAGATCCGGCCGGAAGGTGCGGGGGGGGGGGGGGGTATCAACTCTTTGCCTTACACACAGTGGGCCAGAAGACAGGCGGAGGCGGTCAAAACTCTAGACGCGTTTTGAGCTCCAGAGTCACTAAACAGAACTCGAACCGAAAGTGTGACCCCACCAATGGATTCCTCGTTCGGAGAGCAATCCATTGGTGGGGTCACACGTTCGGTTCGAGTTCCATTTAGTGACTCTAGATCTCAAAACGCGTATGGAATTTCGAATGCCTCCTCCGGTCTTCTGGCCCACTGTATGGCGGTCAATTGTCCTACCCCACCTCACTGGACCCTTGCCCGCGCACGGCCCGCTTACCAGAGTAGTCGCCCAGGAAGGCGACGCCGATGGACTTGTTGTTGTAGCCGTAGGTGTGGGCGCCGCGCTGGTGCCAGCCGCGGCCCTGGAAGACGTAGCCCGCATCGCCGCCGATGAGGAAACTGCGCGCCAAATTCAAAGTCATAAAGCGCGCAGCAGGAGATGTACGCTGTCATTCAAACGACGCCTTTTACAGCAGCGTAGATCAATGAACGAGAGAGGGTGCAGGCCTTGATGGCAGGGCTACATTTGATCCACGATATAATCAGGGCAAGCCTATCAGAACAAAATAATGGATAGGTAACTTTGCCGGCTTCTTAAAGTACATCAATACTGTCCAAATGATTGAAATGAGGACGCCACCCAATGGGCCAGAAGACCGACGGAGGCCTTCACCGGTCTTCTGGCCCACTGTGGGCCGCCCGATGGGGCCAACCCGTAGCCGATGTCGCCGAAGCCGAGGTCCTTGTGCTGCTGCTGGATGCTGTGCACCTCCCTGGCGCAGGCCGTCTCGCTGCCGCAGCGCGGCCCCGCCGTGTGGCCCACGATGACGTCGGGCACGGGGGTCGTGATGTAGTGCACCGCCGCGGACGGCGAGGCGCCCCACAGCTGCCGGGAGATGATGTTGGGGCACGCGGCGTCACCTGCACGGACACGTGTGTGTGTTAGCCGAGGTGGCTAGAGCGCCGGAGAGTAAACTCGGAGATGCGGGTTCAAAAACCCGCCGAGTGTTTGATTTTTTTTTCCGGTGTTGGTCTTCGAGGCGTGGCTCAGCTCAGGACACAGGCCCGCGCGCCAGGTACGGTGGGAGGCCTACCTAGCGGGCGATGGCGCGCAGAGCGGATCCTAGGGGACAGCAGGACAATTGACCCCCACGTGTTCTTTCCCCCCGAAAGTAGTAGGCATAGAGTGCTGCTCCCCCCCCCCTTCCGCCGTCAGACCGGCTCTGGATCCGCCACTGGCGCTGAGGTGGGGCGTGGAGTGTCAGTTAGTGTTTCGAGTTCTGTCTGGAGGCGTGAAGCGCGCGTGCGGCGGCCCGAGCGTTCCGCGTGCGTTCCGCGTGCCGAACCAAAGGCCCGCCGCGGCCCGTGGCGTGTCCGGCGTGTCAAGCGTGTGGCACTGCAGGTCGTGCTCGTCACGGCCCGGTGGCGCGGTGTGAACCTGGTGCGAACCTGGTGTGAACCGGCGCAGTGGGCCACACGCACGAGGCGCTCTCGAGCCACCGGCCGCCGCGTGTAGCAGTTTATGCCGCGAGTAAACGACACAGATCTGACTCATTATACGTCTGTTTTATACCATGACACCGAAAGAAAGGTACGTAGTAACTCTTGTTAAAGATCGTTGGGCCTGAAGTGCTTTAACGAGGTATTTTAGAGTGACGATTTGAACATCCGCGCGGGTGAGACGACCCGTTTTCGGGTGGAGTGGTCCGTGATAAGCACAGCCAATCACAGGCCTCCGATTTGGCGGGAAAATGTTCCGATGGCCTGACCGACCGCAGAGTGCTCAATAACTCAGTCAAGACGGGGTAAACGAACCGGCGTCCTTAAACCTTTTTTTTTCCTTTCGGTCATATTATCCTTGCACACGCCAAGCTCGGCCAAGCCCCCGTCTGGCAGTGCCTGGCCGGCCTGGCCATGCCGGAAGGCGGGCCGGCGCGGGCACAATGAACGAAGGCCCCCTCCTTTTGCTCTACCTTGCGGCGTGAGAGACATGCTGAGCAGAACTGGCCCGAGGATGGTGGCGGCGCGGAGCGGGGACCGCAGGGACCGCAGGGATGCTGATGCACCGGGCCGCATCGCGCTTGGGAACCAGAAGCTCGCACAGAGGCGTACACGCACCGCGCACAGCAGCCGAGGCGGCCGAGGTGGAGACGCGTCGGCACGGACTGAGTGCCAATGTCAAGGCGACGCGCCCAGCCAAGCCAGCCAAGCCGCAGACCCCCCCCCTCCCCCCCCCAACCGGAGCAAGGCCCGCACGGCCGGGCATTCCGACAAGCCGACTCGGATGAGAAATTCAGTCGGAAGAATCGGCCGAATCGATCATCGAAGAAGCACTCTAGCGCGCTTGAGAGACTCTAAACCTCGCTCTGAATCGCTCGAAATGCCGCACTTACCTCATGCCGACGTGTGCGGTCCTTGGCTTCGCTTCGACTCAGACACTGTACTTTTCAGTACCATTGAGTTCCTTCTTCGCACGACGCACCATCCAGAGCTCCTCTGGTGCGATTGGTTCGAGACCGATTTGAAGGCTGCAGTCCCCAAACGTGTTGGCAGCTCGCGCCACGCAGCGCGGAGTATCGGCACGCGGCAGAGCCTTGCCGCCTTGCGGTTGCGAGTGTACCAGCCTTATCGGCAGCCTGTTAGGCAGCCTGTTCGGCGCTCGGCCGCCACTCTTTACAGTGCAGGGCCTCGTGGCGGAGCGGAGAGTCCGGGCGGGCGGTGCGGGTCCGCGATGTGAATGCCGACGACCATGCCCAGCGCGCCCAGCGCCACGGCCGCGGCCGTCCTCGCCGTGCTGGTCCTCTCGGCGGAGTGGCGGCCCGCCGCCACGGCGCTGTCCTGCGAGAACCTCAACACCCGCAAGTGGAAGGTGGGGCCGTGGTGGAAGGAGGAGGCGGAAAGTGCAGGAAGGATCAAGCCTCTCGGAGAAGTGACGGAAAGATAGTGAGCTGACGTGTGGGCGTGGCGCGCAGCACGGCCGCAGCATGACGGCGCCGCCCTACGCCATGGGGGTGCAGCTGAACCTGGCCGCCTACAAGGACAAGGCGCGCCTGGACGCCAAGGCGTTCGACGCGCGCGGCGACGAGGAGCTGCGCGCCATGCTGCCCCTCGCCTTCGACGCGCGCAAGCACTGGAAGCGCTGTCCCTCCATCGGCCGCGTCGTGGACCAGGGCTGCTGCGGCTCCTGCTGGGTGAGTTAGGTTAGGTTCGGACTGGCGGAGGCACCGTCGACGACGCCCCTGCACCAGGGCGGCGTCTGAGCAACAGGTCGCGGTGTTGTTCGTCTCCCTCGAAAGACTGCCCTCAGGCCTACGCGTCGGCCATGGTGATGACGGACCGGCAGTGCATCCTCGCCAACGAGCACTTCGAGTACTCGGCGCAGCACTTGTTGGTGTGCAGCAAGACGTCGAACCACTCCACGCCCTGCAAGGGCGGCGACCCCGCCGACGCCTTCGACTTCTGGGTGACGCGCGGTGTCGTTTCCGGCGGCGAGTTCAACTCGTACGTCGTAAGTCTGCTCCGGTCTTCTGGCCCACTGTGCCTCGCCCCACTCTGTCCCAGCGATGCGCAGCGTTTTTCAGATGAATCCCATCCCAGCTTTCCATCTATTAAGACCAAGATGAGGACGCGTAGTGAGGTTTTCCTCAAATTTTTCTTGTTTTGAAGGGGTGCATGCCGTACATCTACGCGCCAGCGGGCAACCAGTGTCGCGCCTCGGCGACGCCGCTCGAATGCTTGCAGCAATGCCAGATAAGCTATCCGCGCCAGTTTAAGAAGGACCTCCACTTCGGTACGGCAGTTCAACGCTTTCAGAAAACCGTCGTGGATCCGAAAAGTGGCTAATGCCCGTAGAGCACGAAACACCCACAATGAAGTCAAAATGAGTCAAAATTATGCCTTGTTTTGTAAAAATGTCGTTCGAAACTAATCAAATGACGTCATGGTGAGCGTCTCGCCCTCTTTAGGTCGAAAAAGAACCGTAGATTTTGAATGAAGTTTCTCGTCCTCCAGGAGAGCGATACATGCTCCTCCCGCAAAACCGCCCCGTGATCATGCAGTCCGAGATCCTTCGCGGCGGCCCCATCGTGGCCATCCTGGACGCGTACGAAGACTTCAAGTGCTACGAATCTGGTTAGTGCGCAACGTGCAACTGGACGCGTGGTCACCGGGGGGATACTCCGCGCGCGAGGGACTCGACGGACAACCTATGCGCGCGGGGTATCGCCAGGGTCATTGGCTCTTCTGCGTCTTCTGCTGGTAGCCGGCGCGCGGAGTAACGACGCCCACGCACAGTGGGCCAGAAGACCGGCGCAGGCGGCCAAAACCCTAGACGCGGTTTGAGCTCTAGAGTCCCATTTAGCGACTCTGGAGCTCGAAACGCATCCGGGATTTCGGCCGCCTCTGCCGGTCTTCTGGCAAGTCCACTGTGTGACACTGCAGGCGTGTACGAGCACGTGGCGGGCGAGCTGGAGGGCGCGCACGCCGTGCGTCTCATTGGCTGGGGCACCGAGAACGGCGTGCCGTACTGGCTGGCGGCCAACTCCTGGGGCAAGGCCTGGGGGGAGCGGGGGCTGTTCAAGGTGCGGCGCGGCACCAACGAGTGCAACATCGAGAGCCTCCGGGTGGCCACGGGCTTCCCCTCCACGGTGGACGTCAAGGGCGACGCCGAGACCACGGTGAGCCTGCAGTGAGCCTTCCCCCTTCTTTCTGGACTCGGAGGGCAGTTGTAAACACGGTTAGCAAAACAACTATTGTGTTTCTGTGCGGACTGGCAGCAACGTGGACTCAGTGAGTCTGCTCTCTGTTCCAGACGGGCCAGCAGTCAGCTGAGGGCGAGGCGTCCGAGGCGGTAAAAGTGACCACGCGTTGTAAAACAATAAATAGTAGACTAAACTTTATTTGACACGTTGATTCAGTCGTTCGAAGTGAGCTCTCCAAATCGCGCCGATACTTTTGGAGCGCCCACTTTGATGTTCGGGGGGCCTGGCAGTGGGTCTAGCCCCACCAGCCTCGCTGTGCGTTCCGCTGCTGGGAGCTCTGTCGCTGTTGGCTGTTGGTGCCGCTGGTCTGTCGCTGGCTGCTCTGTCGCTGCTGGCTGCTCTGCTGGCTGCCCTGCTGGCTGCCACTGCGGTTCTCCTGCCAGGGGGTGAAGTCCATCCCCGGCAGCTGCGAGCACTGCACTTCGGAGTTCCTGCGGGCAGAACGGGTCGGATTAGGGATTCAGTCACGCTTCTTTGGTTCGGTCGAAGAGTCGCTACTCACAGCGGGCCAGAAGACCGATGGAGGCGGCCAAAACTGTAGACGCGTTTGAGCTTCAGAGTCGCTAAATGGGGCTCGAACCGAACGTGTCACACGTTCTGTTTGAGTCATGTTAAACGATTGAGCTCAAAACGCGCCTAAAATTTTGGCCGCCTTCACCGGTCTTCTGGCCCACTGTGCTACTCCTCACCCCTGGACGCCGATCTTGAGGAAAGCGTTTCTGGGAACGGTGTTGAGGCCGCGTATGTTGTCGCACATCAGCTTTGACGCCGTCTGCTTACGAATCTCCTGCAGTTGCGCTGAGGAGGGAACAAACAATGTCATCCGCTGTCGCTGAAAGCTTTTCTCAACGCTCTGTTAAAAGTTTCTAGAGGAAAAAAATTAGGGTGTGGCGTTGGTATTTGAACCCGGGACTTTACCCGGTGTGAAGGGGCGCGGGCTGCTGGCCAGGTCGTAGAAGTAGGGGTCGCCCTCCTTGTAGCGCCGGAACTGGTCCACGACGACGCACTGGAAGACGGGGGACGTGATGGTGGCCGTGTTGGAGGTGTCGAAGCGACGCTCCAGCAGCCCGCCCACGTAGTAGTCCACGTCGTCGGGGTGCGCGTACAGCGTCTGCAGCAGCTGGATGTTCTGCGCAGCGCGACGCAGCGCGACGCGACAGCGTTAGTGCCACGCACTCGGCCTCTCCCTTTCGGCTTCGCCTCACAGCGTCCCGTCAAGCCCCCCATCCCACGCAACCGTCCGGGCGGGGGCCTAGCCATCAATCCAAATCCATCCGCACAGCTATCCGTCTGCTCTAGGGTGCTGCTTTTCGTCTCGCCCGATCGGCCGCCACCGCCGCGCTCCGCCCTTCCCACCACGCTTCCCCTTTCACCGGCTGTTTCCTGAAGACCCCCTCCTCGAAGCTAGTCCCTCTCTCTCCTCACCCTGGCGCTGATGAGGTCCGAGAAGCCGTTCCAGCTGGTGGCCCTGCGCAAGCCGCACGTCTGGCGGTAGTCGTTGTAGCTGGGCAGGCCGTGCTCGCGGCCGCGGATGATGTCGGTGGAGATGAGGTCGCCGCCGAACGCCGCGCCGTTGGCGAACATGCGGTTCTTGATCTGCGGCAAGCGGGTCCTTGGTCAGTACGCACAGTGGGCCAGAAGACCGGCGCCGGCGGCCTAAACTCTAGACGCGTTTTGAGCTCCAGAGTCGCTAAGCAGGGCTCGAACAGAACGCGTGACCCCACCGACGGATTCCTCGTTCGGAGAGCAATCCATTGGTTGGTCACGCGTTCGGTTCGAGTCCTATTTAGCGACTCAAAAACTCAAAACCGGGTCTTCACTTATAGACGAGGAGGGAGTTTGGGCCTGACCTGGTCCGCCATGTACTGGTCCTGCTCCTGGCTGGGCTGGTACAGCATGCCCTCCACCACGGCCTGCACCATGTTGTTCTGCAGCACGATGGCGGCGGGGGTGTCCACCACGGTGCCCGCCTGTCTGCCGGAGCGCCCCAGCCTGCGCGCGGAACCAAAAAATTAACCTATGTTGCTCAGTGGGCTAGAAGACCGAAGGATGTGGTCGAAATCCCAGACACGTTTTGAGCTCTAGAGTCGCTAAACGGGACTCGAACCGAACGTGTGACCCCACCAATGGAGTGCTCTCCGAACGAGGAATGCATTGGTGGGGTCACACGTCCGGTTCGAGTCACAGTTAGCGGCTCTGGAGCTCAAAACGCGTCTAGAGTTTCGGCCGCCGGCGCCGGTCTTTCGGCCTACTGTGTGTTGACATCTTTTCCACTCGCCCCGGATGTCCCTCTCGCCCGCTCACCAGATGTTGTTCTGGATGAGGGAGTGGAAGGAGCGGAAGGCGGCGCTGGCGAAGTCGTTGGCCGTCCTGGGGTCGGTCTGCGCGCTGTAGGCCTGGCTGTAGCCGCTCTGCGCGGGCCGCAGGTTGTTGCGCGCCACCGCGTCGTGGCCTGCGAGCAAAGTGTTGAGTTACCCAGGGAGCAGATCATTTCAACGACCTGAATTAGACCGACAAAAACTCCAGACATTTGACTCTATTCCCCATCGAGCTGACAGCACACTTTAAAGTCGCGTCCACTGCGAGTTTGACGGCCCACTCACCGATGAGCCACGGCAGCCAGTCGCGGTAGGTGATCTGCTGCCACTGGGCGATGACCACCCTCCTGGCCTCCTGGTAGAGGCGCTCGTCGTCCCAGTGCGGGTTGAGGCCGGCCAGCGTCCGGGCGATGCGGTTGTGCTCGCGCAGCAGCGTGGTGTGCACGGCGGACAGCATGGCCGTCACCACCACGCGGATGTCACCTGCAAGCTTACAGTGTGTGAGTCAGAATGGAGCCGGGGGAAAGCGCCTGGCCACGTCTCGTTTTGCAGTGCAGGCGAGCTTGTGTCGGGCCCGAAACGGCATACGATCATGTGTGGTTTAGCCCGTAATGGTAATGGTAATGGTAATGGGCGGGTAGGCAAGGTGCGTGGCTTCCATGCCTTGGGGTTGCCTACCCGGTCTTCCGCAGGCGTGCGGGCCCCCGTCTCGACGGCAGTCCCGCCGCACTCGGGTGCAGTGCGGTACAGCCTATCCTCTGTTTCGCAGGCGTTTCATTCAGGTTTTGTCGTCTGCTGTTATCGCTATTGGATCTCCAGGCACACCCACCTCCCACCCTCCAACCCCGGGCAAAACCTACTCCATGTACTACTAGGAAAAACTAACACAAACTTGGAAAAAAATCTCGACGGCGCGTGATCAAGCCGAAAAACTCTCTCTTATTTTGGCTTCCCTCACTTGGCATAAAACGCTGGGTTATACAAAGTTTTCAAAGAGGCTTCTCCTGCAGGTTAGTGACGGCGACGGCAAGGACTACACCTACGACTACGACCTGGACGACTACTAGTGGCGTACTCACCGGCGAACAGGTCGCCCTGAGGGTCGGCGGGCAGGTGCTGCTCGCCGTTGATGGTCCGGAAGCGCAGCAGGCCGCCCTGGTTGGCGCGGAGGTTGCGCGCCTTGGTGGGGTCCGAGCCGTACACGTGGGACGCGTCCAAGTAGTGCGTCACCATGTTCCTCTGGAATAAAAATGAAAAAAAAATGAGTAGCGAGCAGTGCTGCCACAAAAGACTGCCGTGCCTTGAAGTACCTGCTCGCGCCAGCTGGTCTGGCACGTGTTGGAGGCGGAGCGCTGCACGCCGAGGCAGGTGACGCCGTGGCGGCGGAAGAAGGGGTCGTTGTTGGGGATGTCGATGCGCGCGCACGTGATGGTGGCGCGGTTGGCGGCGCGCAGCGACTCGGCGCAGCAGCCCGAGTTGGCCTCGGGGAAGGCCGTGTCCAGCAGCGTGATGTCGTGCGCCACCAGCTGGCCCCAGTTCATGAAGAAGTGGTTCACCACGGGGTTGGGCACGTCCACGTCGATGTGCAGGCGGTTCACCACCTCGCGCGGGCTGGGCAGCGCGGCCCTGGTCACACCCACGCGTGGCGCGTGGACTCCTGTGGACAGCGGCTTCAGTCAGAGTCCGTGCCGGCGGCCAAAGCTCTAGGCGCGTTTTGAGCTCCAGAGTCGCTAAATGGGGATCGAACCGAACGTGCGACCCCACCAATGGATTCCTCGCTCGGAGAGCAATCCATTGGTGGGGTCACACGACCGCTTCGAGTCCTATTCAGCGACTCTGGAGCTCAAAACGCGTCCGGGATTGCACTGGCCTGCAGCACTGACCGTCGGCGTAGACGGGCCTGCGCACCCTGGTGTAGGGCGTGCCGGACATGCCCAGCACGCGGTCCGCCTTGTGGCACGAGCCGTCGTTGGGCCGGAAGGGCGGCGGCACGCCCTGGCAAGACGGCGACCTGGAGCGCGGGCACGACACGTCCACGGTGGGGTCGTTGCTGGCGGGGGTGGCGCCGCTGGAGTTGGAGCCACTGCCGCTGGAGCCATTGCCGCTGGAGCCATTGGACCCCGAGCCGCTGGAGCCTCCGCTGGAGCCACTGTTGCTGCTCCTGCTGCCGTAGCCGTTGCCGCCGCCGCTGCTCCTGTTGAATTTCATTAAGAATAAGTGCTCCGTCCCGGCCGGCCCAGACGGCCATCACCGCGACGGGCGCGTGATGCGGGATTTCCACGATCCGGACTCTGCACTGCGAAAACCATCATTCCTCAACGTTTTCCTGTTTGGGTTAGTTTTTCCCTCTTTTTTTGTATGTGTGTGTAGGGGGGGGGTCGACTTTACGGTTTTGAGGACGAATGTGACACGACGCGTTCGTTAGAATATGCAAATATGCAAATTGCACGCTTAAAACATTCCAAAGTATTTTGAGCATACATAGTACAAACTAATTTATTTTGTTATACACAGAACTCACGTCTGCTGAGCCGTAGGCTGAGCCTGCTGCTGCTGGGAGCGTCTCCTGCTGTACCACTGGGCGTCCACGCAGAGGGTGCACACCAGGAGCAGCAGTACTGCGGCCCTGGTCAGGGCCTGAGGAGCCAAATAATCAACAAATTAATTCCTGATACCGAACACACGCTTCTGTCCTGGAGATGAGAAAACAGACCCGCTTTAAGATTCCGGCGCCTGTATCTCGTAAACGGCGACCGGAACAAGCTTTGAGCTTAAGATGACGTCAGATGGAAATTAATCTTTCAAAATGAGTCGTTTTATGCATAAGGCACCGCTGATGAGATATCCGCCTTTCGCGTCGGGGTGGGTCACTTTTCCCATCTGTTCTGTTTCGTCTGCGCCTTCCCCGAATGCCGCTTGACAACGCGGAACACAGACGTCAGGCTGTCACCTGTAACGCCTGCCGGGCAAGGTCAAACAACACACAGTGTGTGAAAAGCGCACGCTTTTCGAACCGCACAAGCGGAAGGGTGGCGACAAAATAATGTCAACAGGAACCACGTGGAGCGAGGTGACATCAACGCCCGGCGGGCGCGCGAGCCAGGACACGGGCCGGACTAAGAAGTGACTCATCCTCGGCACAGCTTGGGCCGGCGCTTATTTCCTAAGGAGCCAGAGACAATTAGGAGTCGTGCTCTGCAAGTCGGTGAGATTATAAACGGACCAGTGACCACTGAACCAAATAGATCAATTGTCAAACGATACACGTACCACTAGAAAATTTCATTATGATCAACATTAATGATATTACTTTGAAGTAATGTGAACACATTTCAAACATCTCCCACGTTGCATTTCGAGCAAAATTAAGATATCGATCATGATACCACTGCTGTTTATCGCCTTTAAATGTTACTGACACTTGAAGGAGGTTGCGTGAACCGCCTTTACTTTGCTTGACGAATCTACCAGACTCCCGGGCCCTCGATGAGTCAACGCACCTTTGCCTGGGTGGCGGCCATCCTGTCGTCTGGGCTGCCGATCACGAAGAGACAACCGCCCCGGCGGCGAGTGTGTCTTTTATCTCCTCGCCGGCAACCTTGTCGCTCAAGCGCGATTTTATGTGCACCGGCGCGTGGCCGCCCAGCAGGCTGTGCAAATAGCCAAATTCCTCCACTGCTTAGACTCGCGGCTTGACACAGTGGCACAAAACAACGGTGGAAACCTTTCGGGGCTTTAAGTTGGGCACTACTGCAGTTCCTCGACTTTGCGATAGCTGCTGGTCTGGCACGGAACGACGGTGAAACGTTTTGGGGCTGCAAGCTAGGACACAGTGTCACAACGGTTGATACCTTTCGGGGCTCCAAGTTCAGACACAGGGGCACAACACAACGGTGTAAACCTTTCGGGCCACAAGTTTCGGTACAGTAATTACAAAACCACGGTCGGCACCTTTCGGGACTCCTAGTTCAAACGGTGAAAACGTTTTGGAGCTCCAAGTTTGCACACAAAAGCACAACGGTGAAAACCTATTGGGGCTCAAAGTTTGCACTCAGTGAGCACAGCAGTGGAAGGCTTTCGAAGCTCCAAGTTTGCACTCAGTGAGCACAGCAGTGGAAGGCTTTCGAAGCTCCAAGTTTGTCCGCACTAGTGCAGGACTTGGCCAAGTTGTTGTCCTTTGTCACTGGAGGATCGCTGCCACTTGAGCGAATCGATCGTCGAGGGCCTCGGCGAGGACGGCGGCCGCCACCTCACTGAGGAGTCCGGGGTCTCCGTGGACGCGGCGTGCGGCGCCTTGGACGACGCCTTGGACGACGCCATGGCCGACGCCAGGCCGGTGGAGAAGCGCGCCGAGTGGTCCGTGAGCTGCAGCCGGCGGGCGTCGCCAACGACTGGCCGACCCGATCGGACCCATTATTACTCGCACACGGGTTTCCCCCGCAGCTGCCTTCCCGCATACGTCGACGAAAAGTCCCACGGTGCTTTCGTGTCGAGAGGGTTGCCGACCGCAGCTTGCCTACACTACAATCTGAAGTGTGTACTCAGCATGCAAAGTAGGAGTGTGTATTGCAAGTGTACACCTGAGGATGCATACTGGGTACACACTCAAGTTTGTAGTGTACTAGGCAAAGATCTAGGATGTGCTTTCGATACGTGAGCCCGACAAACTATTGGTTGGCAACCCTTCCGTCGCCGGTGCATCGTGGCAACTTGTTGAACCTTGTCCGCAGGCTGTGGCCCCTCTGCAGGCTGGCCGGGCTGCTGCCTATGTCGACGGCACGCTGCCAGTGCCCGGCCGGGGCGTCCTGGAAGGTTTGGGCACGCTTAACACCTTACTTAACACCTTACGAAGTATTTTGAGCATCCACCCTCTCAGCACTGGTGCCTCCTGGAAATTTTGCCTGCTCTTGTGGCGACACTGATTTGGAAGTCGCTCTGTGACCACCGTCTTAGACTTGCTCCTGCCAACCGCTGCTGCCGTCGGCGTACTGGCTGGCGTACTCCTTGTTGCTGGCCGCGATGGTGGTGACGCTCACGGCTGTCAACGTGACCCCCGACTTCTCGAACAACTACGTCGCCGTCAACAACACGAACGCCACCGTGGTCTCGGGGCCGATGAACCACTTCGTGTGCTGGTTCGACGTGGTGAGCGTCGCCGTCACCGCGGCCACCAGCATCCTGCAGGGCGCCGTGGCGCAGGCCGCCGTGCTTCGACTCATCGCGCTCCTCAAGAAGGTGCGAGTTGATCGGTGTATGGAAGTCGTTGGTTGTTTCATGTTGTTGTTACTGCGGAGTGTTAGGTGGACTTGCTGCTGAGCTACATCCCGCGCGGCGTCTCCAACTGGGTACCCCTCATCTTGTCCTGCCTGACGTCCGTCATGTTCCTGGACCTCGTCTTCAAGTTCTCGATCAGTGCGGCCTCCGCCACGTTCAGCTTCCCCACCTACGCGTCGTACTTCATCACCTACATGCGCGAGGTCATGTTCGTGGACGACGTCAACGGCCTCAACGCGCGCTTCGCCAACATCAACAGCGAGCTGCAGGACTGCCTCGCGCCAGAGTACACCTTCGGTAAGGCATCATTCGTGTGAATTTTGTCAGGATGTCAGAAACATGTCTGAAATCCTGATGAAAATTCACGTATCTCTCAGAGCTGAAATTCGCAATATCGCATGTTCTCCAGGGACAGTCACGGCGGCAGAGAAGCGGCGCATGAGGATCTCGCGCCTGGCGACGGTCTTCGACATGCTGTGCCAGAGCGCTGACCTGGTGGCGCACCAGTACAGCCTGTTCCTGCTGTGCGACATGCTGAGTCTGATGGTGCGCCTGGTCATCACCGCCTACTTCATCGTCCGCGTCCTGATGGTGTCGGAGGACTTCCCGTTGGCCATGGTGTTCTTCGTCATCGTCCAGGCCCTGTGGCTGCTGAGCCACCTCGCCCGCATGTTCCTCCTCGTGGCACCCTGCTCCACCGCCATGGACGTGGTGAGTTGTCAACGCCATCAACGTCATGTTTTAAGAACACTACAAGACAGTGTGCCTGGAACACATCTATACGAGGGTACTTGACAAATACACATAGGAGTGTACTAGTGAAAGAACCCAGTTATGTCACCATTCGGTTTCGACCGATGGGCAAAGTACAATCCTAGAGCTTAGATGTTCAAGAACACTCCGATCACAATTAGTGTAGGACTTGTTTATAGAGAAATTTGAATGACTTTCCACAGACATTACCTTATTACGCCCTAGACAGTTATACCCCTGAGGGCGTAATTTTGACCGGTGATTGCGTTTCAGACGGACCGCACGGGCAACATCGTCAGCAGCAGCCTGGGCAGGGAGTCACAAGACAGCCAGCTTTCCCGACAGGTGGGGGGAACTCGAGGAACTCCAGCAAACGACTCTGCGTGTGTACTTTTTAATTGGCTAGCGCCTCTGTGTTCTACATCTCGCGTGTCGCCTGTTTCTGCAGCTCAAGTCGCTCTCCATCCATCTGCTGCACCGCAAAATTGGCTTCAGTGCATTCGGCGTGTTTAACCTCAACCTGCCGCTCGTGTGCACGGTACGTTTGGTGGAGCAATCCATACGATTCGATTTGTTTTACGAAGATTTGGTTCGTAAGTTAATCAGTATTTTCTTTGTATTGTGAGCTTATGTATGCTCATAATACTTTGTGTGATGACAAGCTTCTTTCCTTTTTAATGCCTAAAATATTTTGTAAGGTTTCCAGAGCGAACGAATTCAGTTCAATGCGCGCAGAGGGGGTTTGCCGTCAGTGACTTAGATGCTAATCCATTTCCCTATCGACATCTGAGGCTTTAGGTTACTAGACCACCACGGATTCTGCTATGCATTTCAATGTACTGAGTGCACGGTTTTGCAGAGCAAACACCGCACATCTGTTCGGCAGGGTCGCCGTTTCTGACGACTGACGTTTTCCTGCGACATGTGCCTGCGGACTTACTCCGAGAGTCGCGTTCGTCGCTCTGTCTCTCTCGCTCTCTTGGGGGCCGTAGGAGCGAGAGAGACAGAGCGACGAAAACGACTCTGCTGCTAACGAAAGGCTGCTCTTGCAGGTCCTGAGCGCGGTGACCACGTACTTGGTGGTGCTCATCCAGCTGGAGGTGCCTCTGGAGGGGGAGGCGGGGTTGCGGGTTGCGCATGGGTAGCGATAGCGAGTCCCGCCTCGCCCCACCCCGCCTCGCCCCGCCCCGGCGGCGCGACAACAGCACAACATCCGGACACTGACGACGTGTTGATTTTGTTTACCATTTACCACGCTATTGACCCCATCATTCACTTCCTCTGGAAAAAAATTTAATAAAACTGCAGCCGCCTTTTGACTAACTGCCTTCATTCAATTGTCGCGCGGGCGTTTTTTCCCAGCTGATTTTTCCGGTTTGGCTGTGGACTAAGTGTTGGCCAGCCGACCTTGGTGCCGGCCGACCACAGGCTGACACACCCCCGACGAGGTGAGGGGTGTGCACTCTCAAACGCTGTGACTCTTACTTATCACTATTCCGTCAAATGGGGTGAATGGGGTGACTCTAGGCAAACGGGAAGACTTCGACTAACAGGTTCAAGAACATGCAGGTGGCCACGGAGCTGCAACTCAATTGCGCTGTCACAAAAGTGCTCTGAAGGTTTATCAACCCCAAAATAGCAAAAAATGTTGAAATTTGGCGGGTTTTCGTTACAACCCTCCACCATGACGCTTACTATAACGGAAATGGTGACCCGACTTTGGCGCCAGTGCTAGCGCCCTTGCACACCCCGCCCATCATTGACGTCAGAAAATCCGGCGTTGTCGGTAGCAGCATCGGAGTGCGAGGGAGAGGGCGCACCAGCACGGCGGCATCGGCGTGGGGGTGCGAGAGAGAGCGCACCTCCCCGATCGCGACAGCCAACTGCAATTACAATCACGCCCCGGAGGCTCGTGCTGACATATCGGGGCGCCGGGGGCACCGGGGGCTCAGGGATGGGTGTGCCGTGTGTCTGACAAAAGAATCGACCTCGCGCCGCCTGCACACTGGCAGTCGTTTCGGTCGCTCTGTCTGCCTCGCACTCGTGGGGCGTCGCGTGGCGGTGCGAGACAGACAGAGCGACGAAAACGACCCTCGGAATCAGTCTGGCCGGGGCTGGCCGGCCGCGCGGCACTTTGGCAGGGTTGTCAGAGTAAACACGTTCACATCACGGCGCACGGTGGCGCTGCACGGCGGCACGGGCACGGGCACGCCACCATGCCTTGTTTACCACACGCAGCACGGCCGGCAGCGGGGCCGCATCCCCGGCACACGCCCCAGTGAATCTCGCGCCGCGCCGCCGCCAGGACGCCGCCAGGGCACCGCGCCTTGCGTCGGCATCGCGACCGTGTCCGATAGAAAGATAGATAGATAGATCGATGTGAAGCGCCAACGGGAAGTGCGTGGATAGCCCAATCAGGCCACGCCTCGGGGACGGTCGCAGGCCGGTCGCAGGCGGGGCGCAGGTCGCACCCCCAGCCAGCCAGCGGGCCCCGCGGGGGGCGAGCGCGGCCTCATGCTGGGGCCCGGCAGCATGGACATCGCCAGGGCGAAGCGGAAGTGGTGAGCAGGCCTGCTCGCAGTGGGCCAGAAGACCGGCGGAGGCGGCCAAAACTCCAGACGCGTTTTAGACGCGCCTAGAGTTTTGGCCGCCTCCACCGGTCTTCCGGCCCACTGTGCAGCTAAACCCCACGCACTCCCTTATTTGTGCAATTTTTGAACGGCTCTCACGTAATTTTGCGCCTACGTGCTTGAGACTTTATGCGATTACGCGTACAAATTTGTACGGGAAAAGTTACACACTAAAGGCCGCATTCTACCAAAAAAAGCGTGAACTGTGAGGACACGCCTTAGCCCGTCCCCAAACGGAGCTTGAACCAAACACATGAGGGTATCAATGGCTCGCCCTTCGAACGAGGAATCCATTGATTCCCTCATTTGTCTGATTTCCAATATCGACCACTGTGAAACATGCCATGGGACCCGAGATGGGTGTTCCTCGTGGCTGAGCCATTTAGCGACTCTGAACCTTGAAACGCGTTCAGGATTTCGACCGCCTCCAACGGTCTTCTGGCCCACAGTGCTGCGTAGTAAAATCTCAATGCTCGCCCACTGCGAACACATCTACGTCTTGTTTTGCGGTTGTCTGTTTGTTGTTGTTTTTCGTTCCGCGGCGACCCCTGCTTGGGGTGGAAGTGGTCGCGAACAGCAAACAGTGCGGTGGCCGTGCACTTGGCTCTGTCAAACTCGAGAGTTGTTTTCTGTTGGAAAAGCCGTCACTCGGTGGGCGGGGTTGGTTCCCGCCTGTCTCGCAGTCCATTTGGCTTGGCGGCTGAGGCGGGCCGGCCGTGGGCCGCGGGCAGCGATTCGCTCTGTCTCTCTCTCTCTCTCTCGCCCTGACGGGGTGCGTGTGGGTGCGAGAGAGAGGGCCCTGCGCAGGCTGTAAACAACATGGACACACGACGCGAGGTGGGCGAGGCGGGTCGATGGGAGGGCAGGGCAGGGCGAGGGTTGCACGCCACTGCAAGGCCAGTCGCAGGCTCAGAGCCCGGCTCACCGACATGCCCGCCGACTGCCTTGCCGGCACCGCCGGGTGGCTGGCCCGCTTCTGGAGATGGTCCCGCGGGGGGTACTCGCAGGGGCGCTCCTACCCCACCAGCGTGATGAACCACCGCGGCTGGTAAGCACAGTGGATTTGCCAGAAGACCGGAGGGCAAGTCCAAATCCCGGACGCGTTTTCAGCTCCAGAGTCGATAAATGGGACTCGAACCGAACCTGTGACCCCACCAATGGGAGGAACCCACTGATGGGGTCACGCGCTCAGTTCGAGTCCTGTGGCATATCAAGCGCACAGCTACACCTCAGTTTCCCAGTGCACCTTACCGGCCTTTCCTTTCCCCCAGGCTGTGGCCGCTGGGACGCCTCACCGGACTCCTGCCCATCTCCTTCAAGGAGTGCGTCTGCTCGGCGCCCTTCAACGCGTCGAGGGCCGGCTCCGAGCACGCCGTCAACGACTCCACCCTGCCCTCGTGGGACCAGCCCGCCCACGTTGCCACCTCACGAGTGAGTACACTGGAAACTTCGAAATGATCTTTTTGTTTCTGTTGTTACGAATAACAAGTGTGTGCCCAGTGCTCGTGCCCGGTGGCGGAGCGCTCCATCCCCTGGCTGGCGTACTCGTTCGCGGTGGTGCTGGTGCTGGTGCCCAGTGCCATGTGGGGGCTGTACTCGGACAGCAAGAACGCCAACACCGAGGGGAAGCCCTCTCTCCGCATGCAGAGGTTAAATTATTGCACTGCACACACTGAGCATTTCTTTGTAGATGTCTTCGAAGCCTGCGTTTTTTTTTCGCATTACGAAGCAATGCTTGGTATCGGAAAATAATGTGCGATTCTGTCCTTCAGCAAGACGGACATGATGGTGACCTTCTGCGACATCATCAGCGTGTCCTTCTGCTCCGTCACGTGCTTCGCGCAGCTCGCCTTCTCACAGACCGCCCTCTTCATGGTGCTGGAGCAGCTGCAGCAGGTCGGCCTCGAACACCCTCCGCAAAAAAAAATTCAAGATTCTACACTTGCAACCAATGAATTTTCATCAATCATCAATCATAAATCATCCAAGTAAATTCACTTATAGCAAGTATGTATTTAGTTTGTGTTTTACTTCCTGCCAGGTGGACCGCACGCTGTCCGTCCGCGCCCCCGCCGTGCCCGGCATGCTGGCCCTGTGGCTGCTCGTGCTGGTGGGCGTCATCTTCATGGACGGCGTCATGTGGACGGAGATCAGCAACACCATCAGCTACGCCGCCACGTACTTCCCGTTCTACGTCGTCTACTTCCTCACCTTCATGATGGAGGTGCTGTTCATCGACGACGCCCACGGCATCTACATGCGCTTCTTGGCGCTCAACGAGAAGCTGGACCAGTCGCTCGCGCTGCCCACCTACCAAGGTACGGTGCTACAACATAGGGTGCCCACAAACTGGGCACGCCCGCCCCACTTTTTAGGGTGCCAAATGTCGCCCAGCTTCTGGGCACCTTTGTCGCCTAGTCTTGGGGTGGTTAAACCATTAAGGAACCTGCCTTCACCTGCCAAAACTCTTTATCTGAAAAGAATTATCTCGTGTTAAATTTGTGAAAAATTCTTCGTAAACTGCCAAATTTACTGTGACAAAATTTCTAGAGCGGTTGTGACTTTTCCGCAGCCGCCACGGAGCAGCTCCCCTTCGGCGCGGTGGACGGCGGCTGGCTCGGCGAGGCGGCCCCCAGGGGCACGGCGGTCTCCATCACGGGCATCGCGGAGAGCAACGGGATGTACTCGTCCAAGACGGGTGAGGGCCGGGATCGCTCACAATGTTGAGGGGTGCAACGCATAACTTTGGGACAAGAAGACTCAAGCACAGTATATGGAAATATTATCCCTGGTTGGCTCACATATCCACAAATATGACAACAGTCATGGACAATTAAAATAAATAAACATAGTGTAAAAATAATTCACATTTTAAAGAACGTTTTAATATATACTTTTTGTGCTGCAGGCAACAAGAGGGCCACCCGGTTGCGGCCGGTGGCGGTGGGGCTGGCCGGGCTGTCCGCGGCCCCCGCCACGGGACAGCCGCTGACCATCCAGCGACTCAACGTGGCGCACCACGTACTGTGCGAGGCCTCCACGGCCGTGGCCAAGCGTTACGGGCTGTGCCTGCTGGTGGACATGCTGTGCATCCTGCTGCACCTCGTCATCACGGCCTACTTCTTCCTGAAGCAGCTCATGAACTCCCACCTCATCAACACGACGCAGTACATCGTGGTGCAGTTCCTGTGGCTCGGCGTGCACCTCATCCGCCTGCTCATGATTGTGCTGCCCTGCTCCAGGGCCAGCGCCGAGGTGAGCACCCCGCCCACACCCACAGTGGGCCAGAAGACCGGCGCAGGCGGCCAAAACTCTAGACGCGCTTTGAGCTCCAGAGTCACAATGGGACAATGGGACTCAAACAGAACGTGTGACCCCATCATTGGATTGCTCTCCGAACAAGGAATCCATTTGTGGGCTCACACGCTCGGTTCGAGCCCTGTTTAACGACTCTGGAGTTCAAAACGCATCTTAAATTTTGGCCGCCTGCGCCGGTGTTCTGGCGCACTGTGCACGGGCCGCCTAACTTAACCCCGTCCCCGGATATCCCCGCCCCCCTGACCACTGCCAAACGTTCAATCTGAAGTGCTGTGGCGGCCCCGCTCAGTGAGTGCCGTCGAAGTGCTTGCCGCCGTCGGTTCGATATATCTCGCTAACGGGCCGCCCCCTCGTCAGTGACACTGCCACACGCTGATTAATTGCGTGGACGTACACCGGAAAGGAAACGAATTTTTCTATTAATTGTTTGGCCTTAACCTCCCACCTGCCATTCTTTAATCCTAGCGGCTGGGTGTGCGTCAGGAAGACATTCCTTCGGTGCAGCGTGCATACTAGTGGCTGCTATAAAAAGCAGCCATAAATGGCACAATGACACCCCTATTCATTTAAGAAGGCCTTCGGTTCGGCTTGCGTCGGTACTCGCGAACCTTTGCAAACCTTTGCGAACCTTTGGGGACGTTCGGAACCCTTCGGGACCTTGATTGGAACTTGGGTGGTGACCTTGGAGGTAATCACTGTTCGATTAAACGAAAGTGCCATTGCGTGCCGCTCTGCCGTTGCAGGCCAGCCGGACTGGGGCGTTGGTTGGCGTCGTCCTCAGCACGGCGTCGCCCTACACTGTGGCACACAAGCAGGTAATGGCTTGCACTTCCAGTGGCGTGGCTCCTCGTTCGCCTGTCAGAGTAACAGTGTGTGTTCGTCCTCCAGCTCGAATCGTTTTCGATCCAGCTCCTCCACCACAAGGTCAACTTCAATGCGTGCGGCTTGTTCGAACTGGGGCTGCCTTTGGTCGTGTCGGTAAGGCAAGATGCCACAATTAACTAATACCTCCAATGTGCACTTCATACACATCTGCAAGAGTGTACTTGGCAAGTACACTCCCATAGATGCGTACTAAGTACACAGTTGGTAAGATGTCTAGGCAGAGTAGTGTAGATGTCGGTTTTCTTACTTTTGCTGAAAATGATTATGGTAAAAATGGAATTTTTGAAAACGAAAAATTACTCTTTTTAGATTCTTGGCGCAGTTACAACGTATCTCGTCGTTCTACTGCAACTGAAAGGCAGCCCAACGAGTCCGGGGGTCGCCAACAACACGGCAGCAGTGCTAGAAACAACTTAAAAAGGGGGAAGGGAGGATTGGAGCAAAAACTGCTTATTTTCAGGGGCGAATTCTGCTCAACTTCAAGGCGCTCGCCTCTCAAATCATCGCGAATTTTCGCGAAAATTGTGCTGTGATATTTATGCAAGGTGGTGAAATGGATCGATGCGATGTACCTTGACGAAAAGACTGATGCGTTTGCTGTTCGCTGAGAAATAATGCGTGTACATACTTCTAGGTTTAAGGGCGTTTGTGTGTGAGTTTACGACACATAGTAACAACATGAGCAAATTAATTTATTTGTTGTACAAATTACCAGTCAGTCCTCATTTCCATTGAATAAATTGTGCCTGACAGGCGAGGTTAAACCAATGTCATGAAAATGTTCAAATTTGGCATGAAAAAAAAATGCAACAAGGCGATTCATGAGAGAGCGAGTATATCATTAAGTCTCGTAATTACGGCAATTACTGGGCAAGAAGAATAAAACAAAAACAAAAACAAAGGGTTACAGTCTGGGCGCATATACATATTACAGTTAGGATTTGTCATTATCACTACAAGTACCGGCGACTTGAGCGCCATGGAGAGGCGCATTACATTTTACATGTGAGTATCATGTGAGGATGTAAGAAGGGTTTAAGTCTTTAGTTCAGTCACTCCCTACGAGTCGATCGTGTGCTTTCTGTGGTTCCTCCGCGCTGGCCTCGTCGCCTCGCTGACCGAAAGGTGGTTGCCCGCGGCCCTCCCTTGAGACCTGCAAAAGGGATGCCCCTTTGTGTCAGTGACACTATAACAATCCCAGTGCTGCACCATGATTGGGAAATTCCCACAATGCACCGTGCTGAAAGGGTTGTCAATAATTGCCTGCATGCACTGAGAATGAAAAAGTCTTGATCAGTACCCAATTTTGGACGAGGTATACTTCATCACCCAAATTTAAGCGAGGTATACTTTATCACCCAAATTTGGGCGAGGTATACTACAGCACCCAACTTTGGGCGAGGAAACCTTCCTCACCCAAATTTGGGTGATAAAGAGTTCCTCACCCAAAAGTTTCGTCATGATCATGACTTTTTCATTCTCAGTGTGTCAGGTGACTTTTCGAGAGAAAAGTTCAAACATCGCCTGCTTGTAGGCAGGCCGAGGTTAGCGACTCTTTCAACACTGACGCATCTTAGGGATTTTCGCCTCTTTGCAAGGCAACACTGAACGTAGTTTACATGCGAGGAATGACACTCACAGACTCGAATTACTGTCCGACACAGTGCCCGCAGAGCGTTTCTGGGAAAGCACAGCTTTCGCTGGGGCTTTGGAGTGAGGCGAGGACACAGAGCCACTCGACTGTTTGGCGGGGGCTGCAAAAAAGGCTGTCTTAGCACGCAAGCAGTGTATTTTCTTAAAAATTATTATTTTTTTTTTTTAAATCTGTGGTAGACACGTACCAACAGCTCGACGCACGGGTCGGATCGGTTCGATGACAATGTGAATGTCTCCGGACTTCTTCGAATCGTTCTGGCGCCTGCAAGGAAACACGCAAACCTTTATGTTACGCACCCAGTGCCCACATTTCACATTACGCCACTTTGTCGCTCTGTCCTTGTCACTCCTCATGAATTGTCGGTGAGAGCGAGAGAGAGAGAGAGAGAGAGAGAGAGCGCTCACCTGGACGGCTTGGTGACCAGGCTGGCGATGGGGCTGGCCATGGCGGCGACGTGGGAGCGGGTCTTCCGCACCACCTTCTCGGCCTTGTCCTTGTCCTTGTCGCCGGCTCGCTCTGCCCTGGGCCTTCCCTCGGCGCGCAGGCACGCCTTGTCGTGGGTTCGACTCCGCTCGGCCGCCGTGCCGCGGTTCTTTGCCTCCTTGTCCCGCGGGTCGCTGCGGTGCGCGCACTTGCAGTGTCGCCGCTCCTCCCTCGCTGCGTTCGCCTCCGGTCGCTTCCGGTCGCCGGAAGTGACTTTGGCCTCCAGCCTGGCTTCCAGCTTGTCGGCGAGGCGACGGCTCTTGTCCTCGACGTCGCCGTTGACGCCGTCGCCGTGCTCGCGGTTGCGGCCGCCGGCCTCCCGCTTCTGGTCGTCGCGGCTGCGGCTTCTCTGCCTGTGGTTCGAGGTCTCGAAAGTCGAACTTCGACGTTGTTTCGACTCTGCGTCCGCGCTGCGCTCGCGGTCCCGATGTTCGTCGCGGCTGTGGCTCCGGTGCTGGGGCTCGCGGTGTGCTTCGAGCTCGTCCCTGCTGCGGCTCCGGTGCCGCCGGTCCACTTCCAGCTCGTCCTGGCTGCGGCTTCGAGATCTCTGCGGGTCGCGGCTTCGAGAGCGCTTCTCGCGGTCCGCCACCACGTCCAGCAGCTCGTCGCGACTGCGACTCCGCCGGCGACCCTCCTTGACGCAAAGCTCCTCCCGACTCCGTCGCCGCCGCGCGTCGCCGTGCTCGCTGAAGAGTTTGTCCGGGCTGCGGCGATCGACCTCTCGAAGTCGGTCTTTCTCCGGGCTGCGGCGTTCGATTTCTCGAAGCCGGTCTTTGTCCGGACTACGGCGCTCGATTTCTCGAAGCCGGTCTTTGTCCGGACTACGGCGCTCGATTTCTCGAAGCCGGTCTTTCTCCGGGCCGCGGCGTTCGATTTCTCGAAGCCGCTCCTTGTCAGGGCTGTTGCGTTCGATTTCTCGAAGGCCAGGGCTGCGACGTTCGAGCTCTCGAAGTCGATGGTTCTCCGCGTCCCTGCTTCGGCTGCGCGGCCGGCGTGCGCGGTCGTCCGCCCTGCTCCGCGGCCGCCGTTCGTCGTGGTGGTGGTCGTGGTGGTCGCGCTCGCTGCGGAGGAAGCGCTCCACCTCGTCGACGTGGTGGCCGAGGCCGCCGGGCTGCGCGCGGCTGTGCAGGAGCTCCCTGCCCTCCAGGAGCTCCACCTGGGGCACCAAGGGGCTGGGCTGCCGTGGCTGCCGCACCCGCGGCGAGGCCCCCTCGTCCTTGGCCACGTCGACGACGGTGGAGCGGCCCAGCGCGCGCACGGCGCCGCCCTCCTTGAGCAGGTCCTTGACGGAGGCGCGGCCCAGGGGCTGGAGCCTCCTCGTCGACGTCAGGGTGACGTCCGCGGGGGACGTCGGCCTGTAGTCTCCGAAGATGACTGCAAACGATAACGTGGCCCTTCACTAACGACGACGCCGACCTCCCGGTGAATTTCTGTTCCATTCGTGTTCGCTTACCTGAGTCCGTGACGGGCAGGCCGCCGTTGACACGCTCCGCGCGCTCCGCCTCCGAGTACCGCTTCCAGTGTGGGGCCGGCGCGTCCGACTCGCTGGCCGAGTCCGTGGCCGCGGCCACCACCTCAATGATCCTCTCCTTCTTGGCCTGGGCGTCCACCATGGCGTCCACCTTGTTCTCGGCCTTGGCCATCCGGGTCAGCAGCTCGCGCACCGACACGGTCCGCTCCGCCAGCCCCGCGTCCCTCTGAGGGTCCGTCTTCCTGGCCACGCTGTCCACCAGCGAGAACGACTTGGGCAGCACGGGGCTCGGCGTGCGGAAGTCCGATCGGGGTTCGAGCACGGCGGTAAAACTGGGAAGCAGAAAAAAAGAACCGGTGGTGATCTCGGCCGCTGGCAGCTGGGGTCGCGAGCGTACTAGCATCACGCTTTTGCCAACGGTTATCCGGCCGGGGCGGCCACGCACCCACTCCTCCGCTGCTCCGGGACGACGTAGACGCTGTTCGGCGACGAGACGCGAGGCGGTTCCAGCCGTGCCAGCCGTTCCAGTGTGGGTGCTGCGGGGGCGGCGTCCTGCTGCACCAGCCGCTCGGCCTTGGAGGCGTGGTGGCGGTAGCTGGCCTTCTCCCTGGAGTCCCTGGAGTCACAGGCGTCCACCGCGGCGTGCAGGCCCGGCAGGCGCGGCGACCCTAGCTCGGGGCTAGGGGTGAACCGACCCTGCGGGGACAAATCTGCGCCAAGCGGGCCGCCTTTAGTGAACGCCTCGCTATCCTGCCGCCACGCCGAGCCGCTCTCAAAACGTCTTATGGTGAAAATCCTCCATCATTATGGTGAAGATTTGCCATGCTATGATGTGTATTATGTCGAAGATTCTCCGTACCAAGACTAATATTCTCCATATTATGACGAAAATACCCCATGTGAAAGTGCAAGCAAGTTATCCATCATGTTATGGTGGTGCACCTGACTATGAAACTTACGAAGAAAATTATTCGTGCTTTGTGAAGATACATTGTCGATTTCTTTTAAATTCTGGAGAAAATCTCCAGTTCAGGTGCAGCCTTTCACCGTTAGACGTTAGAAGTGCGCTCGCTGTCGTTCTCCCGTTAGCATTTTTACAGAGGACACACGGGCGAGTCCGGCCCGGGTTACAGTTAACGTTACTGCCGAGGCGAGCTCAACTGAGTAACGCGTTTTGAGCTCCGGAGTCGCTAAAGAGGACTCGAACCCAGCGTGTGACCCCACCAATGGATTCCTCGTTCGGAGAGCAATCCATTGGTGGGGTCACGCGTTCGGTTCGAGTCCCATTCAGCGACTCTGGAGCTCAAAACGCGTCCGGGCTTTCTGCCCACCGCGCTGCGCCCGGAGGTGGGCAGCACACTCTGCGCTCGCGTCGGTTGGGTTGCCGGCCTGTCGGCGCACGGGGCCTCGGCGGCCCCGGGGGCAACCGCGAGTAGTGAGAAGAAGCCATTTATTCGTGTGTTAGTGCTACTACACCGTTAAGAAACTTCCGAACTCTCTCTTTCTTTCTGTGCACGGACCCGTCGTTTTCCCCGAGAAAATAAAACGGTTTTAACAGACGGACCGCGTGTACCTAAGTGGGCGACCAGGCGGGACTTTTCTACCATGTAGGACCGCACTTCTGCGTCCGCCTGCAGGGAATCGTCACTCAAGTCCTCGTCCTCGCTGCCTTGACTCGCCAGCGACCTGCGCGGCGCGGCGCGCGCCCGCCTGCGAGGCCTGTTGTTGTTGTTGTTAGCGAGAAGCACCAGTGGGGTGGACTCCAGCACAAGCGGCGCGAGCATCGGCGCGAGCCGGCCTGCAACGGGCAAAGGGTCCATTAGAAGCTGGGAGTGCGCCCACAGTGTGCCCGACCTCTGCGGACCGCTGTGTGGAGTTTAGTGGGCAAGCCGAGTTAGCTCCGGACATTAGTCGAGTTAACATCATCCACGAGGTAGTTTCTGTACACTGCGTCGTCTGCCGTGCTGACAGGGGAGGGTGCACTGTGAATCCATTGGCAAAGGCTTTCTTGCCGCTCCTCTGGCGCTCCCTCCATTTTGAACGCCAAAGTTTGTCCTTGGATCCAGGATCACCCTATGGCAGTGGTTCTCAACCTTAGGGTCGCGACCTCAAGTGGGGTCGCGAAAAAATTTTAAGGGGTCGCGGCGAGGTAGCTGGGGTCGTGTTTTGGGCCGATTTTAAGCAGCCACTGCGTCTGATCCGAGGCGGGCATTTTGCTCCCTCAACCGGCAATTGGTCTTTGAACCTTCCTTTAGCATGCCTTTGTTACGGAGTGTGATTATCAGTCTTAGTTTGGGAGCAGTATTGTCTCAAAGTTTACCAAAACGGTCAGAAATGTCTTTGAAAAATCGTGTTTTGGGCCTATTTTAAGCAGCCACTGCGTCTGACCCGAGGCGGTATTTCGTCCTCCTTCAACGGGCAATTGGTCTTTGGACCTTCTTTTAGCATGCCTTTGTTACGGAGTGTGATTATCAGTCTTAGTTTGGGAGCAGTATTGTCTCAAAGTTTACCAAAACGGTCAGAAATGTCTTTGAAAAATCGTGTTTTGGGCCTATTTTAAGCAGCCACTGCGTAGTGACCCGAGGCGGTATTTCGTCCTCCTTCAACGGGCAATTGGTCTTTGGACCTTCTTTTAGCATGCCTTTGTTACGGAGTGTGATTATCAGTCTTAGTTTGGGAGCAGTATTGTCTCAAAGTTGGCCGAAACGCTCAGAAATGTCTTTGAAAAATCGTTGTGCCTGTTTTGGTCAACTTTGAGACAATACTGCTCCCAAACTAAGACTGATAATCGCATTCCGTAACAGAGGCATGCTAAAGGAAGGTCCAAAGAACAATTGCCCGTTGAGGGAGCAAAATGCCCGCCTCGGATCAGACGCAGTGGCTGCTTAAAATCGACCCAAAACATGATTTTTTAAAGACATTTCTGAGCGTTTTGGCCAACTTTGAGACAATACTGCTCCCAAACTAAGACTGATAATCGCACTCCGTAACAGAGGCATGCTAAAGGAAGGTCCAAAGACCAATTGCCCGTTGAGGGAGCAAAATGCCCGCCTCGGATCAGACGCAGTGGCATGCTAAAGGAGGGGTCCCGTGGGGTCGCGAAACTTTTCCTGGGGGTCGCGGAAATTTTTGGCTACAAATTTGGGGTCGCGAGCCGAGAAAGGTTGAGAACCGCTGCCCTATGGGGATGCCAAACTCTGGCACTGTGGTGGCAAAGGCGGTCAAATTTTGGCATTCTCAGAGGGTGCATGGCCGAGACTAGAAGGCCAAATTTTGGCGTTCAAACTGGAACACCACTGGAGTGGCATCAAACTTTTCCTTTGGATTTGCAGTGCGAACTTGAAAAAGAAGGTGTCAATTTCTTTCATCAGCTTTTGTGGTCAACAATGGTGTACAAAAAGTGCTACGCGATGGTTCGTTTAGCTGAGCCGTGGCATAAAAGTATATCTCATTCAACGAGTTTTAATTTTTTGAGTCACTGCAGTACCCACATCCGTACTCACTCAATTTTAAACTATGGAGGGCTGACTTTTGTTCTGAGGCACCGCGACTAACGGTGTGTTGGGACACGAAGGCGACGGGGTCTCTGTCGACGCCGTTCGTCTCCGGGGGGCCCACGTTAACCTGGAAACATTCAACAGAACAATGCTGGATCAGCGGAAGTACTTACTCCACAAACAGCAAAAGAGCCGCAAAATTAGATCGCACGGTACCGTGGTTGAGAACCCTTTCGGCCGAACGGTGGGCGAACGAGATGTCGTGACCGTGATCTCGGGGACTGGCTCCACGCTCGAGATCTGAAGTCCAAAACCAACAAAGAATTGCATTTTGTGACTGCAGTGTCCGTTACACGTTGGATTGGTTGGGAAATTACTGACCCCTCGTTTGCCGGTTGGCCTCAGCGACTTGAGTAGTCTCTGAAACTCGGCCTCGCCGTCGCTCTTTCGTTCGTTCGCGTTCGCGAAGGAGTTGCTCTTGAGCGTGACCGTGGACCGCCACATGGGCACGACGTTGTCGGGGTCCGCACTCACCGTGCACCTCACCACGCCGTCGTCCTTGGCGGCGTTCTTGGCCAGCGGGTGCTGCTGCAGGCGCTCGCTGGCGTCCGGGGACAGCTTGCCCTCCATGGTGACGGTGATGACCCCCGTGGGTTTGGCGGGCTTGTCGTCGTCGGCGGCCTTCTGCTCGTCGCCGAAGCGCACCTCGGGCAGCCCGCTGCGGTTCATGGCGATCCGCTGCTCGGCGAGGAGCTTCTGGCGGCGGCGGCCGCGCACGATGTTCGTCGGCGGCGGCTTGTCGTCGGTGGACACGAGGTTGAAACGGCCCGGCTCGGCCGCGAAGTGCACCTCCGTCTTGCTGAACTCGACCCTCTTCTTGTTCTTAGCGACGGCCGCGTCCTCGGCCGAGTCCGACAGGTAGGCGCTGTGGCCCAGCTTGTCGCGCACGGCCTCCTCCATGTCCACCACGGCGATGGAGTGCCGCTTGTCCTCCTTGGCGTCGTCGTCGTAGTGGAAGCCATTGATGATGAGCGCGGGCTCGGCCTTCACCGTCACGGCGTCGTTGGCCACCACGGGGATGCTGACGCTCACGGGCTCCGTGAGGTTGCGCCCGTTGCGCTCGGCGCGGCGTCGCAGCAGGTCGCGGCGCCGGTCCATGTCCGAGTCCTCGCCGACCAGCTTGACCACCGTCTTCTTGGGGGCCTTGTCGGCGTCCTCGAGCCGCGGCGCCTCTTCCACGGCCGAGTCCGCCTTGTCGTACAGGCTGGCCGGCCGGGCGATCTGGTTGGCGGCGTCCTTGGACCGCTTGATGGTGTCCAGGTGCTTGAGCAGGGGCGACACGGAGAAGGCCGCCGTCGTCTTGAAGGTGGATCCGCTGTCGCTCCACGAGTCCTCCTTGCTCTCCTTCAGCGAAATCAGCTCCTGATTTTGGGGAGGCAGGTCGGGCTCGAACCCGTACGACTTCCTCCGCCGGTACCACTCCTCGGACTTGACGCCGCCGCCGTTGACCATCTTGTCCTTGGCGTCCTTGACGTCCTTCACGCCGAACACGTAGGACTGCGGCGCCGCGTCCGCGTCCTCGCCGTTGGCGGGCTTGGCGTCGACCGCTTTGCTGCGTAGCCGGCCGCGGACTTCGGCCAGCGACTTGACCGTCACGAAGGAGTGGTTCTGCGTGGCGATGGAGTCGCTCACGAGGCGCTTCACCTTGTCCAGGGTCTCCTCCTTGGGCACGGCGCTGGGGGGCTGCGGCGCCGCGGGGGCGGGGGCCGCTCCGACCTGGCCGCCGACCTGGCCGCCGACCTGGACGCCGCGCGCCTCAATCTCCTCCCTCATCCTCCTGACGCTGACGCTGGCGCCGCTGCCGGTGGGGAAGTCGGGCGGCCGCGTGTACTGCAGCGAGCGGCGCAGCACGGAGGACCGGCCCAGGAAGCCGTTGACGCCGCCGTCGGCGGCCTCGGCGTCCGCCACCTTGCTGAGGTTCTCGCTGGAGCAGCTCTTGCGCGACTCGGCGATGGAGTGCCGGGTGACGGCGCTGATGACGGACGCGGACGTCGTCCGGTCGCTGCTGTCGTCGTCGCTGGGGAAGGAGATGATGGGGGCGCCGTCGCTCGGCTTGTCGTCGTCCTCCTCGACGGTGATCTCGACGTGCTTCTCGTTGGCGGCGTCGGGCTGCGGCTTGCCGCGCGGCGCGCGGGTCGGCGGCCGTCGCCAGCCGATGGAGCGGCCCACGCTCGCCTTGGTCTTCTCGGAGCTCAGGTCCAGCGGGTGCAGCGACAGCTGGAACAGGGAACGGCCGTCAGGGAAGGCCAGGGAGGCGGCCAAAATCCCAAACGCGCTTTGGCTTCGGTTCGAGCCCTGTTTAGCGACTCTGGCGCTCGAAACGCGTCACCGCCTCCACGAGAGACCGCATTTTCAAAAATTGACAAGCCAGCGAGTTTGGCTTACCTGGAGGTCTCCGAATCCGCTGTCGACGTCTGGCACGGAGGCCCACGTCCCGCCACTCATCTGCGGGGCAAGACAAGGACAGAATGACAGAATGACGCGCTGACTTTGCGAAATCGGTCGCCGTTACGAACAACAGTGTCCGCTGCCTTTTAGTGTTTTTGTGCGGCGGCGTCACGGTTTTGCCCGCCTCTGCCTGCCTCGGCCTGCCGAGGGGCGGAATGTGGATCTGGGCTCCATAGTTCTTGTTTAATTGCCGCTTTAAAAACACCTCCGGCTGCAGCCAACTGATTCCGAGAGTCGTTTTCGTCGCTCCGTCTCTCCCGCACCCACGCGGGACGCCCTATGAGTGCGAGGGAGACAGAGCGACGACTGGTTTGGTGAACCGACCTGGGTGAACTGGACGGAGGACCTGGACGAGGACGTCGTGGACGACCGGATGACTTGCAGCGAGCCCCCAGGCACCTGCGTGGAGAACACCTCCAGCTGCTTGCGCTGGGTCTGCTGCACTCGGCCGTCGGCCATGTTCAGGGCGCGGTGGTCCACGACCTGCGGCAACGCACTGTCAGTCCACTGGCCGCACAGTGGATTTGCCATCGCGTGGCTTTGGCTCACCTTCCCGTAGTTGTGGATGGCGGTGGCCGTGCTGGCGGACCAGTGGTTGGTCTCCCTGCGCGCGCGCTCCAGCGCGCCGGTGAGTCGGTCCCGGTGGGACCACTCCACCACGTTGCGCCGCTGGAAGGGCAGGTCTCCAGCCACGACCTCCATGGCGTCCTGCTGCAACAGAGGAGAGGAAGTCTTGAGAAGCAGTTCTTTGCCGGTTACCAACCGAGTGACCCGACCAATGGATTGCTCTCCGAACGAGGAGTCCATTGGTAGGGTCACACGTTCGGTTCGAGTCCCATTCAGCGACGCTGGAGCTCGAAACGCGTCCGGGGTTTTGGCCGCCTCCACCGGTCTTCTGGCAAATCCACTGTGGAGCGGCAGAGAATGTGGGCGGATCGCGCAACGAAAAGTGAAACAAAAACGAAGGAATGCCGCGATGAAGCTATGCGTGACATGCCGAGCCGTTCGGCCGGAAGGGAAAGAGCGAATCGGAGAGGAGAGAGAGACGGGAGCGCTGCGCGACGCTGCGGGCAGAGAGAGACGGCGAGTCGGACGCACGGACGTTCCGGAGCCGTTTTCAAGGTACCACTCCATGTATGGAGGTAGTAAGGGCGGCCCCGAGCAGGCTCGCCGCTTGCCCGCTTTCCGTTCCCGATTGTCTTTATCCCTCTTTGTGTCTCGCAGCTTTGCTTCTCTTTGACACCTGTTCACAAACGTACCCGAAGGAGCAGACCAAAAGAGATCATTCCAAACACAACTCGGGGACTTCCTCCTTGCATCTCTCTCTGGTGCTCCCCAGCCCATCTCCCCTCTCTCTCTCACACACACACTCACACGGCCATGCACGAATGCACACACAGTCAGACACATCCGTGCTAAATGCAGAGCTGTGAAACTGATAAAAGCATTACCATTATTCGTCTGTGTCTAGCGTTCCACCGCCACGCACGCGCAATGCCACCGTCTCTCTCTCTCTCTCTCTCTCTCTCTCTCTCTCTCTCTCTCTCTCTCTCTCTCTCTCTCTCTCTCTCTCTCTCTCTCTCTCTCTCTCTCTCTCTCTATCTGTTTCGTTCACTTTCAGTCCGCATGGCAGACCTTCAGCGAATGCACGCAGCATTTCGCAATCGCACCAAACGCGTGTTCGGTTTGTAGTTCACATTGTGCGTGCGTGGCGGTGCGTGTTGGCCGAGAGCCGGCAAGGGAAGGTTGACCCTGGCTATATTATTCCAACGGCACTATTTGTACGGACGTCTCTCCCGCTCGACTCACTCAAGGAAACTGCCCAGCATCTGCCTCATAGCTGCACACTCAGTGTCAAAAGGACAATCTTCGTTACCAGCTGGCCTGGACGCAATTTTGTGCGTGACCAAACCTTGTGACAAAATTGTAACCTAACCGTAAAGCTTCTGTGAAGCTTCTGTGAAGCGGCGGCACGAGGGGGTATGCACTCGCGTAATAGTCGGTTCACTCTATCTGTAATAGCACGCGTAATAATACGCGTAATAGTCGCGTAATAGTCGCGTAATAGCCGAAATTGTCAAAATTTTATCAATTTTGGTGTGTTTTAGGCCGTTTTTAGCTAAATTTCGATTAATTTGTAGCGTAATAGAGCGTAATAGCGTAATAGTCGGTACACAGGTTCAGAGAGCGCATACCCCCTCGCGGCGGCAGCTGTGCACTTTCTCCAGGCGAGCACGTCGCTTTACTGCAGAGCACGGACCAGCGACACGCAAAAAGGCAAATCGCGTTTATTGCGCGATTACGCAGCTTTTTTAACACTCTAAACGTCTTACAGCAAATAAAAGGAGGTGGAGGCGGAGACTTTCGCCGAAGAAAGTTGACGAAGTACGGTGCGACGAGTTTTTCTGGGGTAAATAACAAAGTCAGCTGTGAGAATTTTCTCCATGTGACGAACTAAATTGTAGACAAAATAATTTGGAAGGTGTCTTTCAGCGTGTACTTTTCATCGCTCAGGTCATTGTCTCAGGGAAAAACGGAAACGTCATGAAACCAAGGCACGGCTCTTCCAGGCTCCAGTTTGTCCGGAGCCTGGGGGAGCTAATATTTTAGGTCTGTTTCCTCCGGTCGGCCTCCTTGTTAACCTGGTCACGCTCCAGCGAAGGGACAAATGGTGGCAAAAATCATTCTTGACCCATGGTGCGTATCCCGCCCCGCGCGCCCCGCGCCCAGCGGAGCTTCCCTTAATAAATTTGAGTCCGACCTGCTTTTGTTGCTCCTCTTTTTAGTGCAGTAGTTGCTCGGTCTCATTCTCCCCGCGGAGGAAGAGGGCTTTATAAATTGCGCAACCGCCACGCCTCGGCTCGGCCGGCTCGGCCCGCGCGGCCCGCTCTGCAGCGCCTGGGCGGCCAGGGCTTTACTGCCCTAAACGCTTATGCAGCGCGCTCTGTCTCTCTCGCACCCGTGGGGCGGCGCACGGGTGCGAGAGAGACAGAGAGAGACGGCATTAATTACAGCCCCGGATGCACGATCCCCATCCAGTACAGTGCAGTAGCACGCGGACACGTGCTGGTCGCGTCATCCTCTTCCATGTTGCTTTTCGGAGACATTCGGCAAACCGGGGCACAGTGCATTTGCCAGAAGACCGGTGGAGGCGGACGAAACTCCAGACGCGTTTTGAGTTCCAAAGTCGCTAAATGGGACTCGAACCGAACGAGTGATCCACCAATGGATTCCGGCACACTGGCGGGTGGCAGGCCGTTTCGAACGTGTGTTCCCCTTCACCGAGCTCTCCTTTTTCTGCGATACGCTCCGACTCGCGTCCGCCACACCGGCAGTCCTTCTCGTCGCTCTGTCTCTCTCGCACCCGAACGGCACGCCCCGCGAGTGCGAGAGAGACAGAGCGACGAGTCTGCAGGGCGGTGAGGAAAGAGGCTCCGCTCCGTACAGTAATCCGTAAGTCGGGCACTATTGCGATGGACAAAGGCTTGTTAACCGTTGTTAACGCCCTTCGGCCGTTTTTCGCACCACTTTCTTCCTTTCTCACAGGGTAATGACGATGAAGCTCATCGCATCGCTACGCGTGGACGTAGATGAGGGGAAGGTGGCCGCGTCCTGGCGGCGGGGGAGGAGTCGGGACGCGACGGCACCCGGGAGGGAGAGAGACGGAGCGATCTCGCTCTACCGGTGTGCCTCGGCCCATGCGGTCCAATCACGCGGCGGGGGCGGCGGGGCTGAGTGGATACAGATGGCCGGGTGCTTGCGATCCTTGCGATCGCCGCGGCGGGAAATGAAATCGGGGACGTATTTCACCGCGACGACGTTGGTGGCGCTCTAGAAGTGCTCTAGCAGTGCTCTAGCCGCGATGGTGTGTCCGGGCGACGATCGCACGGACGCGATGCAACTGCACCCAGAAAAACGGTCTCTTGATTTTTAATTTTCTTGGTTTTTATCGCAGAAAGAAAAAGTCTTAACACAAGAAATTTTTGATGCATACAAGAAAAACAGTTTGGGTAAAGAAAAATTACCTTGAAGAAACCAAGAAAAGTAAATTTTTTCTTGATCCAAGAAGTCATTTTTTGTGGGTGTGGACTAGGAACGCATCCCGTGCAGGTGCGAGAGAGACACAGCGTCGAGGCTGCTTCACTTCACTGACCTACCGTGCCCTTCCGCCCGGCCAATGGCAGCCCAGCGTCACTCGCCCGATTCGGCTTTGAGTGGGCAGAGCCATGGCAGAGAGGAAACCGGCGAGAGTGAAAGTGGCGGCCAAAGTATTGGCGTTTGCACTCGCGTACCTCACCCCCTCCCCCTCCCCCTTCCCGCGGCAGCAGGCGGCCGGGTCCCGCAAGGCCCGGGAGTAGAGTAACCCGGCCTCACTGCCCTGCCCCACCAATTTGCTGGCCTATTATGACCCAGCCTGCACGGTTGCCACCTTTGACGGACCGCCCTGGCTGCAGACTCTCTCTCTCTCTCTCTCTCCCCCTGCTCTCGGAATCTGCCCGCTGTCTCGCCTAGAGCACTGCTCCCGCTGGCCCAGGGAGTCTCAGGCCAGTCTACGTCTACGCGTTCCACCTTCGTGTGCCCGGATGAAACCAATGGGTGCCACCATTTCCTGAACGCTATTCAAAGCTTTGGCACGTGTGCTTTGCGGTTTGCTCCTTATATAGTCTGCGAACACATACACTCACACACACACACACACGCACACGCGGCCGCGATGTGATATCCATGAGGCGGTCCGTGCTACACGTTCCGCATGGTGAAAATAAAACACGTCGCCGCGCCAAACGCACTCCGCTCGCCGTACCGGGCGAGTCTACGATCTATCTCCGTCAGGGAGGCGAGGAGGGAGATTGAAACGGGACAAGAGGGGGGGGGGGGGTCGCACAGACGTGTTAATACGCCGTGCGTTAGCATAATGAGGGAGGAGGTGCATCGGGAGGTGCCCATACATGGCGGACCGCTGCGGAACGCGCGCTGTGTCGGGTCACTGCAAAGTGAGTCAAAGCGATTCCTCGCAGGATGCATTGCAGCTTCCGCTGAGCTTACCACTGCAGGTTCACGCTTAAAACCTCACGAAGTATTTTGAGTAAACTATTAAAGTTCGTAAAAGCGTACACTGTTATGAATGAGTGGCCTTTTTTTCTGTAGGGACTTGAGGGTGTAGATTTGTTCTTCCCGAGGTTCAACCGAACTTGAAAACAAAATAGCTCCGTCGACTTGACCACTCCGCCGCCGTAGCAACGCGGCGGGCGGGCCGAAAAAAATAAATTCGCCTCATCTTTTATTCGAGGTCCGATTGAGAGCCGACGAAGGTACAATGGGAGGCAGCAAATAGCACGCTACTCTATTTGGCAGGTAGTTTCTTTTGCTTGTGCAGGAAGTGCTTTGTTCGCTGCGTACTTGACCCTGATTTGGGCAGTCCATGCCCATATAGGAGGCAGCGCGCCACACAAGACGAAGAGACGCGTCGCTCTGTCTCTCTCGCACTCACGGGGCGTGCCGTATGGGTGCGAGAGGGGCAGAGCGACGAAAACGACTCTCAGTGTGCTGGCGAAGCACTCCACGGAGCAAGGCAGCGAAGCCAACTTCTTTTCTATCCCTAGTAATGAGAATGAGAGAAAAAAAAGACTCGACGTGAGTTGCAAAACTGACTTTGCGATGGCGGAGGCGAGTGTAACTGTCATGCTCCTCGACGACGGCGGGTTGCTCGT